ACACAAATTAGTCACAATTTATATACCGTATACTTAAAAAAGAAACTCCTTGAATTGATAATTAATTTCTCGAAATTTCAAATTTCAAATAAAGCATTATCATTTAGATTAGGTACAAAGAGCGACAGTAGTGTTATTGACTTAATTGAAACTTACTAGTAATACTACTACATAGGCTTACTAATGCTTAAAATCCTAAACCCTGTTAGGAATGACGCGGACGTTTTTAAAAGGCTGTTTCATCGATACCAACTGGTCACGGTCGCCTTAACAAATAACTGAGGCCTACAGTATACCTAAATATCTACATAAAGAAAACATGTAGAAGTTTACTTGAAATAATACGTAGGCCAGGTGCTGTACCAAAGACCTCTCGAGCTTACAAAAAGTTATACACTATACAACATTGAGTGTATAATTTAAATAGAATTGTACTTACGAACAAGCGTTATTTATTGTGAATTCTATGTGCCAGGGCCACAAATTGTTTATTAAATAAAGGGAGGGAGATGAAGAGGTTTTAATTTAGCGTTGCTCAGTTGAGTGGAAATGAGTGTGTTGCTTTCAAATATTTTTCTATTGTTTTAATTAGTGGCACACCGTGTGGCTTGATTGCTGTTTCGCTGCTTTTTCGAGTTTATTTGGAGAACAACGCTAAAAATATTTTCATAATATTTATTTCAGGATTGCGTTATTTTAATTGAACTTACACAACTTGTTTAAAGGTGTGATAATTACACAGGCAAATACATGTCTTGCCTTGCCAAAAGCGGATATTCAATCAAGTTAAAATAATTAGTATTTACCGGAATTGTGTTCGTTACTGAGTAATAAACATTGAACTTAGACAATTTGTTAAAAGGTGTGATAATTAAAATTCGACATTCGGAAAAACTCATCTGTTACAATTTATGGTGAAATAAACGACTTTTATACCCATTAATAATGTAACGTGACAAAACCCAAATTGTTACATGCAACTTTAAAATAATATAAACACTATTTCTCTTATATTGGAGTTTAAGCGAGAATAAGCGATACAAAAGACCTTATTGCGACATTTTTAATTGCATTCGTTTGGCGAAAACACGAAAATGCTTTTTGATAAACTTCACGCTCCGTTGGTAAATAAATAATAAATGTAAAAGGAACAAAGCTGCGGCTTTTATAATAACATGTAATATATATTTTAAAAGCACCTTTTATTACAGCTTCAGAGGATTAATGATATGAATCTATTTCAAAACAATTGCCGTGTCTGGAAAAATATATTTAATTATTTAGAATACTATGTTTTATACTGAAAAGTATTTCACTATTCGTATTATATTATAAATCCATTATTTTTATGCATAGAACTACTAATGAAGTCAATTTGACAACTCTTTTTAAGCCGAAATTGCCGCAATAAAGACCGTCAAGACTTGACAACGCACGATTTGCTCCAATTAAAAAAATCACCACATAATGAGATTCTAAGCACTCTGTCAGCATCTGCTGTATCCTCGTGTCCATTCTCTTTTTTTTTTAATTTTTTTAGCGTACAAGCGATCCGATTTGTCACCGGGGGTCCGGAATTGTGCGATAACGATTATTCTTATGTTTTTTTGTTACACGCCCTTCGATTGTCCGAGTTTTGCCGATTCAAACGTCATTGTGGCAAGTGAAGTATGGACCATTTGGCAAAGAGGATTATAGAAAACTAGTTGATCGGATAACGCTGCATTTGCAGTTGGCAAATTTACACTATTCGCAAATAGGAACTCATTAATTTAACTTGTAATAAGATAATTATTTAATCTATAATTGAACAAAAGATTATCTATATTTTGTGATTTATAAGATCGTATTCCCTCTGCATTTAAAAAAATGCTTAATGTGTTCTTTTAAGTTTTAATTAATACATTAAACACAAAATTTGCCCAACACGAATAACAGATTGATGAATGACAAGTGAATCTCGAATGTTTCTATTATATCTAGTACTCTGAAATACAATAGGCCTAAATTGGTCCTTACAGTTCTTCCCACGCGGTTTCTTAATCAAACATTTCCCAACAAATCTCCAGAGCCTTAGGCATAAATAAATCATCTGCCCACGAATGAAGACATGACCAATTTAATTAAGTCCTCAAGTTAGCGACACGTGAGCTCAATACCTTTTATTGTACCACAGTGTCGCATTGTCGGCAAGCAGTGGGAGGTTAGAACGATTTCCGAACGCATCTGTCATTAAATCACAGACAATAATAGACTTTGTGTTCAAAATTTAAGGTAGAATTTTTATCTGTAGCGGCGAAAGAAAAGCGCGGTTCTTAAATAACATCTCAATATGTTCTGATGATGTGTTAGGTTATTGTCGGTTTCTGACAATGGTGATAATTGATCGTACTCATGCAGATGGTGGCACCCTTTCTGTAAGATACAATTTATTTCGTTTGTTTAGATGTCTTTATGTAGGTTAGGAAGTCTTTTGACGTATGAGCGTGACTTTTTGCCCCGTCTCGCCGCAAGAGGCTGACGTTTTAATTTTATGTTCCGAGAAGTGTGAACTCCTGCAATGTTTATAATTGAATTTTAATTATGTTAAAAGGAAATAACAAATGTATTAATCGAATTTTGTAAAAACATTTTTCTGCAATAAGATTTAAATGCAATAATATAAATTGTACGATACGCAACATAAAGTCAGTTAATTATGGTTAAACAATAAATGTTGTTAATTCTGATCGCAACATTACAACAAATTACCGACATTGTTTTAATAAACGGTATCCACTCTACATTTTTATTACTCTACATTTTTACAAAAGGAATTGCAACTATAGATAGGCAAATTTTCATATTAGTATTAATAAAAAAAAAACCTATTGCATTCTGATCTTATACGGCCTGATTAAATCATCGACCGATATTTATTTTGTTATAGTAATAAATATATACGTAAGGTAGCACTTTTTTCATCAGCACATCTATTCCAATATTCTTTACAATGATCATGTAAAGAGCCTGTGTTGTGAACGCAAACCAAAACAATCCATCAACCGACATGTCAGTTTGTCTGTCTACCGTTACCTATTATAATACGATTTTATTATGCAAGAATGTGGTGCATAGCGTATTTTACAAGACTCTTTTATTAAAATAAGATAGTAACAGCTTGCTGTTGATGTATCTTATTTGATATTTGCAACTTTTTACGTCCCTAACGAGAATATCCAATCATAATGAAATATTATGTTACCACTCAGTAATCAATATAGCTTTCTAGTAGGAAATGAGTTCTCATTCAGTAGTTTGCCACAAACTAATTCTTAAACCTTACCTTTACATGTAATTGATGCGACATATAATTATCATTAATATAAAATAGGTAAAAAAAACTGTTTACTATTTGAAAATGAGAGAAAAGCGTAATTTTGTTCCCTAACTAGTGAATAGTAACATAAAATACTTCGCCAATAGCAGAACACTCAATAAAGTGAAATCTCAATGTTTATTCGTCGTCCACCAGCCCCAGGAACAAAAACAAATCTCAAAACAAAACATTAATCCACGTTTTATTCGGACAAAAGCACTCATCATTATCAAAACATTAACGCGCGTCTGTCCGCGGGGCGCCAATTATTTTTACTTTGCAACCCCATCAGGCGATAGTTATTCGCATTGGCAACACCGTTAAACTCGTTTATCATTATCTGTGGCGAGTCGCGTGTGCTAGTACTGACACGCGACGCACTTCTGGGAGATTTTTAAACAAAATAATCATTGTTATTTATAATTTTCATCTCATGTGTGAACTGTAACAATTATTTAGCAAAGCTTTTATTATTACTATTTTTAAGTAAACATTTCAACCTTTTGACAAAAATAAAACAGCCATATAGCCAATTCGACTAAAGGTCCATCAAGAAAAAAACGTAGGTACCATTTCTTTAAATGGCCGGCAACGCACTCACGACCCCACGGGCATTGAGAGTGTCCATGGGCGGCGGTATCATTTAACATCTGATGAGCCTCCTGCCCGTTTGCCCCTATTCTCTTAAACTCAAACTCAAAAATATCTTTATTCATATAGGTAAACAAGTACACTTATGAATCGTCAGAAAGAAGTTAAATTAATTGTAAATTTACATTTATTTACTACTAAAAATAATAAAACTTTGTTTAAATTTTACGATGACCACAGTACATCATAGACAATCCCGTATCAAAACCTCCTATGCGAAACAAGCAAACATATTTCTGCGTCTGTTTCCATGTGCTTGCTCCTGTGTAAAACAAATCATAAATTTTATAGATCTTGCCGATTTGATGCGAACTATCCTTCAATGTATTAGCATGTATTAATTGGGTTTAGAGAAAAAAACTATAGATATTAGCACAACCAGGTTCCAAACACGCGACCGCTTTGAGTCTTTTAACTGAAATTAGCCTAAGTGGTTAAGAACGGTGTAACAATTCCTAAAAATTCTCAGCAGTTTTGGAAGTTAATCAATACCTACTTATTAAACCATCAATAACTTAAGGTATAAAGACGCATTGAACTGCAATCTGTTAACTTTCTCAGGCTGTTAGCCTCTCGATCTCAGCATAATCCGCGAGCATCGAGCAATTATCGCCGGACCAGCGGCGCGGATTCACTCGCACAAAGGACTCATGTTTTACAAATAGCTCACATCGCAATTCGCGCCACGACCCCTGTTTGTGACGTTCACTTGCGATTAGGCACAAATTCCCGCCCTTTGTCATTCGTTCGGAAATCGCCACTCCACCGCTCACTCTTAATTCCTTTTCTTATACTTAATTGTGGGAAAAGTGCACTTAAATTTTGCAAGTTATCGAACGCAATTGTGAGAATACACTTCCATTCATCGGTTTACGTGAAGTCATTAAATGTTTGTGAAATTCTATTCCATCAATTGGAATGAACTCGCTTTTATTTTGAATAGTTCTTGAACTTTTGTTCTCATACGAATTTATTTAACTATATCTAAATTATGGGTAACGGAATTGGTAAGTATCGAAATTAATTCAGTAAACTTTTTGCTATGTTACTCAATCACACCTTGCAATTAAACGCTACATGCTGACTTAGAACTTTAACTTGTGTTTAACGTAATTATTTGATAAAGAGTACTAAACTGCGTAACTAACTTAAATTAAAACCCCAAAAAGTTATTAATAGGCGTACTAAGGGTTTTTTATCCTTTACCATTTATAATCTTTAACACAAACAGATAAAACCAACAAATGAGTTGTAAAACATGTAACAATACGTTATCCGTAGCGGATTCGCGCCGCGCCCGCAGGCGAGTCAGCCAGCCTCCTGTTAACAAACAATTAACGGCGAAAAATAAAGAAATGGGGCGATTAAGGTCTCATGGGGCGGGAAGGGAAGGCCCGGGGCGCGGTTGTGGGAACTCTGTATTGTTTTTGGATGGTCACATTATGATTGCTCAGTCGGCTGACGCTGCGCACAGACACACCGTGTCGCTAAACAACGAAGCTTTAGCACACACATGGCGAATTAATTTTATTGTACGTTTGACGATATGATTGCTTTTCAATTGAGATCGAAAACCGACATTTGTTCGGTATTCAAAGTGAAAAATATTAGCTTTTCGCCTCAGTAGGCTTTACGAATTGCGTTTTTTTATAGAATAGGGGCAAACGGGCAGGAGGCTCACCTGATGTCATGTGATACATCATACAGCCATGGTCACTCTTAGCTCTGAGTGCGTTGCCGGCCTTTAATTGATACGCTCTGTTCTTGACCCTAAGTCGATTTTTTTAACCAGACTTCTGTGACCTTAAGAGAAGTGTTGGCCTAGTGGCTTCAGCGTGTGAATCTCATCCCTGAGGTCGTAGGTTCGATCCCCGGCTGTGAACCAATGGACTTTCTTTCTATGTGCGCATTTAACATTCGCTTGAACGGTGAAGGAAAACATCTGGAGGAAACCGACATGTCTTAGACCCAAAAACTCAATGTGTGTGTCAGGCACTGGAGGCTGGTCACCTATTATATTGAAAAATGATCATGAAACAGTATCAGAAATCTGAGGCCCAGACCTAAAGAGGTTGTAGCGCCACTAAGTTTTTTTTGGTGACCTTAAATTAAAGTTAATTTACTAGCTAACTTACCTAAAAATGTATGTAGTGCTTCTATCTAAATGTAAAATTAGAAGCATTAATATTATGTATTTCTTTGCTGACAAGTCATAAGTGTACAATGTGTTACCCATATTATGATTAAATTATTTTTGATTTTTGATTTTTTTTTTCGCGCACTTCTGTTACAGCATTAATATATCTAAACATCGTTAGTTATAATAATAAAATGAGTATCGAGTTTATTCGTCGAATATGTATTTATAATATAATATAGTAAATAATAGAATGGGTCAAAGGAAGAACGTTATAATAATATAGACATTGACTAAACGTTAGATCAAAATTAATGTCATTCAGGTGTAATACCCCTGTAAGCCCAGTCATAATTATTTATGCGAAGATTGCGCATTTTTCTGCATTTAGCGATTCGAGTTACACTCGCCCGTTACACAGAAACATTTATAACCATAGATAAAGTGATTTACTTATTAAAGTTATACTTTAGGCGCGTTATGAAAAATTGATGAGAGTGAAATTTTACGATGCGCTCGCACCGTGACACAAAATTAACAGAATGAAGTTGCCCACTCAGTTGTAAACTGAACTTTATTGACTATAATGACTCCTTTTCCCAGTCTTTGATTATTTAATTATAATTAATTATTTGCATGCAATCAAAAACTATTTTTAATAATGCCAAAGAAGTATAACTTCTTACGCGCGTACATAAGTACACGCACCCTTTTTTTTCTTTGTCTTTATTTATTGCAACTTGCATAATTAATAATGTATTTAATTTAAATTTAAATTAACTGTAATTTCTACCGAATTATAGCTTATAATTTAAATATCCTTATTATATTTTAAATTAAAGCTTTTACCATAAAATACCCAAAGAATTAGCAATAGACTCATGTTTAAAAACGCTTTCTTTGTATCGCTTAAGTTAGTATCTAGTCATGAGCACTGTCAAAAGATCCGTAGGTATCTTGTTCCCATTTTAGAATACTGGCCATAGAGTCCAATCAATACCAGCAGTGCAGTTATCGTGCATTTGAAGAGCCCTCACATAATCTGTGCCCTCAACGACACGTAACCGACAATTTTCATTTTTACCGACACGTAGCGCGTGCCGAATCGCCGACACGCGCTCATTGTTTTTATTGCTTGATGTTTTAATTGTGACATTAAGTGCGAACACCTGTATCTATTGAGTTGAGAGGGGGTGCATAGTTTAGTTGGAGGAGCTCTCAAGTATCTAATCCGTTAAACAATCGACTAGAAATCGGAAGTGAGTTAAAATACATGAAAAATATTACACCCTCGAGAGTTCAAAATTCGAACAAATAAAATTTGTATTATCTTTTTACTCAAGTACTTTGTAGAACTCCAACCAATCATAGAACTGAAGCACGGATGCAACAGTCTTATAATTCTACATTAAAATGAAATACATAATTATTATGGAAATGGGATTAATTAATAATTTTTAAATTATTAATTAATCCCATTTCAATAATAAAGTTTTATTCTGTTCAGCATGGTAGTTCTCACTGAATTTGAATTCTAGCAGGAGGGTCATCAACATCTCGTATATAACTTTTACTATACAATCATGATGAATTCAGTATTATGTATGAACTTCGTCAAGATGCTCTTTAGAAACGGAATCTTAAATTTCTTTAAATCGAGCTCTTAGCGCTATCTAGTGTGGAGTAGTCAAAACTTGAACAAAAGCGACATCCAGTATGAGGTAGAAACACAAACATTTCAATACAAACAATTAAATTAAATACAAAATTTAATTAGGTATTTAAGTTAAAATGCAAACCTAAAACGCCTAAGCTAAATAAATCTACATAATATTGTAATGACTATTATTTTGTAAAAGTCTATTTTTGTTCAATATTTACATGATAAATTTACATCACCCGTGGGCCTACAAATAAGCTACACGACACGATAGAAATCTTGCGAAAATAAGTAAATTGCGGCTTTGGTTATTTGACCTCACGTCCAGTACAAATTGACCTATCCAATCGTACACAGTTCACCATAACAGAAATCTTGTTAATGTGGTAGTTTTTCTACTCAAGTTACAAGTTACGATCAACAGAGGGCTTGCAAATATTTGACGTCCGGTAATTGTCATACGAGACGTAAATATCCGCTTACATTGCCTGCCGATGTCCCTGTTGGATATCTTTACGATATTTTTGGCATATTATACTTTCCACGTTTAAAGAAAATCGTGTTAAACTAGTATACTTAGATTTTCCGAATACCATACATACGTATTGATTAAATAAATTAAATTTTTGTTTTTAATAGCATTATAGGTTTAATAATTATTAATACTTTGAAATTTTGAGGCTTTATTCCAGTCAAAATAGTCTTGAAATGTAATATAAAAAACTAAAAAATAAATGTGCTATTTCGGAAAAATACAATATTAACATTTATCAAATTATTCTGGATATTCTAATAATATGCTTTTGCACCATAAACAATGTTAGAAAATCTTAAGGCGAAAACACATTATTAAAACGCAACGTGTCGCGTAAGACGTAACCCGATGTGGACATCATGGATCGTCCGAGGCGACGGGTCGAGTCGGGTGGCGTTTTTTCCCCCACCATCGACAACACATCGATCTGGAATGTCATGATTGGGTGGCGTGTGCTCGCGTCGGATGTTCAAAGTGTGATTCTGTCATAGAAAGTAGTACAATTTGATTCGACTCAACACGCGTCGCATTGCGTCGGGTCGCGGGGCGTTTTAATAATATGTTTGCGCCTTTAGAACTTATTGGAAAATAAAAATTATAGCGCAAATATAAAATGATTTAATTGAAATTCACTATGAAACTCCTCACAAAAAACAATATGTTTGACATATATTTGACATACGTGATTAAATAATATGGTTTAATCTTAAAATGGATATTCACAAATTATGGGAATATAAAGAGTATGTTAATGTCAATGGATTTATGTTATCGAACGAGTTAATATCATTGTTACAAAATTCTCTGACACTGTTACAAGTAGAGAACCACTTTTCTCACGTTCAATACTGGGGACAGATCTATGCTGTTGATGGAGATTATCATATAGCAGTTGGTATCACCAGAGATGCCTTAGCGGATAGAAAGTATTTCTACTCAACTGACTTCAAATTCTGGGGCCTCTTGGCCAGACCAAAGAAGAAATATAAGCAACTATCTCTACTTACAACATTTCCCTTTCGTGGGGACCCGTCATTGAAAATAAAAGTCCTTGATGAGGCGATGGATGAACAGCATCCGGATAGATGCCAGGAGATGCGAGAAGAGAAACGCCTTGCGGCAACAATCAGCAACATTTGTGACGAAGCTGAGATTTGCGCTCGTGGACAACTAATCAAACAGCCAGATGGTTCTGTAGTAATTAACCCTAATTTCTATGGTCTCACAGGACAGGAAGCAAAACTGCTTAAATCTTATATGCATATCCGCCCAGCACAGCAACGTTGGAATACTAACCTGTTGACTAGACAGGATTATAACTTTAGTATGGATTTTCTAGACTCAATCGACCAGGACATACCTTCTGGGTGCTGGAACCTGTCATTGGAGCAGAATGGAACTCTCGCATATTTAAAAAGTTTATACTGGCCAGGAATGTCATACTTCCACAAAATAAAGACCCCTGATGCAGGATTTTTGTATATTGGAAATGGAAGGAAAAATTTAGATGTTCCTTTTCTAATTTAAACATACAGTTAGCAAACAGATGTTTATTTCGTTTTTTAAAGAATAATAAAAGACATGAGTTGAAGAAAGCGGCCAAATAATTTTTTAAACTTAGTATGATAGGAAGCATTTTAAAATGTATTAGGCAAATATTATTAGGTATCATTATGTATACTCTACTATAAGTGTGACTGTATGGAATCACCATGGATTCAAAACTTCAGTGGTCCCCTCATATTAACGGATTGGCGAAGAGACTAAGTTCTGCAGCCTACGCGGTTAAAAAAATTCGCTCACTAACTGATGTCGATACAGCTAGACTTGTTTATTTTAGTTACTTTCATAGCCTAATGACTTATGGCTTATTATTAAGGGGTCATGCTGCTGATGTCGAAACTATTTTCATCCTGCAGAAGAGGGCTATTCGTGCAATCTATAATTTAAAATGTAGGGAATATTTTAGAGATAAATTCAAGGAAATTAATATACTTACCTTTCCCTCGCAATATATTTATGAAAATATTATGTATGTATACAAAAATAGTGATAAGTTTACTAGAATAGAACATACGCACAATGTTAATACTCGGAACAAACGCAGGCTGCAATTTCCCCGTACTAGACTATCTAAAGTTAGTAATTCTTTTTTGGGAAAAGGGATACTCTTCTTTAATAAAATCCCAGAGGCTCTTTTATCTCTGCCTTTCAATAAATTTAAGAAATGTATTAAAGAAAAGCTATGTAAAAAGGCTATAAAGTTAACTATTATCTAGTTGATAAAAGGGCCTGGGACTAGTGCTAGACAGGCTACTTCTAATTAGAAGCACTCTAATCGCAAATTAATTAATTTGCGATATTTGTTTTAAAATAAGACGTGTTGTTTGATTTCCTATTTTAAAAGAGTACCGAGATTTTTTTACGCCGGCTTTTTCTCTCGGCCTACACCGTCTGTCTTCTTTGCCGATGATTAGGGATGCCTACAGATTCAAATTTAATGACGTGGAATAAGTGATACCTGTATCTTATGTTCCATAATAAACATATTTTATTTTTTATGAGTGAGAGAACTTACTTGACCACATTTGTTGACATTTTTCAAAAGTTTGCACATCCAACTTTATACTACATAATACAGTCAGTCGAAATTAGGGAACTCAAATCCAAAGTCAAGATAACACAAGCTGTGTATATAAAAGAAAAGAATAAAAGTACTTAACTGTGTTATAATATAAAATAAAAAGATATCAAACCCTGTATATTGTTACATTTTTAGTAAAATAAACATTGTTTTATCGGTTATGAGTAAGGCAGCATTAATAAAATAGTCAGTCATTATTGCCATGCATCTAACTTTAGAGTTCTCTGTAACTTTTTGTATAAACAACTCCGATCGGGCTTTAGGCCTTGAGCTAAAGTTTAATAAGCTCTATGTACAGATAATATTTGCTACATTTATTAAATCCCCCCTTAAGTTGGATTTCAGTAAATTGTAAAATGTACATGATCGGCATTGAATTCCTATGACCTTAGTATTATTGGCAATATTTTATCCCGTTAATGTTATTATAAATGGTTGAATCTAGTGCAAGTAGAAACAAATAAAAGTAATTTTAGCAAAATATAGCATCTGACAATTGGCAGAAAATCCTTTGACAATTGAATACTGATTGATAGTTTGAGGAAACCGCCAGGCGTCATTCATAACATTTTTACCGGCACTTTCATTTTTCATTGTTCTTTCTTACTACCATTCTCATTATATACGAACACAAAATGGATAATAACGATGCAGTTGGACTTGATGACAATGAAACCGCAGGAATGGAGGAAGAAAAAGTAGTGACAATGATGGACGTGTTAAAAGAACAAGAAGATTTTGAAGAAGATGCAAATGCTGTACTCGGAGCTTCTGACGATAAAAATTGCACTTTCTCTATGGTGAGTGCTTTTACTTCTACTAGCGTATATATTTGTCTTTACTTACTTTTAAGTCAATTTATCGTTTATTAAAACCTAAACATAACAATCAAATATTACAGTATTTACAATTGTCTTAAACTTCGTAGTAATAATAAAAATTAATAAAAATTTTTTTAACGCTGGCAGCATTTCCTCGCTGTATATCGATACTTATTCGTTGAGCGAGGAAAGTACCAGCTCTGGGTTCCCCGGTACTATCTACCAGGCGCCAACTTAAATCTTTAATTAGCTGTGCTTGTGCACTTGAACCCCACGGCACAAGCGGCCAAAGGGAACAAAATTGAAGTTGGAGGAAAGACTTATATTTGAGCTGTTTATTATTTTAGCATGCCAGCTTGTTTGCTTGTCTGAGGCAGGTAAGACGTGGCTATCATGTCCACACAAGTACGATCCCATACCAAAGCCCATCCCAAGGGATCAACAACATCCCATCCTGCTGCTTGCCATCGTCTCTAGAGATGCCTGTTAGCTCCAAAATGGCTGGAACATTGACTTTTAAATTACATATTTCAAGTGCCCTACACTACACTTATTTTACATTACAACATATTTAGAAACTAGTTTATTATATAGGAAATCTCATAAGAATTAGGTAACTATTTTAACAATACCCTTTTTAATGAGAGTGTTCAAATAATTTCAAAAATTATAATTTTTGTAACATTGATGGGTGGTATATTAATAATTATGATATTTTGGTTTCAGGGCTACATCAAAAGACAAGCTATATATGCTTGTATGACTTGTAATTCTGATGCCAAAGATGATCCTTCAAAGAGAGCAGGTGTTTGCTTGGCTTGCAGCCTTAAATGTCATGAGGATCATGAACTTGTTGAGCTTTATACAAAACGCAACTTCCGATGTGATTGTGGTAACCCTAAGTTTAAGTCACATCCTTGTCAATTCACTCCAAATAAGCAAGATTTAAATGAGGAAAACAGTTACAACCAAAATTTCTCTGGTCTGTACTGTATTTGTCAAAGACCTTATCCAGACCCAGACTTAACAGAAGAAGATGAAATGATACAGTGCATTATTTGTGAGGACTGGCTCCATTCTGCACATCTTGATGCTACTGTCCCTGATAATGATCAATATTCAGAGATGGTCTGTAAACAATGCATGGAAAAAAATAATTTCCTACATAACTATGGAGACCTTATTGTAAACTCTGAAGCAGATGTTATTGATATAAGCATGAATGGATTATCTAATAGTGGTGCAAATGAAAGTATTATTATGGATACTACAAATGATTTGTCTATAAACAATATTGAAAACCTACAAGAAAGCATCACTTCACATAGCAAAGATACTTTTGTTTCAGAGGTAGTTGATGACACTAATAAAAATGATGAAATAGAAATAAATACACTAACTAAGGAAAAAGATTATGTAAATAAATCTGAACATATTGACACAAATAAATCCAATGATTCAATGACGGCATCCCAAACTAGTCTTGATAATAATGTAATGACTTCTGAAAAAAATTGTTTATCATCAGAGCATACTCCAAATGTAGAGAAACAGCAGGTTACCTTTGTCAATAATTTACAAAATAAAAATATTACAGACACTAGAGAAAGTAACATTGAGCCTTCCGAACTACTAGATATTACAGAACAAGAAAAATTTGTACAAAATAGTACAGCAAGTAATGAAAATGAAGCAATTGAAAATTCAAAATTAAATTTTAATGAGACAACAATTTTAGGAACTGACACAGTAAAAGAAATGGAAAGTGATTCTGAAATTGGAAACCTTCATAAAAATGCATCAGTTGAACAGATTAATGCAAAAGGGGAATTACTGGTAACTGAAACTAGTATTTGTAAAATAGACAATGAAGGTAACAAACAAATGAAATCAACAGAAACTATAGAATTATCAAATGAAAAATTGATAAATTGTAATGAAGAGGGAAATGAAAAAGTAACATCTACTAAATCACCTGATGACTTGGAAGAAGATAGACTTCTTGCAGATCCTGTTCCAGAAAACAATGCTACTCAGGTTAATAGTGTAACTGATGAAATAAAAACAGAAGATATAACCACAGTTCCAGTGACAGAAAATAATGTAGAAACTTTACTAGAAAAAGATGCTGCATGTGGTACAGAGCCACAATTAAAAGAATCTAGTAGTAATGCAAACTCTGGTGATAAGACAGCTGCAATAGATAATAACACAGAAGAACTTCCATTAGATACTTTACATAAAAATCAACGCATAATATGTGAAAAAATGGATGTGACTAATGATACTGAACTTTCAAATACTCAAGAACCTATGGAGAAAAGTCAGAAAAATGAATGTAAACGTAAGCTTAGTAAGTCAGTTGAAGATCAGGTAGATGATTTAGAATACAAAAAACCAAAACTAGATGTTAAACCTTGTGTTAAACCTCAAAATGTGAAACAAAGGTACCAAGGTGCTACATTTTGGCCAGTACACTTTAGGCAGAAACTTTGTACTTGCAATGAATGTCTGTCTATGTATAAAGATTTATCAGTATTATTCCTAATAGATCCTGAAGACACTGTAAGTGCATATGAGCATTTAGGAAAGGAGAAATCAAATGGAAAACCAGCATCTGAATATGAAAAAGGGTTAGCAGCTCTATCTTCGTTAGACAGAGTCCAACAAATTAATGCACTGACTGAGTACAATAAGATGAGAGATAAATTATTAGATTTTCTAAAGAGTTTCAAAGACCGTAAAGAGGTAGTTAAAGAGGAAGATATTAAGGCTTTCTTTGCTGGGATGAAACCAAAACGGGAACCCGATGGAGTTTACTTCTGCAGATAAGATGCTGCTTATAATTTCCACTATACTTTTTAATTTTTATTCTAGCAGTAAGACTTAACTTTGGTTCAAATGATATTTGTCTAAAATTTCAATTATAAACAGTTTAGCTTCTAATTATTTTTACCTTTTACAAACCATGGACCAGTCTGTCCAAAACTAGAACATAGTGACAATATTTGTCTCTCCGCTACTGTTTTGTTAAGACTTAAGGAGCTTTTAAAAATGAAGTTTTTGGGGTGCATCTTCAATTATTAGAGGTAGGCAGTAACACCCAAAATATCTCTGTTATTATACTTAACTTTTTTCTATTAATATAATATTTTTCCCTTTATTAATATACTATACCACATAGTCACTTTATCTGTTTCCAATTTCTTTATTTAAGATTACACACATTGCTTTTCAGTTTAGTCCTCAATATTTCTTATAAACTATCTTCACAGCTGAAAAACAATCATCCTTAGTATCATTATGTCACCATCATTTGTATGTAATATAGAATAGAGTAAAAAACAAACAAGGTAGAATAGTTTATTATTAAAAAAGTATTGCAATCACGCGTATAGAATATCGTAATGGCCAGGTCTATATAGCAAGTGGACAAGGGGCTTTGAACCTTCCGGGAAATCGTGGGCGATTACCTGAAAATATTTCGTAAAATGAATCATAACTCATCTCTATAATACATCAAATAAAGTTGTGAAAACCAGCTTGTAATAAAGTGAATAAGTAAGAATTATCAAAATTTATTTCAGAATATAATATTTCAACAATATCTGCACTACATTATATGTAGAATCTACCTATGTTTTTTTCTAAATACAACTAAAATTTACAATCAAATCGGCTTGGAGACATTTCTACATCTGTAGAAAGTACTATAATACAAATCTGACACTACTACAAATACACAAACTTTACAAGCTGATATCACTATGTTTCATTATTTTATAATACCTGACTTCCCTCACCACGATCCATGTACTTAACTCTGACTCCAACATTTAGAGCATTACTAAGGGCTATGATGTGAATATGGTCAGACTCTTTGTACATTGGTTCTACCTCCTGAAAAACATATTTAATTTCAAACAACAACAAAGTGTCATAATCCTTATGATTATTTAACAGTTATGTAAAATATATACAATAAAATAAAAACTACATAATTCTGTTTGTAATGTTCCGTGTCATGCATAATATGTTGTACCCTAATTGTAAATTGAACTTATGGTAATGTGCCCAATAATGATAAACTAAAACTTGCAACATCATATGGCCAGCCCACTTGAAAGGATATTCAGTAGTGTACTCAAAAATATTAAGAACTAAATTCATGACATAGGACATAGACAAACAAACATTGTAACAGGCAGTGGCTTTAACTTTACACAGGCATTACACTGCCCTACCCAACAAAATGTAAAATACATATTATATATAACTATAAAAGTTTATTCTAGTCTCAACAGAAAACTATTGTTAATTAAAAGTTTATATTAATTTATTATTGAAAAAAAAAATCAAAGGGGAAACAACACTTTCTTGGTTTTAAAGTTACCATTTACAACAAAATAAGAGTTAGTTTTAAGAATATGGCCTTATATTGAGATACACTACTCAAAAACTTAAAAAATTTACTTACATTTGAAATAGATGATGACAATGATCTTGTATCCCAATTTAACTTATATAATAATACTTTTAAAATGCTAAGTAAAACATACCTGTCTACAAAATTCAGTAACAGTTCGGGGACCCTCAATAAAGTTTTGATAAAAATCATGCTGTGTCTGAAGCTGTCCAGATGTAATAAGTCGCAAGTATACAACAATGTAGTCAGAGTATCCCTGTTTATTAAACTTGTCATGCAGCTCCTTGCGAATATCTTCTATTCCATCTGAACTTCCTCCAGCTTGTTCACCTACTCTCTGAACTACTTCCATAAACTGAAACATATTTAAAGCCACTCCAAAAGATATGATGGTAACCATAATTTAACTTTTTAATAAATTATTTTTTTATTAGTAGTATAAATAAACTTCTTTAATGTTATATGTGAGAGAAGATATTATGAAACCATACAAATAAAAGGTTATAATAAGATAAAAGAATCTTAAAATCTACGTACAAAATAAAAAAAAATATTTATAATAGCACAAATATCAAAATGTCTCTAAATAGCAAACTATCAACATATAAATTCATTATCAATAAACAAAACATAACCCTAAATATGTTTTCTTACCGTTTCATAGAAATCATCAACAGTAAATTGAGGAAATCCTAGAGCTACTAGAATATCTTTAGAGTTTTTAGCTATCTCATGGAACTTTTCATACTCTCCTTTATCTTTGAGCAGGTGTTCTAAATATGCGTACGAAAAGGCTCGGAAAAAACAGTTACCGTCCGGCCTTGTTCTTCGAATGCATTTATATTTTGAACCTAAATCTTTAATTTTTAATAGGTATACCGGGTCCTCATTGTATTCTTTTTCTAACGATGCCAGATCTTCTTGCTCACCAACCAATGGAATAGACTCTGAAATCTGCAAAACAAACAAGTTACAGTTCCCATTGAGGGAATGACATTGTTTTATAGAACTCGCTAGTTCTTTCTACAAAAAAAAACTATCAAACTATTTACTTACCTCTTTCTCGATTTCACGTTGCTGTTTTAAAATCAATTCATCTTGATTAACAGAGTTATCACCTAAATTACCGGTACAAGCGCTGCTGCTCGCTGCATCGTCCGCCATTTTCGATTATTTTGAAAATAAAGCTGACAGCTGATTTATTTGCTGATGCCGGTTGGCCATATTTTTTTGACATTCGATTATTGACAAATGACAATCAAAAATATGAAATGAGGATACTACTATTCCTAGCAAACAAAAAATATGCAAAATGTTGAAAATATGTAATATTAAAATACATCATTAGCAATAACTAACAGCTTGCATAATCAGCTCATCTCATATTTTTTAAGAGACAATAAATGAAACTTTATGATTCAAATCTTATTTATTTATAATTAAGTGTCATGGGTTAATCTGCAAACATATCTTCTATTTTTTTTTGAACTTCTTTTTCAGTATCAGAGTTGAATTTGTCTGGAAGGTTTTTGACTGCTTCAAGATCCATGTCTGGAGTTTCGCCACCATCACTAGAAACTTGCCCTTTTGCCTAAAAGAATATTAAAGTATAATTTAATAAGATTCACACCACACATTAATTTATACCTAAACATACATTTATTATAAGTTAATAATTACAGTAATACATACCTTCTCAAGCTGTATTTCCAGCTGCATTATAGCTCTTTCCAACCGATAATTATCAGATACAAGTTGTGCCCAGCGACGACGAAGAGCTCTAAGCCTGGCACCACTTGCTGTCTGAGAACGCTTACGCTCCCAGTTTACTGCAGCAATTTGCTTTCTGGAATTTTTGATGTTTGCTTAATAATTAGAGAGTTTTTTTTCAACATTTAAACAGTAAATATAAAACTTCAATATGCCATCAAGTTAAAAAGTTTTCTCACCTTAATTGTGCATGAACATTCTGTGAACGTTCAACCAAAGCTTGCAAAACATTTAGGTATGATCTCCAAGCTTCTGAACTGTACTGTAATTGCAGCTCTAAGTTTAAGACTCTTATAGCTTGGTGAGAAAGCTGGGCATGTGAATTGTCAACTGCTTCTGTCCAAGCTGTAGGTTCCCCTAGTCTTCCTGTTGGTGGGGGTGGTAATTCATACCTAAAAACACCAAAATCTTAGAAAAATCAACACATGTATGAAAATTTTGTCATACTTAACTGGTAATTTGTACCTTTTCATAGATAATGGTTCCATTGGCAATCTTTGTTGAACTCTTTCCATTTCTCTGTGCAAAGCAGGTGTTTCGAAGGCTGTACTCGGTTCAGGGCCAGCATTTTCTAAATAATTTTTAGTAGGCCTATATCTCCGACATTCCTCTTCGACCATAGCCAATGCCTTAACAAATTAGATAAAGAAAATAGTAGGAAAAATCTATTAAAATAAAACGCTTCATTTGAGGTATTTACCGCTTCTCTAACCCCAGGATCATCATAACCCTGGTCGATGTATGGCAATGCATCAACCACTGCTTCTCCCGACATATTTATCACAACAACGGAAAAGAGCCACTTATTCTTAACTATGGTGACTAATTATTAACTATATTTATTGGTCAAAACTAAAAATTTATAGCGGAGAATGTAAGAAATACTAATTGTTTATTTAAAAACGTTTCTTGTTCTTGATTTTTTTTTTTTTTTTTTTAATTTTATGACCTGGTAACAAAGACCTTTAAGTCACGACTTATTTGGAATATGTATGTTCATATAATTTGGCGACACTAACTTCACTTCACTAAATTTCATCACTTAAATTGTTTGAATTGTATTTTTTAAGTAATTATAAATAGGTTTATAGGATGTTGGATCTTTTAGTAAAACGTTAAGGAGCGGCGGGCGGGAGGAAGAAACACACTTATATGCATTGGTAACACTAAGTTCACTAGCCAGAACAAGTCTTTGAATGAGAAAACTTTGGCAATCAAAAATAATGTGGTGGATCGTTCCTTCTTCTGCTTGACAATGATTACATTGATTGTTTGAAACAATCCCAAGTCTTGCTAGGTGTGACGGCGCAATATTATGACCAAATCTCAATCTGTTTATTGTTGTAATGAAATCTCTACTTTCACTAGATTTCAATTTGTCATACCAAGGTTTAACAGGTATGTTATCTTGGATACTTCCATACCACTTTCCCTTGTTTTCCTGGTCTTTCTTCCACATTTCTGTCCACAGAGTGTAAATGTTTTCCTTAATATTTAGAAAATAATCAGTAAAAGGAACGGATACTGAGTCTGTAACGTCAATACTGTTTATAGCCTCACATGCAGCTTTGTCAGCTTTTTCATTGCCGGTTATGCCTTTATGTGAAGGCACCCACATAAAATATATATTTACATTCTTAAGATGATATTTAAACAATAGGTCTTTTATAATATACAAAATATAGTTGGTTTTATATTTTACAGAAACATTACTTAGACTCTTTATCAGACTTAAAGAATCCGTTATTATTAAAAAGTATTTATAGTTATTAATTACACTAATTTGCAGTAAAGCCTGATAAACGGCATAAGCCTCTGCAGTAAAAATGGAACAAGATCTATTCAAAACAAAGCTTTGAGAAAACTTGGCATTTGAATCATAAAAGGCTGCATGAACGTGATTATTTCCTTTGCTGCCATCAGTATATATAGTGTAATATCTAATATTTTGTGACAAGAATTGCATCATATCAGAATTATTATTAATTGTACTTGAGATAATATTTACTGGATGTGAAATGGAGTGATAGCTGCTAAAGTAACATGGCCAAAGGGACTGTTTTCTGGTCTTTTTATACTTATTATTTATTTCCAGATATATTGTGGACAAAGGTGGTGTATATTTATTGAGAAGAGTTATTCCAGTTAATAATGAAGAAGGAGTAATGTCTAGGTATGGTGCAATCTTTTTAACTATTTGCATATTATTCGAAGATAGTAATTTGAGACAGTACCTGTGTGCAAGTAAGAGTCGTCTTAATATTAATGGCATAACTTTTGTCTCAACTTCCATGGCCCTTATGGGAGTTGAGCACATTGCACCAGATATTATTCTCAAAGCCTTGTTCTGCAATAAATCAAGTTTATTTACATGTGGACTATTTAAATAAGCTAAGGAGCTATAATCAAAATGACTTCTGACAATCGATTTGTATATTAAAGATAGTATTTTGGGGTCTGCACCCCATGATACTCCAGCAAGACATTTCATAATATTAAGACCTCTTAAAGCATTTTTGGAAATATGTTTAATATGTGATTCAAAATTTAATTTCTGATCTATTACTATTCCTAAAAATTTCTTACTGGTTACCTTGTTTATAATTTCACCATTATAAATAACATTATAGATTGGTGTATCCTTGCTGAATATCATAACATTGCTCTTGGATGGGTTAATTTTTAAATGTAAAAAGTCATTATAATAATAAAACAATTGGGATAAAGCTACATTAATACTGTCTATTGCTACTTGTAAATTATAGTTACTACTGTACAAAACGATGTCATCAGCAAATTGTAAGACATTTACATTATTGTTTACATTGTCTAAGAAGTTGCAAATTTCACTAGTGTAAATATTATACAATAAAGGGGATAAGGTAGCACCTTGCATTGTGCCTCTCGAGGCAGATTTTGGACCATATAATATATTATTGTGTTTTACATACACTGTCCTTTCATTTAAGAAGTTATAAATCCATTTACAGAGTTGTCCCGGTATTGCCAGCCCTGACATAACTTTCACAAGTATACCAGGATCTATACTGTCAAAGGCACCTTGAACATCAAGGAATATACAAACAGTATGTAAATTATTTTCCTTCCCATGTTTCAGATCAGAAATTAAAGAGATGAAACTATCAGCACAGCTTCGCCCTCGTCTAAAGCCATACTGGACATTGGGAATGATGTGATTAGCTTCAACATACCAGTCAAGACGGACTTTTAACATTGATTCAAAAATTTTGCCAAGACATGAAGATAAAGATATTGGTCTATATGAGCTAGCAATTTCTGGTGCTTTGTCTGGTTTAAGTATTGGAATAACACACTGTGTTTTCCATGCCTGTGGGATATAGTTGTTAAGCCAAAGAAGATTGAGAATGTTTAGAAATATTTTTTGAGCCGATTCATCCAAATTTTTAATCAATAGATAAGGGTAGTCATCCATACCAGGTGTTGTATTACGTCTAGATTGTAAACTTATTGCAAATTCTGACCAAGTAAAGGGTTCAAGTAAAAATTTAGAATTTTGATTGTCATTATTTAAGTTAAAATAAATATTCAGGTTACTAGTCTCACTTAAATTACTATTATCTGTTATGTTATCTAAAAAGGCTGGAATGAATTCATCTCTACATGACCTATTGCCAGTTTTAACACGTTTAAACATTTTAAGTAAATTCCAAATCTTACTAATGGGTGTTGTTCTACTGAAAGTATTAGTTAGATTATTCCAACCAATTTTTTTCTGCTCTGCTATTGTTCTTTTTTTCTGTGCATCCTTTCTTTTATAGATAATATAATTCTCTATGGATGGTACATTTCTATATAATTTTAAAGCATTATAAGATGCAATGACACTTTGTTCACAAATATCATTCCACCAGGGTGTTGGCAATCTACTTTTGAAACTGTTTGATTTTGAAAGTTTAGGTATTGTCATAGTTTTTAATGTATCCAAACAAGAGCAGAAAGCACTATAAGTTAATATAGGGTCATCAAAATTTATGATAAAATTATTGAAAACTGTTCTGGAAAGAGTGTTGTATTTAGTCCAATCTGCCTTTTTATATAAAAATCTGTCTACTGGTGAACCAATGTGATATTTATCAATAGTTAAGGATATTTCTGTTATTGTAGGGTAATGATAACTACCCATGGCATAGTCATGTACAGACCATTCACACATAGATGCAAGACTAGCACTGATGAAGCTAACATCAATAGCAGAAGGATTTCGTCTGGGTTGGTTGACAGTTGTAAAACTACCATCATTCAAAATGCATAAATCTAAGTCATCAATAATATTAAATAAGCTGTGGCCTCGACTCTTACTAGATAAACAACCAAATGCTATATGGTGAGCATTAAAGTCACCACTTACAAATATTGGTTTTGGAAGATTATTAATTATACTATGTAATCTATTTAATCTGATATGACGACTAGTAGGTGGACAGTAAACACAAAGAACAGTCAAATTACCGCTTACTGTTGATAGATTCAGAGCAGCAGTTTGAATGTCCTCATAGAATCTAGTGTTAATAATATTGTACTTGAGGTATGGTTTAATTAATATTGCCACACCATTATGACTATTCTTTGAATTTTTAATATAAATATTGTAACCTGGTATTTTAAATGTGTTATCTTTGAACCACGTTTCGTTAAGTAGGCATATATCAATGTTTTGTTGTTTCAAGAATTGAATAAGCAGGGGTCTTTTACTATTGGCACTTTGAATGTTGTATTGAGCAATACGTAGCTTAGACTGTGTAGGACCGAGATCCATTATTTTAGATTTTTAATTAAGATATCCCTAATTGTTTTCACTGTAGTAGGTGAATTATCACCCTTATTGCCTAGCTCCACCAATGTCTGTACAAGGGCCATAAGTACATCATTGTTAGAGACAATTTGATTTTTAATGTCTTGTTGTTTATTTACATTATCTATATGTGTATTTACAGGATTATTTACAGAATTATATACAGGCTTATTTACAGATTTATATACAGATTTATTTACATTATTATATACAGGTGTTTTCGATGTTGGTAGTGGTGGAAAGTCATTGTTATTTATTTGTTTAGTTAAGGTAGCACTTGCATAAGTAATTTTAGTCTTTTTTTCCATAATTTTCTTCATTTTAATTGGACATACTTTTGAAATAGCTAGATGAGGTCCGCTGCAATTAACACAACAGATTTCAGTTGGCTTGTCGCATTCCTTATATAAGTGCTCACCTCCACAAATTGAACATTTTTGTTTACCATTACAGATTTTTGCTGAATGGTTAAACTTGAAACATTTGAAACATTGCTGTAACGGTGGAATATATTCAAAAACTCTGTAAGAGAATAAATCATATTGAATATTATCGGGTAAAATATTGGATAGAAACGTAATGCTAACAGTTTGTAACGGAACATATTCATGACCTACTTTTTTTGTGAATCTTCTGATTGCAATAATTTCATAAATTGACGTTAGCCTACTGTACAACTCTTTATTTGAAATATTAGTGGGAACGAATCTTATAATTCCTGTCTTTTCTATCTGCGCAGCAGGAATGGAAGCTTTCATGTCGTATTTTTTTAAAAATGATGCATTGTTGATAAAGTTATTTGCCGTATTATATTGTTTAAATATAACTGCAATTTTACTGGCATTCACTCTTTGAATTGCCGTCACACCTTTAATTTCAGTTGAAAAAATGTGATTTAAGTATATGGGGCTCTTGTTGCCCAGTCTATCCTTATTGGTAGATTCAACAAATACTTTAAAGTCAGTGTTAACTGAGTTTTCGGGATAAAGTCTTTTATAATTAGGTTTGAAAAACGGTAAATAGGAGTCTTTTCGCTCACCGCCACCGCCAACGCTAGAGTCCTCCTTGAAGTCACCACCACGATCCTCCACGCGAGGACGTTTATTTGAGGTGGGCGGGTTATCCCCGCCCCCCTCGTTACCCTCCATTTCTAACAGACACCACCTCTAAATTCTGATATTTTCACTAAATTTTAAGCTAAAATAACTATAATTTAAAATAAAATTAATAAAAACTTAAAATATACGCGCGCTCTTTTTGGAGTTCCCGCCCAAAAAACCTGTCGACTCTTGTTCTTGACTGCTGTTATTACCACAGAACACAAATTAATTAGTGTAGTCCTTGAATTAAAGAACTGTTTAACTATTTTTTTGACCTTTTTACTCTGTACAAAGAAGTTTAATTATTTTACGGTATGGTATTTTACGGAAAGATGAAATCCATTAATTAAAACGATGCAATAACCAATAACACTCACAACAATAATTCTAATATTTTATAGCAATAAATAAAAAATAGATAAAACCTTGAATTTAATTTGACAGTGATAAATGCAACGCAGTGATAAAAGTGAATGGAATCAAGAGTGGAGATCGAAGTACTAAAATGATTGAATGACTGAGAGTTGAATTATTAAACTCTGAAAATCGAAGCAAAACATGTTGTTATGAAATGTGCACAGCTGCTTAACATCATGAAATGCCTTTCAGGTGTATGGTGGGGTGCTCATCCGTTTTCTATGAAACTTGTGTATAACGCTCTTATAAGATCTATTTTAGATTATGGCACATTTCTCTTAGATGGAGGAAGTGTCTTGGGAAGTCAAAAACTTGATGTCATTCAGTCAAAAGCTTTGAGAATTGTGACAGGAGTAATGAAATCAAGCCCATCCAATGCTTTACAAGTAGAATGCTGCGATCCTCCTTTAAAATTAAGAAGGCAATTTTTAAGTGATCGATTCTTGTTCAAATCTATGCAGTTTTCTAACCACCCTCTACATAGAAAACTGCATGAATTGAACAATATTATTCATACATCCCGTTACTGGCGTCACAAATCATTACCATGTCTAATAATAAGCTTTCGTAAATTTTTAACATTACACAGCCGCATTCATCGATCTCCATCATTACCCATATTTATGACACAATTCAATTCTTTAATTCTTGATCCGGATATAAGATATAATATAGGCGTCTGTAAGCAAGATATTCTGGAAACAAATATTCGTTTCATGAGTAGCGTTGAGGAACAAAATTGGGAAGGTTGGGATTATATTTTTACAGATGCCTCTAAAATCTCTGTTGATGATTGTGTTGGAGTTGGTCTAATTCATTGGCAACATAAAATAATTCAAAAGATTAAACTTCCTCCTGAATCCTCAGTTTTTACTGGAGAGTGTTTTGCTCTTTTAAAAGCTTTGGAACTAGTTATTTTATTAAAATCTAAAAGAACAATCATATTTTCAGACTCAAAAAGTGCACTACAATCTCTTGAAAAATCTCCTTTCCAAATGAAATTTTGTTATCCTATTATTTGCGAAATACGTGATAAGCTTTTAATATGTTCTCAAAGAAATTACACCGTTATCTTTGCATGGATTCCAAGTCACAGTGGGATTAAAGGAAACGAGAAAGCCGATGAGCTTGCTAAAGAAGCTATAAAGGATGGAGACATAGTCCCATACATCAATTATTGTCATGATTTAGCTGCTCTTCCGAAAACCCATCTTTGGGAGTCATGGAATGATGTTTGGTTGAGAAGCAGCAAGTTCAAAGGCAAACATTATGCTGAAATTCAACCTAGGATCCCCAGTAGACCATGGTTCTTTGAGGTTAAAAGTTCTAAAACTGTCACTTCTATCATTTCCAGAATGCGTTTAGGACATGTTTGTACACCTCATCATTTAGCAAGGCTTCGTATTGTTGATAGTAATATTTGTGAGTGTGGAGAAGATATTGGTGACCTCGACCATATTTTCTTTTCTTGTTCCCAATATGACCGTACCTCCTTTCTGAATTCTTTACAATCACTTCATGTTCCGTTTCCGACTAAAATCTCCTGTCTTTTGCTTTATCCTTTATTGTATTATAATGTATTATCTTCTTTCATAATCTATAATAATATTAAGATGTAATATGTTTTTGTACATATTTTGTTTTTAACCAGCTTATCCCTTTATTTCCTTTTGATGTCTTTGTTTATTTTATTTCGCGTGTAGTTTCCCAACCTTTTACTTGAAACTGGCATAAAGTTGAAGCTGTTGCCAAAAAGTTAAAAAAAAAAAAAAAAAAATCGAAGCAAAAAAATAATAATTGACCTCACAAATGTTTTCCACTACCACGTCGCTCATTAAATGTGTTCCTACACTTACTAAACAAGTGTCTCTCAGAACAGTTCACTCGACGAAATTAGCAATGGCTCCTATTAAAGTAAGTTTAAAGACAGTATTAAGTATTATATAAGAACCGGCTAAGGTTTAATGTTTTAATATTTTCAGGTTGGTGACAAACTACCTGCAGTTGATCTATTTGAGGACTCTCCAGCAAATAAAGTAAATGTTTGTGAATTAACGTCTGGAAAAAAGGTTGTACTTTTCGCCGTACCTGGAGCATTTACACCTGGTTGCTCCAAAACACATTTGCCGGGATATATACAAAACGCCGATAAGATGAAGTCTGAAGGTGTAGCGGAAATAGTGTGTGTTTCTGTTAATGATCCCTATGTGATGGGTGCTTGGGGAAATCAGCATAACACGAAAGGAAAGGTAAATTTAAAAAATGTTACATTTTATTTCACTAAAGTTAGCTCCATAAACAAGTCACCTAAATTGATGAATCAAGAATATATAGATTGGTAACTAAGAAATTTCTTCATATTTGACATAGCATTTTGATATTCTAGAGTATGCAATGAATGTTATGAAAAGCAATGCTTTTGTAATTGTTAATTATTCTGTATTGCATGACTGATAAGCCTTTCGATAGTGATTGACCCTGACCTTGTGAATAATTAATATACATAAGCAATATTAAAAACTGCTTGATAAAAGTTATAAAGTGTTATATGTATTGTTATTTACCAAGAGTATAATTTTTTTTTCCTATGATATAAATATGATACTGTGTGGGAATATATGTTTTTTTTATTATAGGTTCGTATGTTAGCTGATCCATCGGGTAGCTTCATTAAAGCTCTTGATCTTGGTACAAACCTCCCACCTCTTGGTGGTTTCCGTTCCAAAAGGTTCTCCATGGTCATCAATGACAGCACAGTAGAAGAGCTAAATGTGGAGCCTGATGGTACAGGTTTGTCATGCTCCCTAGCTGACAAGCTCAAACTGAAGGAGTAATTGCTTAAATTAATCTCTGTTAATCTCAAAAACACATCCCAGCTTTTAGCTGTTCTAGACTTATAGCAACCCTTGTGATATGTATATTAGAATGTAATAAATATATATAAATATTATGTCAATGTGCTTTAATTTCAAAATGTTAATACTTGGGGTTTTCGTTTCTTATTCAAAATTCAAATTATGTTGAAATTATAAAATTACAATATAATTAATAAATTTTTACTATAATGTGTTTAGGTTAGTTGGGTTACTGAAAAACAATACTAATTACGCAGCTATTGCTGTTGCTGTTTGTCAATTTTTAATCAAAAATTCTTGAAACTTCAATTTATCAGGCTAAAGTTATTTTACTCATACTGGTTCAAAACAAATGGTTGATTTATAATCTGACATTCAGCATTGTTTTTGGTAGTGCTCATAAATGCCTAACATAAATCATATATTTATATGTTGAGATGAGACTACTCCTCCATAGATTTTCTTCCTCTGGGTTATCATGAGTCATTTAGAAAAATAAGTTTTTGAAAAATCATAATTAAATTGTGAGTGCTACTTTGTCCTTATTTTACAATAATAATACTGGATATCTTACCCCTTATCACTTAGAGGGTTTGAAATATAGATAGTAGCCGATTCTCAGACTTACTAAATATGCATAAAAAATTTCACAATAATCTATCGAGTCGTTTCGGGGATGTATGGGAACGAACATATATATAAAGATGTTATGTTGACATTTTTAGTAATGAATTTATGGTTAAACGATTTTTGTAGGCTTTTCTAGACATTAGTCTAGAAGAAATTATTCTTTATTCTTGCTGGAGATCTATGGCTTCGAAACTAATAGATTATTTTTTAATTTCGTTTATGCTAAAGTAATACTAACGCAATTATTGCTAAAAGAAAAAAACGCTGAACCATCAACCATGAACCAGACCTTAAAATCTTGAAAAAAAAAAAGGAAGACGCTATACAAAAAAAAAAATCTATATTTCCATAGACAAATTCAACATCAGATTTCAGAACATGGTTGCAAAATTTTCCCGCCAAAGTCCAAACAGCAAACAGGCGGGGCGCGGGCATCGGTAATCGGTTATCCTTTCTAAATCCAGTACATACTACATACTTCTAAGTTCCAACTCTTACAACTCCCAGTGACAGTGACTGAGAATTAATGTTAATAATATCTTTTACATAGAGATTTAATTTTTTATTTCTTTCCTTTGAGTAATTTAAAGTTTTTGTGATATAATTTAATTTTTGAGTTATAGCCTTTCTAATTAATATTTATAATTCAACGGTATTTTTTTGACTAGTATTTTCATAAAGACTTAAACAATATATTTAAAAAGAAATGTTTTACCCCGTCGAATCTTTGAAAAGAGGTGGTAGATTTTATTTATGTTGGGTTGCGGATTCTTGGCCACAACGTTTTCAAGCCATTAATAATCGTCAAATTTGGTCTCAAGATATTCGACGAATATGGTAAGTATCTATTTACATTTAGAGTACTTAACTATTTGCAACACATACTTTTTTTTCACTTAAGTACGTAGTGTTCTTAGTTTTTGTTAAACATATATTTGTTTTTTCAGTCATGACCTTCAAGAAGTTATATGTCAGGAATCACGTCGTCCATCAAAGAGATTCTCTCTTCGGTTAACATCACAACTTATTCACGGATTAGTACTCTTGTATCATAGAAAAGTAAATGTATTATTTGGTAAGTATTTTAATATCCTAAGATTATTAAAAAAATACATAGGAGAAGTTATTTTAAAATAACTCTATTACCGTAATGAAAATTGTATGCTTCTATGCTATCCTTAAAACAATATAATACTTTTTAACTTGCCCCAATGTGTGTGTATGATTTTCCTGGCATAAATTTAATTTTGCAATTTTTAATTATTGTATGTTGACTGTTTTATCTACAGTAACAAGTTTTTGTTATAGGTGATCTTTGTATGATAGAAGCTCATGCCATGCACTATACTAACAAGAGGTAATAAACTTAGGTTGTCTATATTTCTGCAGGTGTATGTGCATCATTTAATAAAATTTAAGTATTTTCTTAGGTGTAAATGGGTGGATCAAGTGAGAGTTCATGACCCAAGGTCAGCTCAGATACCCAGACTAGTTATTGAGGAAGTAGGAGATGAAGAACAAGTAGAGGAACTTTTACAAGTACAAAATTTATTTATAGTTTACAAATACATATATTACCTGTCAACTTAAAACATGGGGAATGTGTTTTGATGGAATTAAATGTTTTATAGAATATGAAAATAGGTTGTTTACTGGGGTTTAAAATAATCAAATGCCTTCCATATCTTAGTAGTTCACCGTCCACCAACTCAGTAACATCAATAGTCTTTATAAAAAAATTTAAAAAGGCTTTCTTATAATATTTAAATTAAACATAAAACAAATTGGGATGTACCCTCATAAATGGAACCAAATTGTGATAATTTTTAGGTTTTTTTTTTCAAATGTTAATATTTTACAGAGAACTGGAAATATAGTAGCCTGTGTAGAAGATATAACATTGCAAGAACCTACTCTGCCTGAAAATCAACCTATTTATGTAAGTTCTATAATAGATATAAAATTTTGGCACCTATTGAAACTTGATTATCTTAAGTTTTGTTGGACAGGGTTTTTTAAAATAGGTTAAGACAGATAAAGATTGTAGTTTGCTAATGTTTAAACGTGGAACTAGTCGTGTGTTCAAACCCCCGATTAACACCATGGATTTTACTTGTATGCAACGGGAAAAAAAAACATTGCTAGGTTACCGGCGTTTGGCCCAAAATATGTTTGAAAAAATTTACGAAACTCATGTGTTTGCCCCCATGGTCCATTAGGTTCTTTAATATTTTAAGAATTACAGGGGTGAGAATATTATATTAAACGATTGAAGAAAGACACCCCGTGAAATTGTGATGAGCCAAACGGATGCCATAGCCAAGTATATAAGTCTTAAATAAATCATGTCACGTGACTACGCGTGTAGCGCCAGAGATTCTGTTGACCAATCACAATTAAACGGGCGTTCCGCCGTCGTTTCGTCTGCGTTTTACTTTTTCAAAACACAGACGAAACGACTTTGTAATAAAGGAGAGGGTATTGACCATAGACTTGCTAACTAAAACGTGAAATGGTAAAGAAATTTACAAGCGAAATTGCCTTGCAATTTCTTGACAATACTTGTATTACGTTTGTGCAGGATGGCTTCGGTGAAATGCACTTAGAGCTGCCGGTGATAAGTGATAGGACAATCGAATTGATGCTCGGCCCTGATGGAAGTGCGGCACAACAGAGCGTTATAGACCCTTGGGGTCTGTCGCCCGACCGGTTGATCGATCAGTTGAGGGTTGATAAATCTGCACATATGGATAGGGTCTCGGATTATGACATTTCTCTATTCAATAAAAGTACATATAATTTGGTATTATGGTAATATTTTGTTTAGTTTTGTAAGTCTGTGACCGCGATTACCATATTCTAATTCGTATCTCAAGTCACAATCTCGTCATGCTGTCAAATATGTCAAACTTCATATAGGAAAAATTGTTTCACAGTTTTTAAAACTAGATTTAAGTTTGATTGATATTCTAGAATATGAGGCCTAAGGCCTATATTTCACCGGGACACCACGGCGGCGCAACCAGTTGCGTCACCGGGTGTCCACCGGGTGTCCGTAAACTACCAAACTCAGACACCAGAGTCGCCACACCACACGACAGTATCAAAATAGACCTTGAAGAGACAGCACTACTGCTGTATGTACGTAGGAAAAGAGAGTTCAAGAGAAAAAAGAAACAGTGGTGGGTTCATCCTTATTAAGCCGATCGCTGTGAGAAATATAATTAATATATCCCAAATTGATGGTCTACTTTGAATTTCGATAATAAACCTTTCTGTATCGAAATTATCCATCGTATGCAATTAACAAACAACTAAAATATTACAATAAGCAGTTAAAAAATAAAACATAACCGTGCGACACGTTCTGCATGCAATGAGGTAGAGCGTCACTGGCTCATTGTGACCATTTAAAAAAATGGTGATCTACTAAAACTACAAGGTGCCAGTACTAAATAATACCAAAACACATGCTGAATTATACCAAAAATATACTAAAATAAAAGAGGATTTTTTTTATTTATACACTTATTATCAGTCACTTTTTAATTTTACCAATTACACACCTTCATAATACAGAGATATTAAAATAATAATAAATATTTACAATAACTTTTATTGCAAATAGTCAGTATTCGACTGAGCTAGCTGAGCAGATTTAGTGCGTTTGCAGGAAAACCCTTTGCTGAATAAATCGCTGAGATGATCCATGGCCCGAAATTATATGTTATGTTCTGCCAACGCTGCATAAAATATAAGCTCTCCTTTTCTTACTTCTTCAGATACGGGCTCTTTTCTTTGAAATAATTTATCATCGATCTGAAAATAAACAGGATTTTATTAATTTTCCTATCTTAAAAATGAGTAAGCGACTGGTTGCGCCGCCGTGGTGTCCCGGTGAAATATAGGCTTAGTGTACCTACAATTTTAAAAAGGCGCGAGTCGATTTGGGGAAACAATTTTTTACCGGGATTTGACAGTTAAGAGTTGACTTAGTTCGCACTTGGACGTTTTTCACTGGAGTCAACTAAAAAACCACAGAATATTTACATAAAACATTTTCTTTTAATTTTGCTTTAGTTTTCGTGTAATTTTGTTTCTGTCATATTAAAGCTATTTAATAAATTTATATTTATAGCCACCGGAGCTGAACTACAAGCCCCTGGTGACTTTGGTAAAGGTAACTACATTTTTTTGTATTTAAAAACTACCTATTTCTTTCTGGGAAGCCTCGACAACCAGTATTTAAAATAAAATCAACTATCCTGACTTATCGTTTTATCGACATTTGTGTTTTTCCCCAGAAATTCCCGATATCCAGTTACCCGAAATACCCGATCCCCAAGAAATGTTTGTTCAACATTATTTTCAAGTATAGCTAGTGTTTATGTAGATGTTTACTTTTTCTAAATTAATCTATGTAATCATGTATGTAGACAAATAAGTAGACATTTGTTCGTAGTAGAGACGTAGAGGTACCCCCTATACCTTATAATTACCCTCTACCTTACATTTATTTAGTAAAATATTTTGGAAATGATGTGTTACTTACGTATAAAGTAGAATTGGAATGGGCAAATGTTTCAAATCGGTCCAGTGGTGAGTTTATTAGACGGAATTTCGATTAAGGTGAGTGGTGGCTTTATGTTAATACTGCATATTTGTGTGTTGGAAATAAATTCTGAACACCATAGTAAGTACTTACTTCGGTCTACGTTGCTGCATAGTAAAATAAGTACCCATATTTACTATAAGTACTACGAATACTATACAAGGATTGCAATTGTTTACATAATATTCTTTAAATTGTTTATCTTTCCTAAAGTAATGTTTTGTTTGTAAAATCAAGAATTAGCTATTCAAAATAAGAATAAGTTGCCCCAATCTTGTTAAATACGATGTATGGCGTAACTCCATTTTTGTTACGTAATAGCGAACTATATTTCGTCCTATCCCAATTCCTGTATTTTAGTCATGACATATTAAATCCAATACGTTTTTTAAGTGCAGCACAGAAGGCTTATTATTATTATAAAAATAATAAATATATATTCTTCTAAAAAACTAATTATTGAAACCGCATGTCATTGTTCTTGTTCGGGTAAAAAAGATATCTTTAATCGGCTTAATAATTTTACTACAGACAATTGGAGATAGTCCCACATGAGACTGAAAACCGAAATATGCCAATGGAGATTGAACATATTTCATTAGAAGAAATTCCGATCGAGGTGAGTTTTTAATTGTGGCTTTTTTTGTAGTATTTTAAATAATGTATCCAATCGACCATTCTGAATAATGGAATCGTGTGACGTGAATTTAAATTTTTAACATATATATAATACGCTGCTTGCGTTAACTATACTAATTAACTACTACTATATAATACGATGTCTTGCAATACCATATAGATTTGTATTATTGGTTAAGTATTGTGGCTATATGTAATTTATTGTTGTGTCTATTCTTCGTCTTATTTTTTGTGTAGTGTGGTGTAACTGTAAACCGTCCGTGCTAATCAAATTAAAAAAAAGCAAAAGCAACCATTACACATTTTCACATTAATATGATAAAACTAGTCTATGATTCTGAATATGACTAAACGCGGAATATGTCATATATGACGTTTTTGAAGTGTAGCACAGAAGGCTTTCTTAACAAAAAATATAAATGTAATGGACGTAGAAATGGGTCTGCCCCATGTCCAGTGAGAGTTTGATTTTGTCTTTTTTTAAATAAATTAAAAGAAACATTAAAATACAGGTATGACTCTATAATATTAGTGTTATAATTTGTAACTACCGTCACGTTTATATACGATTTCAATGTTCTAAAAAAATATTTTATTTTATCTCTACTCGGTTTTAAAATTAAGTTAAACAAGACTACTAATAACTTTTGTTCATTAATTACTAGTAGTATTGCTAAGTGTACCAAATTTTAAACTATAATGAATCATTTATGATTTTTACGGTGATCTCCTGTCGATTTAGAAATCGGGTGTAAATCGATTTTCAAGTTTTTTTTTATATAATAGGGGGGCAAACAAGCTTGCGGGACTACCAAAAAGGGCAGCAGTCGCAGCCCATATTTAGTGGGTGCGTTGCCGGCCTTTGAAGGAGGAGTACACTCGATTTTTAAACATTTGGAGGTCGTATCTCTGAGGGAAGACCCTCACCGGGAGTCGATTCCACAGTTCGCTAGTTCGCAAAAGAAAATAAAGATTTTTCACGCGAATAAATTTAGCATATAGTAAATATTTTCTAGGAATACCAAGCTCGGCAACACACAAGGAAACGCAAGCGCAATATAATGAAGATAGATGAATGTTTGGAGCTAGAAAAAGAGTACATGCGGTCTCGGATTAACGATGTTAAAGTGGAACAGCGCTGCCAGGTATGTAATAGTCTGGGGTATGGGACATTTTGTGAGCTTAGATATGTTTCTGAGTTGTAATTTTCTCATATCAATACTAACCAGACAACAAATTTCGACATTGAACATTTTGGTTTAATTAATATTTAATGGGAAGTTCGATTGGGCAAGGCTTCTGGGAAAGATCAAGACATGTACTTGTAGTTGGCTCCCTCATGGCCTGAGTTTTTGAAACTTGCGCTGTTCCAGTTAACCTCATATAGAACGAATTTTTGTGGGAACATTTTTTCATCGAAACATTACCATATATTAGTGGTTAATTTTTACGTCCCGAAATAACAAATCGCTGGGAATCGAACTCAGGATAGCTTGGTTCAAAACATAACGCGTCAATGACAGCCACGAAGGCGTTTCAAGCATTCATGAATTTTAACTCCAGGATAACTATTTAGGACCCGGCCTCCGATATATTACGAAGAGAAGTATCCGTCCGACAAATGTTACACCGTCCGACATGCGCGGGCGCACGCATTACGCATAATCTAGGACTTAAAATCAGGAAAATGTACTTGAACAGTCTTTCCCAGTTAGAGAGATGTGATGTGCCTGAGGTTAGTTTTTTAATATAACTAAATAGTCTAAGGGTAGCCAAACATGCCAAAAATTGGCGCTACGTCCTCTATCTGTTCTGATTTCTATATCTGTTTCGCAAACATATAATTTCTTTATAGATTATTAGGTGATCCCCTTCTGTATTCCTTCTATATAGCCGTCGTATTTTAATAAATAGACAATAATCCGTGATTCGATCTCGCTAGGCCCACGTTCAAGGTACTAGGCCAACACTGCTAAAACAAACATGGCGCTGGCTGTATATTTGTTTATCACGAAATATATACATTTTCTAATACATAGAAATGATTGCTTTTTAAAAGTATTGAAATGAAAACGAATAAGTAACTCTAGGTCTAAAGAATAAATCGCCTAATTGATTAGAGGCTCCCGAATGCCTCTAAATTAGTTATAGTGTAGTTAGTGTGTTAATTTTATTTGTCTTTTAAATAAATGTAGTTCAAAATATTACTAAACTTAGTTCCTAAGTTAACTTTACCAATAGTAAAAGCGCAGACGTTAAGAATAATGTCATTTTTAATTTTAACATTTACGAATATTTATTATAGAATATTAATTATGGTTGATTTACACATTTGTATTCTATAAAAATGTCGTATCAATGTAACATTGTTTTATAAATATTGTACTTTTAGTAGTCACAAAAATCAACTTCTGCGCTAGTACAGGTCCTAGCAAACTTATTTGTCGAGAACAACTGTATTTTTTACTAGAGAAGAAAGATTTCTATGTTTTTTTTAAATGTTGTAAAGCTCCTGCGGTCCCTCGCTTTCGAGCAGATCTCTTCCTCAATCGCTCAGCAGCCTCCTTCCGTGAGCATGTAATGCTGCATTGCACTCCATGCCTCCTCACTTCCTAGCATAGCCAATACAATACCCGGTAGAGAGAGGTCTGCCCCCAATGAACGAGTACATTATCCCTGAGTAACATAGGCAATGTTTATTTCAATAATATTTAAAAAATGTCTCCGTGATATTTAAAAAATGTCTCCGTGCGGAACCGGGAAAGGCCCCCAGTAGGTATAAAGGTTTACTTTGCGCCATCCGTCGTTGCAAGACTAGGTGTCTTAATTCTTTTTACCTACTCTCAGGTGCCAATGATACAAAGGCAACATCAGGATACAAGGATGATAGTAGAAGAAACTGACGGCCCTATACTAGCGCCTGTGATCGAAGAACCACATTTACTTGGTCGAGAACAGGCAATTCTTGATGCCGATGGATCTGTTAATATTTCTGCGGTTGCACCAAATGTTTCTGGTCTTGAACCAAACGTTTCCGCTCTTGGACCAAATGTTTCCGCTCTTGGACCAAATGTTTCCGCTCTTGGACCAAACGTTTCCGGCCTTGAACCAAATGTTTCCGCTCTTGTTGACCCGAATGCTTCAACTGCTGGAAGAAGTGTGGAGGAAGTTCAAGATGTGTCACTTTTACCCACTCAAAAGATATCGGAAATGCAAGTCCCCGAACTACCTGCGGTAAGTTTTTACTCAAAATGTTTTTGTTTTTATCAACTAATGGGGCATGGGACTGATATGCCAGTTAGCAATAGACTTATACTGGCGACATTTTGATTTTAGGGCACGTATTTGATTTTTAGGCTAGTATACATTTAAAAATCTTTTTTATTTCTCCGCAAATCGACCTTAGGCGACTCCGAGCCGAATAATTAACTACGCGATTGTTGTCAATGTGTTAAACTTATATGCTTAAAGGAATTTTTTGTAAATAATATGAAGCTTGGGAAGCATGATTGGTGGTTGACTTAATTTAAGAATCGTAAAAATGAATTTTTTTCGCGTCTCGACAACAATATAGGTTATTTTTTGTTACAGCCTAAAAGACGTCGAACGGTGGGTACAAATGAAGCAAGGCTCATGATAGATACAGGTACATTCATAATCTTAAGTAATTAATACCTAATTGTTTAATTAATAAATAGGGTTATCTTAATATATGTATATAAATTACGCGTCACGTTGTTTGTCCGCTATGGACTCCTAAACTACTTAACCGATTTAAATTAAATTTGCACACCGTGTGCAGTTTGATCTAACTTAAAAGATAGGATAGCTTACATATATATAATTCTACTGTACGTTTGTATGTAACTGAGCTCCTTTTAAACGGCTGGACCGATTTGAATGATTTGTATGCGTTTGGGTGGAGCCCTGGATGGTTTATATTCACAAATCAGCCCAGCACATGGCGCTGCAGTTGGTACTTTCATACTTTGTTTAATATCCTAATCGCTTGAAATATCATGCAGGACAACGTCTGTCGGGTCTGCTAGTATGTATATTTTTGCAAATATTATTTATGAAAATTAAACCGAATTCAAATACCTATCATACATTTTTTTGGTACCTACATTATACTTGTCCAGAAATGCGTGCATACAAAAAAACTCAATCTCAAAAAACTACTGAATTTTAATGAAACTTGGACTGTCAATGTTGAAACATCCCTGATTTTCGTTAAAACTTATCCATAAACTTATTATCATTCAATTAATTATTGTTTACATTAAAACAGTTTTATAGTTACGTGAGAAACTCCTTGGAATCTCAGACCTGTTTACTAGAACGTCAATCAATCTTAAATCTAGTTTCAAAAGCTGTCAAACCATTCACGGTATGAGGTTTGACATATTAGACAGCGCTCAAGACAAGATTTTAACTTGAGATATCAATTAGAATATGGACCTTAAATAGATAATTTAATTCAAATATCACATACATTTCTAACTGAAATCCTCCTTTTTTGAAGTCGGTAAAGATTATATGATCACGATTTTTACTATTGAATATAAAAGTTACAAATGATTTATTTAAACGTCTAATATTTTTCAGAAAACAAAGAGAACCAACCTCCAAACAAACAATTGGACCATCTCTCTGAAATGCTCCACGAAGCTGGCATTTCCGATATACCTGAAAAACTACCGGAAACGGAAGTTGAGAATTGTCAAAGGAAAAAATCCAGAGAGAACAGTGAAACTCCTTTAGGAAGCCTCGATAGGACAAAGGTGTCTTTGGGAGATACTGACAGCTGCACGGATTCACAGAAGGAGATAAAGTAAGGCTTGAGCTTAAAAAAAGCCTTAAATAACATGTCAGCCCTACATTGAGCTTGTACAGCTTGTTCAACTCGATTTTTATAGCACCTGGTGTTAAGTTATACACTGCATACACGGCTCGTATGCGTTGCCGGTCTATTAAGAATATAATAAACATTTCTTGAAGGGCTTTTATGGTTAGCTGGTTCTACTTAGTACACTAGTACTTAAAATTGGCTAAGTTGTGTAATGACATTGAAGTGCACGCGTAATTTTCGTATTTTGCCTTGACCAATAATGCTCTCTTTGGGGACTTAGGTTAGTACAAAGATTATAGTTATTCTCCTTGGTGGCTAGTCTTAAGCCATCGGGACCCTCTTTAAGAAACACAGGCTAAAATTAGACCAGCGCCACTGCTCTGTAACGATACCGATCCCAATAATAAGCCTTAGCCATCGCTTTTTGTATCTATTGGTATCACTTCCGCTATTTCAAGATTAAAAAAATATAGCTCTCTTAATACATAAAAATAGAAATTTTTTAAACCTAAAGTAAATTTACTTTAAGTTTATTGATAAGGCTGATATAATATTACGAACATGATTTTGAATAAGGGTGTTGCGTAAAAAAACTTGATATAAATAATACATAAATCTTTGTTTCCTCGGGGATCGATTGAAGATTTAAAAGTAATATTAACAAAATTTTCAGAGCCAATTGGGGAACATACAACACTATGGTCAGAGTATTCCACTGTAAAGATGCGGGATGTGATCCTCTTAATATGATGGTACTTCTCGCGCGGGGTCCTGCTTTACCCGGACATGGCCGGCTAACCGCAGCTAAATGCTTTAGCTCGTTATTGAGTTAGTATAAACAAAGAAAATTAATTATTTGTATTTGGTATAATCCCATTTATTGCTTGGCTTTATTTGAAACATCATTTAAATAAAAAATATGGCTTGTTGAACATGCAGTAAGCAATGCTTATCTTTGGTTTGAATCCAAAAGTAAAGTAATATAAAAGAGTATATATGTATATATATATATTAGAGTATATATTTTCAACACAGAATTAATATGCGGATTTCACTTTAGAATGTGTCGAAAATCTTTTTGGTTTTTTTTTTAATTTATTTCGTGTTATTGTCACCTTAAACATAGGCTAAATTTTTTTCTTATTGCCAAAATAGTATCACCAACATTAGCCAAATGTACCCATAATAAAATAAATAAATTTTAAAATTTATTATGACTAATGAATCTATCTATCTCTCATCTTTTCAGAATTGAAACAACATGGATTCGTACGCATTGAGAAAAATCCTGTTACGCTAGAAATAGTCGATATCAATCTAGGACCCAGATTCGATAGAACTTGATTATTATATCAAATGTTTAATTATTTTTGTATTTTTTTTATTGTGGTAGAAACCACTGAAATGTAACCTAGGTGAATATAAATTACATTTCTTTGTTACTTTGCCTTGTTAATAGGTCAACGGTGGATATTTTATTAATTGTCGTATTTTATATTTCTCGAATGAAGGCCCCCAGGCATTCAGTTAAAAGTTATACTTATGTACATATTTTTGATATGGTTGGGAAAACCAATTTTTGTTAAAGTGTTTTTTATACGTGTCTGGTACATGTTCTATATAAATATAAGGTTACTGAATATGTTAGTTTTTTATTTAAAACCGAAATTAATTTTAAGAAATTAATGAAAGAAGTATCAAAATACAAGCTATATAAATCATAATTATTTGGCGTTAAGATCCATCAATCGTTGCATCTTATTAATTAAATTCAGACATTGTAACCAAGACATCAATTGTCTACTAAATGCTGAAACGAATGAGGGATTTTGTTCCAAAACAGATCCTGGGATAAAACTGCGCATGCGCCAAACCAGGCGTTGGCCGTTGCCTGCCATGGATATTAAATAATATATAAATTTGTATCGCGATACAGAGATGGCGCCACTCATAATGAGCGCTAGCAAAAATAATGAAATTGATATTTTGATGACACTAATTACTTGGACTTTGTAGTAATTAGACTAATTACTACAAAGCAAAGCATTGAAAAAAAATGATACATTGTGCTCTGGCACTGAATTTACATTTTACAAGTTGTCATTTCAGTGTTATATTGTTAATTATTATCTGTGTTTGTCAAATAAGAGATGATGGGTCAGCGAGCGAGCGTGCGTACTGCGTGTTTATTAACACGAATATTTGTTTAATTGTGATTTAGCTGGTTAATTTAATTATTATGAATGAACATCATAAAAATGCTAAAGCAATATTTAAGAACATTACTATTTATGTTTACTGTTATATACGCGATAGTAATCGGCAAGACAGATATATTAAACGAATTTATTGAAGAAAGTGCCCAAGTTGACGAGTGGCTTGAACAGAGTGATTTGGGAGAATATAAAAAGTTGTTTAGAGATTATGGTATGTATTAATATTATTCCTTTATTTACATAAGAAAATTCAGGAGTATCATTTAGGATTTTTCAAGAAACTAAAATACAATTTCATGGTTAAGAAAATTATCTATATATAAGGACTAGTCTAATCATCAAATTCGGGCGACGTAATTCTAAATCCAACCCAAATCCTACCTAAATTTTATATATATACACATATATTATATATGTATATTTAAGTCCTATCTATTTATAAGTTGTAAATAGTGCTTGTGCTTACCATTTATAACTTAAGGTTAAAAGAATTGGTTGTAGGGTTATGTTTTTTTAAATAATTGTGATTTCATGCTAGATTTGGTTGTTTTGTTGAAAATGCTAATAGCATTTTCAACAAAACAACCAAACCCAGCTATATTATATGAAGTAAATTAAATATGTCAATTTAATATGAGCAGATCTTTTCACAGTAAATAGTTAGGTAGTATCCTTACCCACTATCATTACACTAAGTCCTATTATTCATATGTTTGCCATGTCCCTGCTTCTGTTTGAGTTAATCTGCTGTTAAGTGTAGCTTACTGTTTTACTGTTACTTACTAACATTGCTAGGCATTAGCATATAACTTGGGGGCCCTGGTCCCTGGTTCAATGGACTCAATAACTCAATATCTTGGGATGGGAAATATAGGATTCTGGGATAGGTTACCCTACTCTGTATTATTCCTCGCCTATGTTGGTTTAACTCAGGATTGAAAAATATTAATGTTATTTTTATTTTTTTATGTCCTTCAATAATACTATTTACTGATTTATTAAGGTTCTGACTTATCTCAAAACTTAAATATTATCTAATTATCAACTTTAATTTAATAAAAATATTTAAAATGAAAAATTGGTATATACAACATAATTTGGTTAATTTATGTTTAATTAAATATTATGTAGTATAAAATAAGTTTTCGAGATAAGAATTGGGATTTTTTAAAAAAAAACATACATTAAGGAAAAATTTCCTAAATAACTATATATATACATATATATATTATTATAACTTATTACCTATTTCACTGTACAATACATGATTTGGATGGATATTTGAAATAGTTCAGAGCGCAACATAACACGATGATGTTATAGCGTGTGACGTCACCCACCACCCACAACCACAAACCCCCAAACAAAGATAAGAGGAGGTAAGAGGGTATTCGGTACCGACCGCCGCGGCCACCCGCCGCCCAGGGCAAACCCCAGTCGCGCTCCAACCGCTGCGGCGCGCGCATACCAGGTTCTTCTGTTCGTCGTGTACATCATCAAATATGACCGATTTTAATTATTTTCTAATGAAAAACATTTACTTGACAACAACAAACTAATAAAGACAAACCTTACCAATTAAACAAAGTTTTCAGTAACATTATTAAAGCTAATTAAATTCGTTATTTCTATCTAAAGTGGACATAATTTATATACATAATGTGGCAGTTCGAAGATTCGGAAATTTGTTCTATTGGAATGATTCATCCATCTCACAGTCGGCATTCAGGATTGTCGATATTATCCAGTGTCTCACAGTTTTCAGGTAACCCTTTGTTAATATCATGTACTTCTAAACTTGGATCTCAAAACGACAAAGACTTTGCAAACTTTACTCCAGCTGGTCAATAACAGCTGTTGTGTAAAAATGTAGGGTTGCTTCAAAATTCTGGAACCGTCTTGGGCCTTAATGAATATCCTTATAGGTTTCGTATACATACCAAAAAATGTTACAGGTATTATGGGAATCAAAAGTAATTTAATAACTTTAATTCTGAATATATTATAAAGTTTAAATGAAACCTCAGAAGTTGTTGTGGTTTGTGAAAAACTAAAAGAAGTCGTTTTCAAGTGCGATTAAGTGGGGTCAAGTAGGTCTCTATTTTCTGAAAACTGCTGCTACGCGGTTGCGACACCGGATCTTAGTTTCGTCATTATTAAGTCCTATTTACGTAAAAATCCATCTTTCATTTATTGGTGATGCGTGAACGATGTAAAATTTGACTAAAGTACTTTTTTACTTCCAAATATCATTTTGTCGTCACAATAGCAAAATAATTTGAAATTAAAAAAAATATGACTTAGATGACTTGAGAATAGAAGTTTCTAGATATAAAAAATTCTTGTTGCATCACCTATTGCATACACTTTAAAAAAAATGCTGGCATTTGTGTAATTTGAAATATGGTTTTTGAATGTTTAAATATGAAGTGACCGTTTGCATAAGAGTGGTGAGCTATTGTTCTTATTGTAGATATATCGTATTAAACTATTTAAATAGCTCTTATATTTAACCTTCGTCGTGAAACTAAATATCTAGCAAAACCGACTCAAATTGCACATTCATGAACATAATTGCAGTAATTTGGACCTCAAACATGAAACATTTAGTTGCATAGAAGCGCTTTATACCTAAGACTACGTAATTACTATGACTTGTTTTATAATCAAGAACATCGCAAGTGCGGGTGTAATTATAACCAGCCGTAGACTTCTTTGGTTCTGTAAAGCAGCCGGATTTATTTAAAGGTAGTATAAGTATCAGTATAACCTTGGAAATGGTCAAAACTAAACGATTTTATAAATGTCTGCAAATGAAATCACACAAAAGTTGTTTATATGAACAGTTATTAAAACTTTGGCATAAGCAAAGGTTTGCGATTGATATCTAGTATAGAAAATGGTAGACCTACCTAAAGGCGGCGAAGCCGACCCAAACAAAGGAGAGCATTCGACAACAAGAAAAACCCTTAAAAGGAGAAATACCTGAGTATAGGTAAAGAGCTACCTTCCCTCAGACAGACATTCGCAAATGTTCGCGTCAATATAGCCTCTGTTGTGCCGGAGCTAAAAAACGAAACGCCTAACCCTCGTTGACGTTTCGCATTTGGGAAAAGTACAAGTGATCAATTGCAGTGGAGTGTGTGGGGCATAATGGGGAGCCCTGGCGGCGAGCCAACACGCTATGCAGTTGGACAATCAGACTTTCTTCAGGGATTTATTGTCGACTTTTTGTGGGGCTTAAGTTTTTAACGCTGCCTCGATGTATTTTACGTTTCTCATTGTTTAAAGTCTTTGTTTGGCTTCGGCATTGAAATTAATTAATTTTAATGAATGTTGTGGTCGTTAAATTGAGGGCACACCTATTATAGAAATACAAAGAATTTATTTTCATGATTATACTATTCTACTCAAAGACTAAGAGACGACCAAACCTATATATAACATATAAGAGAGCTTTTGTGTACGGGTCGAGCAAAACCATTTTACTGAACAAAGGATCCTGTAGGAGTTTAGTAAGTCTAAAAATAACACCGAGTACAGTATTAGCATGTAGCCCTTTTATGTTCTTAATTTAAAATATACAATCAAGAATGACCGCAGTAGTAGTCTGTTACGCCGTCATGGAAATTGGACTGCATTTTGTATGTAGATAGGTTCCCACGAGGCTTGGGCGGGGGAATGCAGGTCGCAGGCCCCGGTGTCCCAATTCAAGCAACAGGTCGAATCGATTGGGGATGTCAATGTAACTTAGTACAATAAAGTATATGAGAAACTGGGAGCATCCATTGTTAGCTGGTTATTGTTGACTGGGCTATTATCCTATCTCTGTGGATTGATCATTACAAAAGACTTCACGTAGCAACCTTATTTCTCGAGATAATGTTTTTAAAATGAGGTCGATTTAAAATACAGTTGGTTTAACCTTATGCTTATTATAGAAATTATGTTTGCATTTTTGTATACTTATTATTGTTTGTAGAGCAGTGTGGGTCTAGTGGCTTCAGCGTGCGACTCTCATACCTAAGGTCGTAGGTTCGATCCCCGGCTATACCAATGGACTTTCTTTCTATGTGCGCATTTAACATTTGCTCGAACGGTGAAGGAAAACATCGTGACGAAACCGACAAGTCTTAGACCCAAAAAGTCGACAGCGTGTGTCAGGCACTGAAGGTTGATCACCTACTTGCCTATTAGATTTAAAAATGATCATGGAACAGATTCAGAAATCTGAGGCCAAGACCTAAAGAGGTTGTAGCGCCACTGATTTATTTATTATTGTTTACAATAAAAATATAATTCAGTTTAACGTTTGGCGTAAAAGGTAAAAAAAAGATTTTCAATTACATTTTATTTGTATGATTGAGATGGCAATTGGCATGCAGGGTTCAATTTTCTCAATATTTTTCATATTGACTCTCAATCATTAATTATATTTTTATTAATGCAGCACATTACGAAATCATCAATTAATATTTTTAATGAAAATATTGCATCGACAGAGTAGATAAGCTTCGCAAAAACAAAATCTGGGCCGAGTCCGCATTTTAATTGGGTCAAATGTAAATACCCTATGCTATCGATTATAGCCCCTGTTTCCTATACCAGAGTTTTATGCACTATACACATATTACTGACACATATTTTTTTGCTTCATATATGTAGAAAGCTTTAGAACATTGCTTGAAATAAGGAGGTATACCAAGCGTGATAAGTAATGACCATAACTGTGGTGGTGGAGTTATGTAAGTAGGTTATAGCATGTTGATGTAATCTTAATGTGATGAATTCATGCCAAACCGGTTGCATTATGTTTTGTATAACATCTGCATACAAACCCTTTTGGCAAGTAAATAAATATACTATAAGCTCAAAACAAGACGCAAGGTCGCTTTATTAAGTGGCTTCGTAAGCTTGCGTGTCGAAATTTGTTTTTAGTTGACGCTGTCAATTGAATGACTGACGCCATTAAAAAATATATATTACACTATACTAGCTGTTATTACTAGCTGAACCGACAAACCTTGTTTTGCAACGTTTATTATTTCTAGGAAACATTATTTAGTTCAATAAAAATAACTATCAACTATAATAAAAAATTGGGGTTGATCGTAGAGGGGTGACAATTATGGGTTGTATTTATTTTATTTTATTTTATATAAAATAATATTTTTAGGGTGGGTAAATCACTTAGGGGTTTGAAAGATAGATAGTAGCTGATTCTCAGACTTACTGAATATGAATATAAAATATCATAAGAATCGGTCGAGCCGTTTGGGAGGACTATGGGAACGAACATTGTGACACGAGAATTTTATATATTAGATAAAGATATATTTAACTTTACTTTATATAAACAAGAACACAAGAACAGAGTATCTTCCCTTACTGTAGGTAGCGTCATTGGACACTTTCTTATGTTAAATATTATTAGTAAATTAGGTTAGACTTTACTTTAGTAAAGACACATGTCTAAAAAAATCTTTATATAAACGTTAAGATATAAGGTGTACAGTTAACATATTTTAGACTTGACGTGATACATGTCGACCTAAATGCGAGGTTACACGATATGTGTATAGTAACGCTTTATTAAAGACATAATAAAACTATATAATATACAACAAAGCGAGTTTATAAAAATGAATTCATGTTTTTCCCTTTCATGTTTTTTAAAAGTTTATTATGGAATTAAAAATTCTTAGGAAATTTTTGTAAACGGAAGAGATTATGTATTTGCATTTACAGTTCCAGCATTTATTTTTTGACGTGGCCAAGGAAAATAGATTTTTTATTTTGCCTTCAATTTGAATTGAATGTTCATAGCTAAGACACCATCTGTTGCTAGTACATTAAAGTATAAAATTCAAGTAATAATTTTGAAAGAGAAACGAACGATATATCTTCCTTTCAAAAATTAGACTTTGAATTTCTTACTTTGGTCACACAATCCGTAGGGGTAACGAGAACCTAGGAGCTCACCGTGATTGGCAACACCGAGCGCGTAGACGTTCGTCAACGAGATGGACTGATCAAGTCGAAGACTCCGTCCTCAAAATTATACACCGTTGCAAAAGAAGAGCAGAATCGATATTGATGGAGAAAATTATTCGCTCCAGATCTTACTATAAAGCTGACCACGATACTCAGATGAGTTACCGACCTGGAGATAAAGATACTTTATCGTAGAGCTACGAAGACAGGCTACGAATGAATACTGCCGATGTCTACGTGCTTCTGTTTGCGTCACTGATTATACTGTTTATTCTTTTCTTTGTTATATACGTCATACCTTTGATTATACAAGTACCTGGCACTTGAAATTATATGATATCATAAGTTTTTGATAAACATTTAATTTAATCATAATACCCATAACTCAAGTGTGAAGATTGTAAGATTAATAAAAACCTATTTAAAAACTACTATTACTCTTCGAAACAAATGTATCTCTTTGTTCCCTTTCTTTTCAGTAAATTAACTGTTAAAAGCTAATAGACCTTGCCAACAGAGCCTTGGAATTCGTTGCTAGGCTACGACCCAACAACAAACCCTTTTGTAATAAAACTATTTCTTTGCCTTTGTTCTGTACCGTTCTTGCTAAAGCTTTCATATGTAATTTCATGTAATTTAAAAATTACATTATACATTTCTATGTAAATTATTTCATATTCCTCGTGCTATTTTGATCAATGTGTTCGTATTTGTTTAAACTCATTAGAGTATTTATTGTATTAGATTAACATGAACCAATATTTTATTTAAAAACGAAACATTTTTCATTTTCTTATCTCTGTTGGCACACATACTGCTTTAAGAACTCTTGAAAAATGACTGCCTCAGACACTGACAGCTTGACGTGAGTTCGGAAATGTTATTAGTTTTTCTTTTATAATTTGGAGTACTCCAGTACTCGCCAATATGTATCGTCTTTGACTACCTATAATTTAATATTAAGAGTAGGTATAGTAATAAATACATATAACAAATATCAGCAACTTCATTCGATTCCGTATGTATTTTAATTTTAATAGTATAATAATTTAAAACGATTTAAACACATATTCTCAAAAAAAATAGTTTTAATATCTCTGAAGTTTAACTAAGCTACTACAATGACTGAGATTTAGATTAGAGATAAGATTTGAAGCTGAGCGCTAATTGAGACTCAAAGAAGTATTGGATTTTGACAGTATTCCTTAAGGTTACCAACAACAACGGCTAACAACAAATTTTGTAATGTTTAAGGAATCTCAACGTTGTCGGGATGTGCGTCTCCCGAGCACTTGGACCGGCTGCCCGAGCTACCAGCTGCAGAGGAGAAACGCCTGCGCCGCGCTGCTCAGGTGCTGCAGCAGAAACTGGTGCTACGACAGTGGCTGGCCACAAGATCACTGCAGCATGTGTATAGCAAGTGAGCGTTTACTCCTTAGTTATTATTTTTAAATGATAAACGTGATTAGTACTCAAATGTAATCTTCGTCGAGAAACTTCATTGTACGAGTCCTCAATTTAATGTTGTAGCTTAAGGCAGTCTATTTTCTCTGAAAAAACAAAACACGGTTAAATTTCCTGGTACAGAATACTTTGAAATATATACAGATAAATGTATTTAGGCATACATGTTCTTTGAACCATTCGGATTTCAAGATTTCCAAGATTATGCAAAACTGTCGCAGTGCGGGCTGCCTGCTTGTTATCGACTTGTTCGAACTGATGTCCCGGAACTTACAAAGTTTGCGATGATAGAACTTTAGGGAAAGTTCAGAATTGTTGAACACGTTGAATACCTAAGGGTGCGTCCACATCTGGACGAATGAGCCGGGAATGAGCCGCAGTAGCGGAGCACATACAAAAATGCACGCGCGCAGCTCGCAAACTGCTCGCGAGCTGCACATTCGCGGCATATTCGCCAGATGTGGAGGCACCCTGATATTTAAACGTGCCTGCTCCTCTGTTCTCTAAAAATATAAATGACGGTGCCGGGAAACAAGTACGTTTTATAAAAATATATTGAACCTTTAATAGTTAATTACTACGAGTATAAATCTTATTTTACTATTTTTATATATATATATATATATATAGAACAGGGGGCAAACGGGCAGGAAGCTCACCTGATGTTAAGTGGTACCGCCGCCCATTGACACTCTCAATGACAGAGTGCTCGTGAGTGCGTTGTCGGCCTTTTAAAATTGCCCTTACTTCCCTGTAGAAGCCCTCAGAAGTAGCTTTAGGTAGTCTTAATAAGTGGTCCAGTTATTCAACAAAACAGGAAATTGGTGCGGCTATAGTCATTTGTTTTGACGTTGACTTAATTAATAATTTCTATATACGGCAGTAAAGTTAGATGAGCAATGTGAAAGAAATTCCTAGAACAAATTTTTCGCAGCTTAAGGTATTTGCAAAAAGTTAAAGTATCAGAAAAATTGTATTGAATCTTTTATAGAAACATTCGCTTACGTATTCATTATTTGCTTTGAGTCGGCACTTGAATGATTTTAATACCTCTGTCGGATCCGATTGCAAATATTTTATTCGTACATTTCTCATCGTAAATTCTGAAGTGGCTGTTATACTGCCTGCATAATAACATCGTCAATCAAGTAAAAATTCAAGTGACACTAAAAATTCTGCTTGTCGTTAGGTTTTTATGTAATACTTGTCCACACTTAAAGGCACGATAATGATAAGCTGTTTTACCGTCTGTTGAAACATCTAGCGAAACAATTTAGTTAGGTTGAGACCACAGATCGGATGTCGAAGTAGAATACGAAACTCCACCCTTATTACCTCGACGTCCGTCGTTCCACAACTGAGCAATTTTTATGGCACTTTTTGCCACGCACCACCACTAGATGCCCCCTGAATTTCCGAACCAATTCCACTTAAAGCTCTAAAATCAGTGGCGATATCGGGACAATGGTGGTGGGTATGAAATCGGCTCGATTTCTGAGTTAGAGTTAATAACAAAATTAGGGTACGATTAGGGTACGATTTACACCCGAGGCGATCTAGGGAGCGAACTAGGATGCTCCGCACAACTTCCCCGGTATTGTCTCTGATTTACGGCCGTGTGTAGACGCTTTTAGGGCCCTCCAAGAAAAGACCGTACCAACTCTTAAAAGGCCGCCAACGCACTCGAAAGCAGTCGTTGAGTGTCTATGGGCGGTATTACTTAACATCAGGTGAGCCTCTTGCCCGTTCGCCCCCTTATCTATCAAAAAAGATCCATTTGCTACGGTCGTTACCCCTCTCGCTTTCGCCACCTTCTAATATTCACCATCCCACACACATTATTTATATTATACTGTCGTTTATTTTGTGGAAATTTAAATATGATATATTTGATGGTAGTGAAATACTTCATTATATTACTTTACGGTCTAATCAGAGTCATCCATAAATAATAATCGATACGTGATATACAATAATTTGTCTTATAAGAAATCACAGGTCAGTGAAATAACAACTATGGATTGGATATATGGTAAACTTTCAAATGACCTAATTAATAATTTGTTAAGATGACATTTGTTTTAATTAATTGATATTTGTTAAAGCTCACATGCGTATTAACAATAATTTTTAATGTCCTTTAAAAACCTAATTTTAAAGAAAAAGCATGCGAAACAGCGGTTTATTAATTCAATTTAATTAAGATTGTATTTAAGTTTAATTTCTTTAAAATAGAAATCACTAGTTACAGTCTTCTAGTATGAAACTAATAAGAAATTGTGTAATCTGTAGATAAATTAAATAAATTGAGCGAAGCATGACTCGGCAATTACCAGTGCCAGTCGATTTCATAACAATTTATCTTCATGCCTTGGGAATATGAAATGCATGTTAGTATTAAAGCTGGTTGCATTTTATAAGAACGATGTCAAGTTGTATACCTTTGAACTCGATTTTTGGTTCTACCCTCTTTGAAGTTTCCGAGTAACCTCTTGCATAATAAGCATTTAAAATAGCTGACTACTATGGGTCAATAAGGTCTATTTACATTAGTTAAGCGCTAAATTATGTTTATAAGTCTAAATCTGTTTCATATATACTATATACTATCCAGATATAACCTCACAAAACACATAAAAATTACGATTTCGATTCTACATATTTTGTCATGACTCTGAGGTCCAATAACTAACACATACACAGCGCACGCTTATAACAACTCTCAAAAGCCGCGTCCACACTGAACGATCCAAAATTAATCGGCAATCCCGCGATCCAAGATCGCGATGCGTGGAGCGTGGATCGTACTAGGCCAATCCAACAGCAATCTTTTGCGATCCCGACTGGCTGATCCAGCACGCTCCAGCGGATCCATACTGAACCAGTTAAACTTTGTCTGGCTATGGAGTCACATGTGCAACGACGGTGATAAACAGCCGTAGCAGCAGCAAGCCACATTTTACTTGTATATTTACGACAAAAATTACGAAAACGAAAAAGACAGCATTGGGTATCCTTAACGGTGGATCACGCGATTCAAAATCACAACTGCTCACACCGCGCGCGGCAAGTGACTGAGGCCCCTTTGTTCGGTGTGGACGCGGCTAAATACATACGCCGCACACACATCCATTCAGATACTCATAAGGTCTTATACGACTTTTGTCTGATTAGATGTAACACTAGGTACTTTTTCTTTAACAAAAATGTGCACCATGTACTACGGATTATTGTAATCTAGTTACTCACAACACAGGGGCTCGAGTAGGGACTAGCGATAAATAAATTTTATGCCACAACCATGTTTCTGGCATGAATAAAGTTTTTATTTATTCAAAAGTATATCTAGGCGTTTATAATGATATACCTAATGTCTTAGTCCAAAATGTTTTACTTTTATTTCTTTTCTCTCAGTATTTGATATCATAGAGTGTCACTACAATATCATTATTCCACGCAATAATGAATAAACTACTTAATGCAGACAAGAGAGTGCGAAACTTTCATTTTTTCATTTAATGAAAAAAAACTTGATGAGAACGAAAAATATAAATTGCGACCTCGCCTTCGAATAATACTTTTGCATTTTAATTGCGAAGCTTTTAGAAAATATTTAATGCAGTTTCATTGATGAAGCGGTCTGCTGGTGTTAATTTTACACCAGACTTTTAAATTGAATTTTTTATACGTTTTAATTATTTCAAAATTTTATGAAGACTAGGAAAATATGTTATTATTTTGTCTGTTTCTATAATTTATTTTGACAGCTGTGTTAGCTTAGTGGCGATTCAGCTCCGACTTATATATCTTCTTCTTCAAGTGCAAGTTTATAACTAAAGGTTGTTAGCAACTTGAATTGCCGGGTATCTTGCGCTAGTCTGAAAAGCTCCTCGGCGGATGTGATGGTGGTCCCCGTACGTTTCGCAACCACGACTTACCGTTTACCAGCCCTTGCCTTAAATTTGCCCATCATTCTAAGCTGTAACAAGTCGTGTCGTCGGAAAACTTGTCCGTACACATATAAACTTGTATACATATAATATTTGCGAAATTATTACTAGCTTGTAAGGTGTAGGAAAATATTATATCTTGACATGACTCGATGGTCAATTACCTACTTACAAATTCGGCTGGGTGATAGTAAGAGACCTGTGGGGGGCTTTACTCGATCGGTCCAAGGAGTAAGGGATCGGCCTCGAGGTCTGGTTTCCTACATTCTGCCAGTCACGATGAGTTTTTTTACTATTGTCGACACTCGAATGTAAATATTTATTAAATACTAGCAGACCGGCCAAGCGTTGCTGTGGCTAAGGTTTTTGTTATATTACATAGTAGTAAACTATTCAAAGGAAACGGCAGGAAAACAACAGTCATGGGGACCACCATGCTTCTTTAGAGGTTATGCCATTAAATTGTAGCTTATGTGAAACGTTGGTACTTTCAACACAGTGCCATCTGTTAGAATTGTGACTATCAAATAATAAACAAATGTTTTGAAATAAAATAATATTGCGGGTATAAATTGAGATGTAAGCTATCCTATCTTTTAAGTTGGATCAAACTACACACGGTGTGCAAATTTGATTGATCTCGTTTCGGTAGTTTAGGAGGCCATAGCGGACAAACAACGTGACACGTAATTTATATATGTACATATTAAGATAACGAATATTTTTTACTTCAATTTATTTTAAAATCGCCTTTCCAAAAACACTGTTAATTTAGCCTACCATATGAAGTAGAACGCAGGTCAAATTGGGCATGGAAAATTAGAGATTTGAGTACTCATTGACCCCAATCCAATTTAATGACAGGACATGTCACTCGCTTTGCCGATAATTGCTGTTCAACAAGGGTCGCCGGTAGTAGCAATGATATTCTTTTGTATGGACAAAACCAAAAGTATAGTAAAATAATAAAAACTGAGTTCACGTATCATTAAGTGAGCTTATAATTGTTCTATTTAACAAATTTATTTGTATTTTATTTATGATCTCAAACATTACATGCTAAAATCAGGACAATCAAAGGCTTATAAAAATATGTTATTAAAAACATGTGTGTGTACTTATGTACACGCGTTAGAAGTTATACTTCTTTGGCGTAACAAGTTAAAAATCTTTTTAATTTTTTTATCTTTCGCCTTATTCTACCTTTGTAGAAAAAACGACACTAACAATAGAAAAAGGTATTTAATACATTGACATTTTTATTATAACACATTATCTAGTTAAATAAAGTTTATTAAAATACCACCAAATTTTTTTTTCTATATAATTAAAAAAATAAAATGTTTATTTTAAAATGTTGTTTGCTAATTTCAGGGTGTCGGTTTTTTGTGACGGTGTGCGCACGCATGCATTGACTCTCATAATTTTTCCTAACGCGCCAAAAGAAGTATATAGCTTCAAAAAGTATATACACATATGACAAGAGAAATTAAGATGGCGCATACATAAATAGCAATTAGGAATATAAATAAAAACAAAAGACAATAAAATTAGAGTCTTTATAATCGTTAAGATATGTACCTACATATGGCTGGACATAAAAACTATAATATTCATATGCATATTGTAATTTTAAAATTATTTAACACAATCTGAACTCATTTTAAATATTAATAATTTCTTAGTGGAAGTTACCGGAACTTTATTCGGTAAATATAAAAAGCATTGTAAGTTATTCAATTAAATTGAGCAGTGTTGGCCTAGTGGCTTCAGCGTGCGAATCTCATCCCTGAGATTGTAGGTTCGATCCCCGGCTGTGCACCAATAGACTTTCTATGTGCGCATTTAACATTTTGCTCGAACGGTGAAGGAAAACATCGTGAGGAAACCGACATGTCAGACCTAAAAAGTCGACGGCGTGTGTCAGGCACTGGATACTGATCACCTACTTGACGATTAGATTTAAAAATGATCATGAAACAGATTCAGAAATGTGAGGCCAAGACCTAAAGAGGTTGTAGAGCCACTGATTTTTATTTTTTTAAGTTATTAAATATTTGTAATTTTGGAAACCTTACTATAAATATCATATCGTTCTCCATCAGTCGCTAGTGTTTATTAGAGAAACTTGGTTTCACTTCTACAAAATGACGGTATTAATTAAAAGTCGTAAAAGAGATTAAAAGAGAAGATTCTTAAGAGGTTTTGCGCCATGGGCGGCGGTATCACTTAACATCTGGTGAGCCTCCTGCCCGTCGCCTGTTCTATGTCCTCGGAAGACAGGTTACGTACGAAGCACAAAGTAACTATACCTAGTCGCTTTTCACAAATTATTGTCTATTTTTCAGATTACTCAGCCTGGATGTATCCTCCTTAGAGGACGTTTACTGGCTGGAAGATTCAATAGCGCGTCATGTGATTGATTCGAAGGATTTCAATGCGTGGTCTCTTGCCCGCCAAAGCCTGCCCACGGGCAAGGAAGAGCTGCAGTCGTTGAAGAACGAGCTATGGAACACCGTGGTGAAGAGCAGCAAGCATCAGGACGCTTGGACATGGGGTAAGAGATTTTAAGACACAAAATATATTCCGGTAATTATAAAAGCTTAACTTGTCTCATATCAACTGCAACACTCGTTTTCTCTTTCTGACAAATTCTATCTACGTTGAGTTGAAAAGGGACAGAGTTATGCCGTAATTAATTAATAAGACTTATGTAGTATTGTGAATAAGAGTATTCGATTACTTATACAATCTTCTTAAAAATGTAAAATATTACTGACTTAGAAAGAAATTACTATCCGCTCACATTACAATTTATTTTCTAGTAAAAAAGTTTTTTCAAAAATTTCCTAGTTCACAGACGGGAAACATTAAAAGCCAAACATATCTTCATATTAGCCTTGTCGAGTTAGTCAAAAAATATAGATTGTTGAAGGCACGTAGAAATCAAAATGATGAACGCAACGATTCCCATCCCCTAGGATGTGACCATAAAAGTTTTGCCTGAAATTAATGCAAGACTGGGCTATATTACAGGTGGTATGTTGATAGTATCAGTGTCGGTCTGTGGTCTGGTGACCCTGGCTGCCATGACGCAGCCATCGCTGGCCCCCGAAGCCAAGCACTCTTTGCTGCAGTATGTCACTGGAAAATATCTCCACCCGCCCAGTTGTAAGGTACTTCTTAAATTAATGTATTTAAATTAACACTAAAAGCTATTTCTAATTTGTTATAGCAAATTCTTTGATTTATGTTTTTAATTGAAGGATTTATTTTTGATTTATTCGTGTAATACCCTCGAAATTTGGTTATAAACTATGAAATGTAATGCTGAAAGTGTACCTTATTTTTTCATTCTAGTGCAAAATGTATATCATAATCCTAAGCTATAATTACTAAGAATATTTCGTTCACATTTATTTCACGTATGGTATGTTTGTAGGGGTAAAATAAATATTGTTATTTTTTAAATATATAACGGCAAACTGGCAGGAGGCTCACCTGATGTTAAGTGATACCGCCCATGGACACTCACATTACCAAAAGACTCACAAGTGAGATGCCTACTAAAATTCTTAGAGGTTTTCACCCTGATTTAGTTGGATTGTCACAATTCATTACCATATAACATATACCTGCGCTATGTACTGTCATATCAACTACTTATTTGGGTATAGTTCATATGTCAGTACATAGGCATGTACGTAAATAATTCATGAATATCATACGTACTAACGAACGTATAGAGTCTGGCTAATGAAAGAAGATAACGAAAAAGCGCGGCAAATTCAAAAAAAAATAGTATGGTATCCCTAAAAGTTTGATATATTTTGTGGATTAAACTTAAGTACTTGATTTTATTTTATTATTTTTTACATCGATAGTAACTGTATTTCTATGAAATTAAATACTATACGTATTTAGTCTTTTACTATTGATAATTAAAAATGACTATCATTGCATGGAAAACTAAAACTACATTTATTATGAAACACAATTTTATTCGGAATAATCAAATCCTGCGAAAGATTCGAAATATTCTATCAAATAAAACAAAGTTTAGGCTATTATACCCGTTAACTATTCGGTAAAAATATATAATAGAAATAAAAATGAGTAGGTAATTGCAAGAAGTATCAAGACAATAAATCAGACTAACCTACGAAATTCAATGACATTCTGTGTTGCCATCCGAAAGTTTTAAAATAATTCAATTATCTTCTTTCATAAGCCAGACTATGCAAATTTCGTTGGCAGTCACAGTCACACCATTCTTTTTCATAACTTTTGAAAGATTCCTTTTTGGTTTATCTCTCCTCGTTAAAAATAAAGTGTGAAGTGTTGGTAAGGTGGAGTGGGGCTGGGAGGAACCTCACCCAGTTGGCGACACAATGTGCTTCACGGTCCACTGCTACCAAAGAAATGGACATCCCTATCCGATTTGCGATACTGATGACCTCACTGTACACATCTCTCATGGGACTAGGAAGGTAATTATTTTAACATAATTTTTCAATACTTTCACTCGTAAAACTGTTTCTTGTATAAATTATTACTATTATTTGTGAAAGATTATTTTGAATTACATATTAAAGAAATCTGGTAATTACTTAACAAATTTTACTTACTGATGATATACATATTAATATTTATAAGCGATTTTAATGAAATATCTTAGCACTTTATTCATGACATACTACAGCCAAATATGATATGACTTAGAAGCTTTGTCGGAAAAATATTTTTAAAAACGCAACGTACACATCAAGCGTACTCCATGCGTATATTCAGATTATGAAGTAATTTTCCTTATTCAAAAGGTCATCCAGAAATATCTATGAATTAGATAATGCTATCCTTATTTTAACATAGCAGTTAATATATGAACTTATTGGAAATTGCTATTTATAACAGATAACTGCAGTGATGGAGTTAGGTTCCGGTCAACCGTCGCTTGCGCACACCGCTCGCGTCAAATTCACAGTACGAACGGCTGGAGTCTATGTTATAGCCGTTATGATAGGTTAGTATTCTTACATTTGTACCTACTTCCGCGGCTATTAGTGGTGAACTATACTATATGTACGACGTACGTTGTAAATTGTCTAGTATAGATGCGCAGAAGCTGTTTTTCGTTAGTTGTTTTCCTACTAAAGGTAATTGTTAAGTATGCCCTCGCAAACATTCTACATTAGAAAAGTTTCTGTGATTGATTATGTGTGTCACTTTTATAGCCATGGAACGCGGTGAGCCTTGCTAATAAAAATAGATGAAAACGAGTAAAGAAAGAAAGTACGTGTTATTTAAGGTGGTGTGGTAGCAGCATGTGGTCCCTTTCGCAAGTGGTTCATAGCTGGGGGCGTTGCAGCACGTCGCTCCAGAGTAGGGCGTGACCCGGCCGCACTCGTTTGCGCTGCTGGACGTCCACGGGCCTTACACGTACATCCAAGGGACCATTATGACAACATTGCGACTATTGCCACTGATGATGCCAAGGTAAATATATTTAGAATATTAAGTAACCGTACCCAAAGCCGGTTACCGTTACCGAAAGTAATATATTTTAATCTGTATTTGATAGACCGATAGGTTACCTGTGGCCTTAAACGTTTCGACAGATTCATATACGTCAAAACGTTAATGTCAGTTTTTGACAGCGAAAGCTTTTTGATAGTTCGATTTGGTTTCAATATTTTGTGAATCAAAATACTAAATAATCCCGTATATATTTCAGAGCTTTTCAATAGAAATATCTCCGATTGGTGGTGAGGTGGACAAGTCCCTATCGTCAGCTGCCCAATTCGAATATGACAGTGTGAATCAGCGTGTGAGCGTGTCTTTATGTTTTCCTGAGGCGGGAGTGTTCAAAGCTGCTATTTCTTATGATGGGGTGTTATTACATAATGGACAGTTTGACTGTATTGTTTTAACGCGTAAGTATTCTTCTATTTCTTAGCTAATCTCGTATCGTTATATTATGAAATATGAACACTTTAAAGGTTTACCACAGAATATCGAAAATAATAAACAGTAATATAATGTCATATTATTGCTAACCTTAGTAATCTGTTAAAGTCCTCTTTATGCAATTAGACAAAGTATGAAACTATATATAACTCGGTAGGTATTATATAATGATACTAGCTTAATATTCTTTAATAAGTTCTGGATATTTTAATTTAAACAAAAGCAACGAAAGAAAGAACAAAAACCGAATCTTCTCACTATGTATTCAATTTGACGAACGAACCAAACTTCTTCGAAGTATGGCGCCTGTGCATCACTTTCTTTATGAACTATCTTTACACACACACCTACACGCTGTCCGATTAACCACCACTGTAACACACTTGTAATAATAACAGTAATCTGCGAGATCGCTATTTAGAATATGGATAGTTCAAGAAAGAATGCTAGTTATCATACTGGTGATAAATGCAATTCCTTGTAATCTTTTCTTCATCCACTATTTTGGTCCTTCGAGATTCTGCTTCTCTATTTTAGGCTCGAAAACGCAATAAAAAGAAAATTATCCTTTTTAGCAAGCGATGCAGCCACAGTACAACGCGCGCTGTCATCAAAGCGAGCTACAGTTTCGTACGAGGCTCGCTTATTATCCCCTGGCAAGCAACGCCGGGTGCTTTGCTGTTTAAGCCCTAAGCAATTGATCATAAAGGACTACATACTTAAGATTATCCCTAAGAGAATCACATCTTTTAGGGTCTGCCCTTCCACTAAGGTACCCTATAGCTTATTTACGATGATACATTTTGTTTTTGATGCCTTTAAAGCATGAGCAAATATAATGGTGATGTCATTCAAGCTGATATATACTCTGATTTTAATTCCGAAATCTGACAGCTATAATTTTTTTACATGTCAGAGATTGCAAACCTTTTTGGCCGGGCACGATGCCAGCTAAAGAATAGAATAAAGTAATTAAAGTGAATTCGATATATTGTTCGTGATATTGAAATATTTGTTATTTGTGTATTTGATCACTTGAGTAAGTAAATATTTAGATTGACCTTTTTGTAGGTAAAACATAAAAAATACGTAGCATTTTTTTTATTGCCCTCTAATGGGTCAAATTTGTCCCTTTTTTGGTGGAGAACTCTGTTAGTAGCAACACTTATGAAATATCAGAACTACGGAATGAAAAATCAGACTATAGTAAACATTGGCAAGTTTTTTCTAATGAAATACATTTTTAAACGAATACTAAGACTAATTAGCGACGAACAAGAACTTTTATCATTACTATCTATCTGTAATTTATATATTAGAAATATCAACCACCCGAACCGAATTAAACATCTATTATTATTTTTAATTTAAATAAAAGTTTCAACTCTGATAACAACTAATAAATTCGAGGAAACTTCTTGACGATTTGTTAAGGCAACCAACAAATGTCTTAAACATTAAAAATATTTTTTTTTTGTAATCTGTAAAAAGACCATTAAAAACATTTTTCGGATCACTGAAATAGAAATATTACAACGGTAACATGTTTTGATAAAATTTCAGCTAATAGTGCGTCCCCGTGAAGAGCATCCATGTCCAGGGGGTGAACTGGTTCTGGAAGACGGAGTCCAACCTCCGCTAAGGCTGCATTGTGCTGCAAGAGATCTTCTTGCTGCTACCTTTACGCGCCTTTTGCTTGCTAACTGTGGCGGAGAGGATACATTTAAGGTAAATACGAACAAAATACGTACAACCTACGTACGTACGTACGCGAGGTACGTAGGCTTGATTTGATATAAATTTATTTTATTAAAATTAAGTACAATTAATTCATGTTTAATGATATTATTGGTTATACATACTTTGATTATTACATACGAGAAATATACGAATAGCTAGTACTCAAAAATTAATTAGTTAATGATATTAGTAATAGCACAGGAAATATTCCTTTCAGAACAAACAAGAATTCTTCTACAGCGAAATGCGTACTGCGCATGCACGTCACCCGCATGATAAGATCTCGTTGCGCGTGCGCAGGGACGACTTAGTGCGTTCCAGTCTTAAGGCCACCAAGCATTTTACACTTGCCGACTGGTGCAAGAATTTCGACGTCGCTTTTCATGGCGAACAGGGTACGTATAAAAAGAAAATAATTTATATGTTTTTTTTTAATTGTTTTTTTTTATCATAAGTTCTGTAATCTTCAAATGGGGTAACATTCCGTAGTTTATTAATAATTTTAAAGTAGATAAGAAATATTTCGCCGGTAATCGAATATTGGTTGATACCTAAGCGACTCGACTCATTAAGATGGGATAAGACTATAGACAAAAATGTTTAAAGTTTTAGTGAAACGTCATCTTGATTCTGTTCTCGTAAAGACAAAATTCTTACATCTTTGAATAATTTAACAATCACTTATATAATATATTTAAATTTAAGTCTATTTTTACCGTTTATATACGATTAATAATCTTTCAAATTGAATTTTCAAATTACCTAAAATTGTCTAGCGTCATTAAACTTGACATCAAATGTGATATTTAGTTTTTATTATTGAATAATTTGATTCATCATTAACAATCATCCAATTGTCCTCCAGGCGTGGACTGGGGTGGTGTTCGCAGGGAATGGTTTTCACTACTGTGTGGTCAGTTGTTCGACGCAAGATTCGGTCTTTTCGTCTCTTACAGTGAATCAGCGACTGGTCTTGTACACCCGAATCCGGATAGACCACCACATCTCAAGGTAAGAATTAGAAAATCTAAAATTGTGAATCTCGAAATTAACCTTTGGCATAATTAATACGTAAAATCAAGTTTTTTAATGGACTGTTAAATGGAAGCAGGAACATAACACGTTCGATTAGTATTTGTATTCTGTACAAATTTTAGCTATATTTTTTTAAATAAATTTTTAGCTAAAACACTTTGAGCTCGCGGGCAAAGTAGTCGGCAAGTGTTTGTACGAAAGTGCCCTGGGAGGTTCTTACCGACAACTTGTGCGCGCGCGCCTGGCTCGATCTTTTCTTGCGCATATTATTGGCCTAAGGGTTCACTACAAGGTAAGAAAAAGAATTTTTGAACACAATTTAAAGATAATTTTCTTATCTATGTTATAAATAAAGTAGTAGTAACTTTAGTAACTTTTTACCAAAATAGGTGTAGTTAAAAACTGCAACATTACGCCCATTAAATTTCGCATTCTTTTATCATGTTTAGGGGTCCTAGACAAAGATTATTTATGGCAGGCGTGGTTAGAATTCCATAGTAATCCGTGATCTTGTCACGTGACCGAGTGTCAATTCCAAATTCAAATGGAGGCTGTCAGTTTATTAAATTGTTTCTGTCTTACGGAGATGTTAAATTTATAATGTCAAGTACCTAAAGCCGACAGAGGGAATCCTACTGAACCTTTTGTTTAACTATACATACGTTTTTACTGTGTAATAAAGTATTTTCTTTCTTAAATGTTTGTAAACTATAAGTACCGTAAAAAAAGGAATGATCACAATGAAATATATGAACGTGTATCGAAATACTTTCTTCGGATTCCTGTGCTAAATTTGTTTATTGTACTTTTTTCAGTACTTCGAGCAAGATGACCCGGAACTCTATCTTTCAAAAATAAAATACATTCTGGATGCGGATTTGGACGTAGCGGACTCGTCTCCGGAAATATATTTCTCGGATGACGTGTACGACTCTAGCGGACGATTGCTTGAGACAAAAGAACTTGTGCCTAATGGAGCTTCTATACGCGTATGTTACTTTACATTACCCAAAAATTCCGATGAGGGTTCGTTGACCTTGTTTATTTATAGAAAATATTTCATACTCATACTGCCCTTGGAAACTTTTCCTTTCTTTGTAATAGAGTGGCTAGAACTAAGTCTTCTATACGCACTTACGGCTTCCTTATCTGCTACTTTTAATGCTTTCATTGTGAGAGCGAGATAGCCTATTCCCAGTTAATAGCCCTATCTCGCTCTTACAATTTATTTACAGTCTACTCTCGATAATTTGAAAATTTGTATTTGATGAAAAAATGCAGTAAATTTCAAGGCTAATAGCAACATCTATTCTTTCGTGATTCACCAGTCTAGGCTAACGCTTTGTTATTGAAACCAGTAAATTTCCAACTACTTACGAATCGTATGTTTTTTTATATAAAATAACGACTGTCAAATGCGTTATATATAGAAAAGTCAACTGGACTGGTAGGAATTATTACTCGTATTTTGTATATAGAAATAGTATCTTACTGCTATTTCGCCGTTGCTGAAATGGCCATCTCTTTTATGAGTACCGTAAAAATCGTTGCGTTCACTGCGTAATTTACTAAATACTAGCAAATGTATTATTTTGTTATAATATCAAGTATATATCTTTCGTCCTTCATATACGATTGATTTGGCTTTGTCAGGTGACAAATAGCACAAAAATGGCGTATTTGGATGCGCTGGCGCAGTGGCGCCTTGCAGGCCGATGGCGGGCAGAGAGCGACGCCTTTCTACGCGGGCTCACTTTACTCGTACCGGATAATCTGCTCGCAATATTCGACGAAAATGAGTTGGAGGTATTATTAAGATTGTTAAACTACATGAAGCATGTTACGTATAATTCAGACCTAATTAAGTCATTTCTAGGTTCGATTTTACAACAATATTTTTTACGATTTAAAAATATCGATGCAAAAAAAGTTCTACCTGAAAAAGGTTTCATAGTTTTACAGCGTTTTAATCAACAAAATGGTTTAATTAAATAATCCAAGTTGTGTTAAAAGAACATAAATTATATGTATGTTTAAATTAGGTACTTATTTACATTAGACAACACGAGATCTACACACAAACCCATTCAAAAAATGAAGTTCATCAATAAGTTTCTGGCAGATGGATTATACAATTAGTCCTTTGTATGTTTCTGCACAGTTTTACTTCAAATACGCCAACATTCAAATTTTTCATACACAAATAAAAACATTTCCAAAAGGATTCCAGGAATATGTAAAGATTAATATGTTCAAACTAAATAATACTTCATAATGTTTCCAGTTATTAATGTGTGGCACTGGCGAAGTGGATGTGAACGATTGGCGCGCATATGCCCTGGTTTCGGGATCGGGTCGCGAGTGGGAACGGCGTTTGAACTGGCTCTGGGCTGCTCTCAGCAACTTCACCAATGAAGAGAGAGCTAGGCTGCTCCAATTCACCACTGGATGCTCTCAGCTCCCGCCTAATGGATTTCAGGTACTTTGACAAAATAATGACAGTTGACAGCTGTCATGTAGGGTGATATTCTGACTGTGAAATTCTAGTTTGTTTTTGACATACGACAGCGCTAAGTCTGGACTCTTCTGACCAATATTAACAAAGTTTGAACGAAAACAATTTATTAATTCTCATTAATCTGTCGGTACGCAAATAAATCGTCTTTAAACTTCAGAAAAAATAATAGTTTAGTACCAAATTTCAAATAATTTTAAAATAACTTTTCAGTAATTTTCCTTTTTTTGCTTCTATATTCGTTTTTTTCCAGGACCTAAACCCGCGGTTTCAAATAACCGCAGCGCCTACATTCGGTGCCTTACCCACAGCACATACATGTTTCAACCAGCTCTGCTTACCGGATTATGACTCTTACGAACAAATGGTCCACGCACTATTATGGGCCATCAATGAAGGAGGGGAGGGATTCGGTATGATATAATGCGATGCGGTTTAACCGCTGTGTATCCCGATAAATTAACGTGAGTCGACGTATTAAAAAAATAGCATTTGAGTAATAATAGATATTGCATATAAAAATGGCAGTATTTCTGTTTATAGTGTAGTGTGTTTGAGCGGTTTAGCAAGGAATTTAACCCATACTCTATTCCTAATCACAGTAGAAAGAGACAGCTATATCGTCTTTCATTACGATAGACAGAGATGCGTTATAATGAATGTTCAAAGTGCACACCAAATATCTAGTCTTAAATCAAATATTTATTAATTTATTTTTAGTCATCTCGGGAATGAAATAGCATTAACATTTCCTTATATATTTTAATATTTATAAGGAAAATTGTTTCAAACGGTTCTTGGGTTCTACATTTTTACGATGATTATTTTGACCAGCTGATTTTATTATACCGTTAAAAATCTCAGACCGATAACTCTTAGCGCAAAAATTTACAAGTAAATAAAGTGTTAGCACATTTTGACAGCGCGTATATGTAGAATATTACGATCGTGCATAACAGTAGAACTAAAAGTAGTTCTAAGACGTTTTGCTTGCGTGCTGCTCAAGTTTTCAATACAAAAAGCTTTATATTACGTTAACTATGTGTACGTTTTGTTATTTAAAGATTACTAGGGGTTTTTATGCAGAAATTATACAGTGAGGCCTGCTGAAACATACTGTAGAAACCATATACGAAGTTTCGAACACAAAAAAAAGTGTGATTAGGGTTTTGCTGTCGACTTTTGCATAATAATGCGCTGCAAAAACGTATATTGTAGATCCCTACATGCCGATAAAACGCTTTGCATAAAACAGAAAGAATTTTAACACGAATTGAATACATCTACATAACTCGACTTATGTGTTCAACAGTCGTAGTCAAGATCTCTCGTCGAGTTAACAATAAATTTACGTTCACAACAGCTAGAAGATATACTCAAATCTACAGTACTAGAGTAAACCAAAGAATTAATGCAATCCATTATATTATTTTAATAATGTACTTTTGTTCCTATTTTATTTATTTGAGGCTATTTCTCTATTTTACTAATAAAGCTTTGGTGCACAAATATAATTTATTTTTTTATATTATTAATAAATTTTATTATTTCGCTAACATTATTTGTTATCTAGTCATGTATGTGATGCGGAAAAATCTATCCGCATAGGCATAGGTATATTTTTGTTGAACATTTTGGAATGCGTGCGTATACGTTCAGGCCAACGCAACGCGCACGTGAAAAAGGTTGCCTAAGTATTCCATTAACCCCATAATAACCAATTTCTATTTAATTGTGATAATGAAACTTTAAAATAGAAGAATTAAACATTCGTATCTGTGTGAGCGATTCAAATTTAGGTATGCCTTTGATAAACTAATTAATACTTATAAATTTTGTTAATTGTTTAGTAATTAATGAGAAACCTTATATTTTAATTACGTTCTTTGAATGTATATTTTTAAGGAATAATTATGGAATTGTGGACGTAATAGGACTAATAAATTATTATCAACTAAAATCCTGCATGTAACTTTATGGCCTAATTGAATGAAAATTATCTATGTAAGGGTTTCATACCGACCAGGGAAAAACATCAAAAGATGGCTAAAACTGGCAGCATACAGTTTTAAAAATATGATAATTTAAAAACGTATACGTAATAAGACATATATCAAATACTCAAATATACATCGAATAAATAATCGCAAGTTTGAAAGCGGAATTAAATATGGATTTTGAATATGTGAAAGTGAATTCTGGGGTCACATTCTTTGTACTTAATATGAAATATCAATTTTAAAATAGTATATGAAAATCTCAGTGTACATATATTTATTAGAAATAATATAAGCCTAAAGTGAAAACCCCATATGTAATAAACTTTGTATATAAATCACTTTTGTCGGATATACGCTAAATCTTATTATTTTATTTACGAAAATCAGCAATTTTAAAGGAACGTGGTCGGTCGGTACCGGTATAGGTTGTAAGTTCAGTAAGGACCTTATGGTTCTGGCGTCCGCCATTCGGTGCAGATTTCCCAGACACTTGACCCTGTTGCACTTTATGAATTGGATGATGTTGGCGTCATCAATAATGTTAAAAAATTCTTCATTGTAGCGAATACGCCAAACAAAACTGTCGCAAACAGGGCCAAAGATTCTTCGAAGCAACTTCCGCTCGAAAATAAGGAGAGCAAGCTTGTCTTTCTTGCTTAGGGACCAGATTTCAGAACCATAAGTGAGCACTGGTCGCAGCAGAATTATTATATTAATTTCGGAATATTCGGTACTAATTTTTTTATTTTTAATAACCATTTTTATCCTCCTCACCCTATTTATAGTATGTGCTATGTAGCATGGTGACAGTTGCTTAATTTTTCTTTAAATTTGATTATTTACTACTAGAACATTCTGGCTGGGTTAAATTTAAGTTACTACAGTTAGTAATGATTTAATATATTACGAAAGTGGTACAGCTGAAATACTAAGTAATATTTTGTACATCGCAGCAACTTTCAAGAGTGAAACGAAAAAGTAAGCAACTGTCACCCGCACCATGCAACAGCGCACATGCTATAGAGTATAGACAATGTATGAATTCTGTTAGGTGATGCGTAAAGTCAAAAGTGATGTATGTACAAAGATAATAAATCTAATTTCTAATGTTTGGGAAAAGACCTTTTAGTATAGATATTCTGCAATACATAGGTTGTGTTTAATGTTTTGTGATTTAATATTAATTTGGTGGCCTAATATGGTTTTGTTTATAGAGCCCGCTAATAGATAATAGACAGGAGACGCCACTTCTGTGGATTTATAGTTCTGTGGTTCTATAATCTATAGTAAAGAGTCTTATTTCATAATTTAAACTATTACCAAATATACCTATTAAGATGATAATTGATGAGTCATTGTTTGTACCAAGACCCTAAATCCTACCCATAGAGATATAGTTTTGACACAGATCTTCGCAAGAATTTGCGTCTCTAACTTGCCAATTAATTTGTCGAGAACTAGAGTTACTTAAGAATTACTTGTTCATGAATCTCTGATAACTAAATGTGATCTTATTTTATACGTAGTTTTGGAGTGTTTATAGTTAAATCTACCTTCGTTGTGTCACCTAGGGTTGTTGTAGAATCTAGTCATTTCACTGTAAATTCAGAAACAATTTCACTTAGTTGGTAAAACCCATGGCATATATAGGATCAAATGCAAGCGGCACCTACTTGCTTTTAAAACAATATTATCAAATCCTGTGTGCTTCACTGCAGGGTTACATAAAAATAAGACCTTATAAAACGTGGAGTAAACACATTTTTTTGCCATGGTTACATTATTAATGCAAACAAATGGTAACCATCGTAATAAACTTTAATCCAAGTTTTATATTAGAGCTGTTTATGTACTAAATTAAGAACTTAAAACAAACAAGCTACTTACTAAATCTGTAGTAGTTTGTGTAGTAGTAAACAAGACGTTTGGAACAGTAGATTTTAAACAACTAAATTGATAAAAATTACATGAAGACGTCAAAATATATTGTGTAAATTGTTTAAGATTTCCGAATGTGTGCAATATACAAAATACAGAAACTGTTTCCTAAACATTCCAAATGTTGTAGTAGTCTGTTAGAAATGTAAGACTGAATAAATAATTTATTGAACAAATATGCGTTTTATTTATTGATTCCATTTTTAAAACAATTTTTTAAATATCTCTCTTTACAAGTTAAATTGTACTTTATTATAGATTTTCTAGATTGTTAAATTCATGAATTAATGGCACCATTTGACAATGGCTTGGTGTGTTTCAGATGCAATAATTTATAACGATAAACTTGGTACAAATTGTAATTTATTATAAAAAATTAAATTATGGACATTCCCCTGTGAGTAGTGTGAGCAAGGAAATCGTAAAATTAAACAAATGATAATTATAATATCTTTATTTCCATTAAAATACAATAAAACTTAACTAGCAATAACAAAGTAGAATACTTACCAAAATCGCATACAAACGTACATTCTAAGCGTATGGCGCCACAAAATCGTAAAAAAATACCTATTACAAAATGTGCGTCAGGCAATTTCTATGCAAATAATTCCGCGAAATATGACAAAAGGCAGTTAGCAGCCATTGAAGCATAATTACTAATAATTATGTTTTTTAAGACGGATCTTAGATAAATTAACAAAACAATAAGAATCTATTAAGTAGGAAAATGTTAACCTATTACAAGATTTTAATGAGTATTTTACGACTTAAATCAAAACCTTTACTTACCGACCGTAGTATATACATATATAACCTGCATGCGTTTAATTATATACGTATTAAGAGAATATTAAAAAGTATTTATATCCTCGAATCATGAGACAACCATAATATTATCATGACTCTTTAAATCGATACCTTTAGTTCTAATGAACATGAGGGGGATAACCTACCTTTTGCGAAGGAAATATAGCTAGATTAAAGTCTATTCGATATTATCTAACACAATGTTTAGAAATAGGACAATAATTAGTTAACAGCCATGCCTTGCAGGTACTAATGACCACATCACAGCTTCAGGGACCGACATTGGCTGTCGAAGCCAACACCGAGCCATTCCTAACATACTGTAAGAAAAATATAGTACTGTAGTTATATTCCCAAGCGTTAAATCAACCATATTTTGTTAAGAATAAAGTTTTGTACTAATTTTGAAGGTAATTTAATGTTGGATAGGGCGTAAGACGGTTACCTTCAACCCTTTAACTCAAAAGAGATATTAATTACTCTGAAAATCGAACCTAGAATCTCCAGGTAAAACGTATTAACAAAAACATTATTACGAAAGCCGTGTCATAATGTATGATAAAAATATTTGTCAAAATTGTCATACCGCGTAAGAGGTCGCGGCCACCAGTTAAGCTGCTCACGAGTGGTCGCAAGCTCAAGTTCAAGGCGAGTAAGACGCGCGCGAACTTCACTCAATTCGTCTCCAAGCACCGCACTTTCAGCTGCCGTGGCTAGCATCTGTTCGCTCAGGGCTCGGCATTCAGCTGATATCCGTTTGCGAGCCCTAAATAAAGTTAAAGGCAGTGTTTTAATTATGTCAAAAAAAAGTTTATATTGCGTTGGTTGATTCTCAAATCGCAATATCTAGAAGATATATACCATTATTCTAGGCTTAGACAATATCCTATATATTATATATTAGGTGAAGGAATATGAACTGATTTTTACATAATATTGAAACCGCTTCTTTAAAGTAAAAAAAGTGGAGTGGTCTTGGTAAAAAAATAAACTTTTAAATCAAAATAAGAATATAATTAACACAGCACTATTAAGTACTCTGTAACTTCCAATGTTACGACCTCGATTAAAGTTTAAGTTTTTGTACCGCGGGATTTCAAGACCATTACAGGTATTAAAAGAAATTTCATACAAAAATCTCAGGATCGCTATTGGATGTTGTAGAGTACCAGCTCTGGTATATATCTTTTAAATTAAAAAAAATATACGTACTGCATTTCGAGCTTCAACTGCTTGCAAGTATCATCTAGAAGTCTCTGTCTTTCCTCCACATCTCGACGAAGAGCTTTCGCTTCTTGTTCGGAGGTTGCGAGCATACATTCATGTTGTGTAAGGTCCTCCTCCAGGGCTGATATCTGGAAAGGAATCAATCGGTAAATTTTAAACAACTAATATCACAACAAAGGCCTATTAAGCCGTCATAGTCATATCTCACTAGGTTTAATATTTCATTTAGATAGCTGGAGCCCGAACGAACATCCTCCATCAACTCGTGAATGTCGAGGCTATTCAACTTCTTGAGATCACGGGTAAGTGAAGATTGAAAAGAACCAAAAGATTTGAATTATTTTAAGTGCACGGGAATCCTAAGAGCTAAACAGTGGTAAGTGGGGAAAAATAGTACACGAGAACATAGTGTCTATTTAACTTATGTTAAATATACTTTTTAGTAAATTAGGTGATGTTCATCAATGCCTCAGTGATTAGAAACATGTATTAAGAAACATATTTCACATAGGGTGGCTGTTAATGGCAATTTTATTTATAATTTTTATTTTTATTAAGCTGCATATAACATTTTAAGCGACTTTGTAAGTAAACTTGGATAATGCGGTCTATTCGACTGATTTCGAGTCGCATACTATTGGCCACAGATGTCGAATACACCGGGTAATTCCGAGATGAGAGAGGATTTACAGGATATGGGAAACGACATATACTTAGCTTTTTAGAAAGAAAGAAGATTAACTATCGTATATAGGTATTCTTCTTTCTTTTAAGCATGTTGGGTTGCTCTTTCATGGCTGATATGTATTGTGTTATCTACCTACCTATAGAGAAATTTAAGCCATTGGTACACATCAGGGTTTGAACGGACGACCACGCGTTCAGGAATTCGCTTTAACTGACAATTCTCTTTATATTCAACCATATACAAAACTATTTTTTTTAAATACTGTTTTAATTGGATACATTTAGGTGGGCTGAAAAGTTCGTAGACTAACAACATAGATTTGATTGATCAATGATTGATATATATGGCAACTGTTGTACTATGTATTAGTTTGTAAGATATAGTATTTTGTGTTAATTTGTTTGTTTAAAAAAAAAGGTATTTCGAACAAAGCTTTGTTTTTGGCGAAAAAATACTATTGAAGCCAAGGCTTTATAAACATTGTTCAGAATCTGCACTGTTATAGGATTCATACCCCATATATAAATAAATTAATAATATAATACAGGATATTGGTGTAGGTTCTTTTTTTTAAGGAATTTATTAAAAGTGCAAAAATAACATTGACTTACACGTCTATAGGCATGGTCCCGTTGCGCTTGTGCATCCATTACAGCGGCTCGCTCTAACGCCAACGATTGTTCGGCTGAACCGCGAGCGGCTCTTGCGCACTCTAATTCGTTGCGAGTGTTTCTCCACCCTACAATGAGGCAATTCTAAGGTGATTTTTCCAAGGGCGGATCGAGCGTGTGCGGGTTTTAAACCATTCCTAAATTGTTACTGATTGCAACCGGTTATTTTTTTTATTTTTACATCGCGTTTTGCATGGTTTCCAACAAGCATGATAATGTATTACCCAAAAGTGTCGAAACCCAACAAAATTTATTAAAAATGTAATAATCACAATATTTGCAGAATATATGAAATTGATATCACCCTCTGCTATTGCCTTCTAAAACCAAGCGAACGCACTAAAGACATACATACAATTTTATTATAATCAATATACCAATGCTTATTTCCGACATTCGATCTTCCGCTGCGCACACATCTTGTTCTAACTCGATTTTCTCCTATAATAAAACATTAACGTTAGTTACAAGTTGATAAAATAGTTCATATAACAAAACTATAAATAACTTTTAATATTAATTTAATTAAATTCTAAACATTTTTATGAAATATATGAACATTGATTATATTAGCTACAAGCGCGCATGCTCATTTGACTCGTTTAGTTGTTTACGAATTGACGTAGAACATCTATCCGAAGTCGAATCACGTCGGAGAAGGGAATAGAATATAAAACAAGTTGTGGGACATGCGCATGGGCATTCCTTCGTTTAACTTTAAAGTTATGTAAGTTTATGTAAAGTCAGTGAAGTGAAAGAAGTGAATTATAGTGAATTAAGTCATTAATGGAGTGTTTAATTTCCTACCCTAAGAACTAGATCAACTATCTTAATATATATATTTCTTCTGTGCGTGTGTATGTGACTGAACTCCTCTCAAACGACTGGACCGATTTTGATGAAATTTTTTGTGTGTGTTCAAGGGGATCTGGGAATGGTTTAGATTCACAAATCAGCCCGGCAGATGGCACTGCAGTCGGTACTTTCATACTTTGCTTAATATCCTAATCGCTTTAAATATCATGCAGGACAACGTCTGTGGGGTCCACTAGTTTTTATATAAAAATGAATCCCTATTTCCCTTGATTCACGTATCACGCGTGAACAGCTGGACCGATTATTGATGTAACATTGATATAATAAAAATGAATTTCGTTTAAAACAAATGCTTCGATCGGAGTTATTATATTGATAAAATAAATACAAAATAATAATCAATAAATTGATTTAAAAAAGATAAGATATGTCATAGACTATACTTATAATTAGATCATGTAACATGTATGTATTATAGCGATTTAATCTTAAGCCGAGAAATATGAAAGCAAGCGTGGTCGCTCAAAGTACACTAGTTTCCAAATATCAGTAAATATTAATTAGGTGAGGTTTTACTGTCTCACGTTTATGGTTCGTATGTTTAAGCTGTAAAAATACACAAGCATTGTCAAATCTACCTTCGCCAATAAAGCCTTTTCAATTTCTTTCTCCTTTAGCAGCTGCTTCAACCGATCGAGTTCACGCATTGCAAGGCGCACCTTTACATTGTCCGAATCTAACAAACTCTTCAAAGCCCAGACTTGAGTACGAAGGCGTTCAGAACAGCACACCTTTATTTTAGACATATAATACGTAACAGTAGAGCTATATGTATAATTAATATTTGACAATTTATGATATATATGGCTCTGATAATAATTGAACCGACAATAATGTTACCTCACAACAACATTTGTGGGTAACAAAACAACGAGCTCTTCAAAAACAGACTCGATAATTTCAACAAATCCGCAGAGATGTAAACCTAATCCTCGACAAATTTTATTTTTAACATGGCAATAAGCGATGTATACAAAATGGATTTTATATATTAAAATATCCGTCCAAAAAAGTCAACGGTCGCGTTAATTAATTAAAGGTAATAATTACGACTGTGATTTATGACTCGACTAAACTCTAGGAAAAATAATTAAAAAGGTTTTTTTAAAGAAATTATTATCCAAATCCTGACCTCCGGCACTCGGGGATGACAACTACGAAAAAGTTAAACTCAGCGCGCTTCTAGACGAACGTAGTTATTATATTATATCCCGATCGTCAATACCTATTGTTTGGAAAATATGATTAAACACAAAAAGTTCCGTAGCTTACCCAGTATCGAATAATAGAAGTAATCGTTTAGCTTAGAGTGCCTTAAAATTTATTTAATCGTAAGTTATTAATTTAATATAAAAATAAGATAATTGTTATAGAACCTGAAATTCCAAGGTCTTCTTGAGACATCGAACCTCTTCGCGTCGTCGTCTCCAGGCGGTAGCCAACATGAATCGGCCAATTCTTGCCGCCGCTTGCTGTTCACTCGCATTATGCAATCCTGGTGAACGGACCACCGACAACCTGTCCTTTCTGAAAAATACAACCACCGTAATGCCACGTCCGTCGCTATGCCACCTCCGTCGCTGGGTAGGTAGAAATGAAATTGTGTATAATATACCTACCAGAAAGAAAGAAAAGAAGGTCGATCATTGGTAAGGATTTCATAGAAATAAACCAGACAGCTGCTTTTTAACGGAATAGAAAGCCAAAAGATACCTTCTAAAGAGCTACTAAACTCAAACTCAAAATAACTTTATTCATATAGGTAAATAAGTACTTAAACGTCAACAAAAAAGATGTTAAATTCATTCTAAATTTTCATTTAGAAATGGAGGCGTAGAGCGGACAAGAAACTCTACGTCACTCTTTTTAATCGCCCAAGTCTTGAGTCATACAAAATATTGTTTGAATTGGAGCAAATCAATCCTAAGGATTAGAATCATTTAAATATTCGTCAAATTTATAAAAAGCTTTATTAATTAATTTACGGTTAACGAGAGTTTGGAATCTATTCAGTGATAATTGTCTGATTTCGGTATAAGGAGTGATTCATCTTCTGGAGCCTGGTTGGTCGTACGCTTAGATTAGTTCTCTTTCGAGTATTATACTGGTGAGTCACCATTTGTTTAAAATTGCTACCAGAATCGTGTTTCACGAAAAAATTTATTTCGAACAAAAAAGTTTATTGACGCAGGCTCAAGTTTACACAAAATTTGATTAAATAACAAATAACAATGGAAAACCTGTCTCGCTTGGGTCTATTCGGTGTGAGGTCCTCCATAGAGGCAGCCTTAGGCCCAATCTTAGCCCGCTTAGGCGTAGCATACTCGTCAAGGCAGCTTTTGATGCGTGCGAGGTTAGGACTCGGTGCTGAACTCTTTCCGGTAAACTTGTTGACAGTCGCTGAGCAAACGTGCTTACGGGGTACTCGTTGAATGCGCCGTCTACAATAATTATTCGTGGCGTTTCAGTTCAGTATTAATAATAGAAATACGGCAACAAAATAACTGAGATTATCAATATTTTGTTCGATGTTCGATAATTCATTTTACCCAATTAATTTAATTCAATAAAAATATTATATTATGTTAAATAGTTGTAAATTTATAAAAATACATAACTTTAATCCGGTTAAAAAGTTTTTTCTTTCAATAAAAATACTGTTATTTACAATTTATTAGCTGTTACTTATTATATGTATTGAGCAGTGTTGGCCTTGTGGCCACAACCAAGCCATCCTGAGGTCGTCGTTCGAACCCCTGGCTGTCATGCACCAATGGACTTTCTTTCTATGCGCGCATTTAACATTCGCTCGAACGGTGAAGGAACACATCGCCAGGAAACTGGCTTGCCTTAGACCCAAAAAGTCGACGCCGTGTCAGGCACAGGAAGGTTATCACCTACTTGGCTTTTAGATTAACAAATTATCATGAAACTGATACAGATGTCTGAGGCCCAGACCTAAAAAGGTTGTTGCTCTGTTTTTTTTTATCATATTCTTAAGACTGTCTATCACATAATTTCATATTTTTTTTTTTTATAATAATTTTATGATAGCCAGCTGCGGGGCTGTATACAAGTAAGACCTACATTCTAATAATCCAACGATTACAAAACAAAGTGCTCTGGGGAATAATCAATGCTCCCTGGTACATTCGCAATGACGACCTCCATCCTTTATGTAGGACGTCGCTACAATAATAAAAAAGATTGCTGGAGCCCACGAACAAAGACTCACCACACGTTAATGTTGAGGCTATTCAACTTATTGTCACCAAGAGCCTAGTGCGAAGATTAAAAAGGACAAAACCATTCGAATTATTTTGTGTGCACGTGCCACGTACCTAAGTCTTAAGTGCTAAACACTGGTAAGTGGGGAAAAATAGTAAAACAGAACGTTCCCCTTAATGGAGACTGTTAGTAGTGTTATTGGACACTTTCTTATGTTAAATATCCTTTTTAGTAAATTAGTTTAGTTTTAAATTACTTATTAGTCTTACGTTAGGCTAGATCGTAATGTTAAATGATGTCTTTGTGCCGAGTTTAATTAATAAAAAGCTAAAAATATTAATAACATGTGATACTGTTTTATTTTTTACTTGCTTTCGCTCGCTTTTCCCGCGTAGATTTTGTGATTTTCCCGAACTCTTCAACAATAATCGTTATAATATTAAAACCTAGGATTAACACTATCTTCTAGTAAATGAAGTAAGAGTATCAGTTTGTTACGTTGCGTGCATTGCGTTCATACAATCGAGATCAAGAAAAAACGTTAGAATACGTATTATATAATATGAATTTGTTATATTATTGTACAAAGCTATTTGCTATAATGCAATCATCGTTTATCGATTGGTGACGCGTGGGTTACAGTTGCAAGCAAAATTTGCAGGAAGATTTTAATGCACGAATAAAGACATAATAAGGTAATAATAATAAAATATCTTTATTTTAATACTAAAAATATAAACACATACAACTTTAACAGTTAGTAATAAAAATAAAATGTTGTATATATATGGACTCTTCCAGAAATTATGTATTTTTCTATCTCCAGCCATCTTTCCAGGTGGTAAGGAATTATAATTAAGAATCGTTTGAGAGTCTTGATTTGAACGATATAGCATGGACACATTTAATTTAACTGACAAAAGTAGAGCACTGTATTATGTTTGGACATTATATAGAAATAACATGAGATAAAAAAACAAAATTACAAACTATAGTTAAATACAATTATTTCCTACATGTCAGAATCGTTTATCATATCACATCGTTTAGAACAACATACCGATTATATTGACCAAAATCAAAAGAATCCCGGCGGAATTCTATTGAATTCTATCGGTTTTTACGACCAAATATGAGTAATCCCTTCGATGTCGTTACAACAGATTTTGACGTATATATTTATTTTTTTTATTTTATTATATTTGGACACCCGGAAAGATGGGGAAAGATGTCATAAGTACCTATTATTAAATTCTAAAATAATATATTTACTATAAGACCCAATTTTACTTTAGACCATTGTTTCACCAACTGAGCTTCTACTGGACGATATTCGAAGTGTATTTCTCTCCTGAATTGTTCAGGAAAAGATGAGCATTTTTTTTAATACCCTTCAAAAATTTTGGGTTATATTTATTTATTAAGGAAACAAACAGATACACCTTACACAGTAAATAAAATAAAAGTAAAACATAAAATAAACAACAAACCAACATTGGACATATCCACAAAAAGTTTCACTGATAAATAAACAAGCAAAGCAAGCATTATACTACTTACGTGGGTGTAGCGTATAGGTTATGCCTTTCACGCGACAGCTCCCTCTCTGAAATATCACCAGCTCCCCATCTTGCCACCGGGGAAGCGCTTTGCGGCACTTTTAAGCTCTCACTCATTTCTGCGAATTTACAAATATACATGCACATAACTGCATTCCAAATATGGTATTCTATAATTGCTTGAAGCCACATTATATTAGGGATACTTTAAATCGGATAACTGTCATCGAAAGAAAAGAAAAAAATAACTATTTTATTTTAAATCGCTATTATTACAATACATAGAGCAGTGTTGGCCTAGTGGCTTCAGCGTGCGACTCTCATCCCTATGGTCGTAGGATCGAGCCCCGGCTGCATATGTGCCCATTTAACACACGCTTGTACGGTGCAGGAAAACATCGTGAGGTTTCCGGCATGATTTAAACCCAAAAACGTCGACGGAGAATGTCAAGCACAGAAGGTTGATCCCTATCAGTATGATCACGGAACAGCTACAGAAATCTGAGGCCCAGACCTAACAAGGTTGTGGCACCATTGGTATAAATATAATTACAATACATGTTATGCACTTACCAGGTTTTATTAGTTTCCTTTAAATTCCTTTTATTTATAAATATTAAGTAAAAAAGTGTGGCACCTCTACGTTTGATTGATTAGAATGAATTGTCGCATATTCAAACTTACTTCAACCCATATGGATTTTAAATTATTTTTCTACGTTATGTGTAAAGGAGTTCCTATATATTATTATTCATAATTTTAACGGTGCTATTTCGTAATGTTTCGTCTCTGTCTATCCAACTATGTTTACGCTGTGATAAAAGAGACAAACTAGTATTTTAGTTAAAACGATGCATGTACTGGTTTATTTATATGAGTGTTTCTTTACCGATACATGTTATGTTGTAAAACGTTAAACAAAATAGAATTGTGAGTAAAACATTTTTGACTATTGGCAAAGACGATTGATACTTTAACTGTCTTTAAAAAGGCTATTGGACAGTATTTAAAATAAAGTGTTGAGAACATTGGCGTAACTATACCATCTGGGACCCGTGGCAAACTCTTTTGATGGCTCTATCAGTAAAATCGTCACGTTGTACTCAGTTTAATTTTAATAAATTTTCACGATTTTCAGAGTAGGTACTCAATTACACGTTGTATATGTCCCATTAATGGCCATAGGCCTCCCGTCTTAGGCAAGAGGGAATGGTCTGTAGTCCCCACGCAAGCCCAATGCGTATTGGAGACTTCACATGAATTCATAGAACATAATATCTCTTGGGCAGGGGCCCTCTTGGGTCGGATGCCCGTGACATTTTGCCAGCCCTGCCATTATATTGTTCCGCCACTGGTTGAGAATTTTCTATTTAAACTATGGCTTTAAAGGCGTCATGGAGTAAAATAACTTCTAAATATAAATTAATTTATCAAAACATTTTAGTTAGTCACTTGTCACAAAACGATCACAGATTAATAGAATCTCCAGTCTAGTGTCTAATCCTGATACTGTCTTGGACTTTAATGCAAGCTTGCGGCAATGCAGGCAAGCGTTTTGGCGGGTTCTTGATTTGTTGTTTAATTAGATTTTTTAATGAAAATACTTAACATAATTAAACATAACAATTTGTACAGATTTGAGTTTAAAATCATGGCATAAAGCCTATTTCACATAATTCTCAATTATTTCCAATTTCGACGCCATCATTACTCTAAAAAGCTTTAATAACAATATTTTTATTTATTTAACGAAATTCGTGTCACATTTATGCAATAAATAACAGGAGTCTTAGCCCATTAAAAAATAATTTAATAGCACCGATAATAGTTGGCGACCCTTCAGGGGTTGATGGTATCAAAGCCGAGGGTGCGGTGACGCGCCGTTTTGGCTGGCGCCGAGGTTGGGCGCCAGCCATAGTGGCTCAGGTTCCTAGGCACTATAGGGTACGGTATATTGTACCTTATAAATAGCTAGGCACTTAGGGTTCTCTATAGTTCTTCATTCAAAGGGAAATACATGTTCGGAAATTGTTAGTTTTACTCTGCAAAAAACTGGCATAGTAATTGCTTCAGAAAACTTTTCTGTAAAATAGTAAGGTAACAAATAGTTCTACTGTGTATAATATAATCTACTATAATGTTATTTCTGTGATTCATCAGTGATCATAATATGCGGGACGTTACAAATAGATAAAAAACCTAATTTTTTTACGTCCAACGAAATAATACAGTATTATTTATATTTAAAATAGTATTATTATCTAATGATTACAAAACATTGAGGTAGGTCATGAGTCATACTAAACCCTTTAATGCAATATTACGCAATTCAGAAGGGTTGGTTGTCGAAGACAGGGTAGAGTTTACAATATACATAGATACATGCCCCTTTTTGTCACCACACGGCAGGTTTTGACGTTTAAGTTAAATACAAATTTTATTTTTATAATCCAAATGAAGTTTCTTTATCTAAATATATGATGTGGGAATAAAAACCATTCAATATCTAATCATTCCAAATGAAATATACTCAGAGCTTTTTATTTTGTTTATATCATATCTCTTCATTGGAGGGAACATGGTCCACCACCATCCAGAACTTCAGACTAGGAGGTATTCTGGGCTTAGGGTTTATCGTGCAATTTTTGATTCAATTACTTAATATATGATGTATTTATTAAATCACCTAACAACTATAATTTTGAGTAATTTAACTACGATTCAAATTTAAATCGTAGGTATATTCAACTGTTTGAAAACATGGCGGCATGGTAGTTTTGGCGCCACACGCTATCTGTCACAGGTGAGGCGCCGACGCCTCGCCGTCGACAACGAACATAGACATACAATGCGACGCGACGTTATAGGCGACGTTTCGAAAGAAGTATATTATTAAAATTATGAGTCACGGGTCATTACTTTCATATTAAAATGATATATGAAATATATTAAACTATTTAATATATAATTATAAAATAAGATATACCTAATTGATAACTTACATACAAACGGCGTTCGTAAGCCTGAAAAAAGCCAATGCTGCGTCTGTTTCAGATATTTTTTATGTGATCAACCTGTTTTCCTATCACTCGCAAAACAATTATTATTTAATAAGTGGAAATAAAAACCACGACTTTCATGCAAGCCATGTGCACAATGAAAAATCTGTGTTCATTAAGGAATTAAATAAACCCCGAAAAAGCTCTAGAAAATTAGGACTCGTAATCATGACTCATCCTACCATCCCCTAAGAACTAAATGCGTATGGCAAACGATGAGTCACATTTCCTGAAGTACTCTTAAATTACACCCACGCACCCGGATCAGAAGGCTTTCAGGTATGCCGATATGACTCACGTTAGTTTTATTCAAGTAGTATTTTATGATCTGAAGTTTAACAAATTTATATAAAGTAGTTCAAGAAATACTAGCTGACCCGGCAAACGTCGTTTTTTTGCCATGTATATTATTTCTAGGAAACATTTTTTTAGTTCAATATAAATAACTGTCTACTATAATTAATAATAGGGGCTGATCTTAGAGGAGTGAAAATTAAGGGTTGTATGTATTTCTGTATGTTGTATCATAAAAAAAAAACAGTGGACACCTCTTATCACTTAAAGGTTTGGAAGATAAGTAGTAGCCGATTCTCAGACTTACTAAATATGCATACAAAATTTCACGAGAATCGGTCGAGCCGTTTCGGAGGAGTATGGGAACGAACATTGTGACACGAGAATTTTATATACATATGTATATAGAGATTAAATTTGAATGGAATTTCAAATTTAAAAGTTGTTGGTTCAACCAACAACTTACCAACCAACTTGGTAAGGATTTCCAAGACAATATGACTAATTATTCAATTCACTTTTATTAAACCATAGTCGGTATATATGCTATTTAACTTCATAATTTTGGTTTTGAAATTTAGACAATTTCATTTTATTAATAAGGTTGTTTGTACAAGTTTGGGTACGAGTATGATACGACACTATACCGCAGCAAGCAGCAATAGCAGTGCATAATATTTATTTCTCAATATTGGATACAAGGTTGTGATTTTGAAGGATATAATATTTTCTCTTTTCTATTATTCACATGTCATGAGGCCAAGTAATTATTAAATAAAGTTTGAAAATTGTAACCCGGCCATACGACCGTTTAGTCTAGGATGTCGACTTTGGCAAAACTAATAGATAGATAACAATATAATAAAGCCTACAAGAATTTTAGTGTTTATTATCAAAAGTTTTTGATTTTTGCTTTCATATATTTCCTTTCTGTTTTGAAAATTAACTCCTTTAAAACTTATTGTGCGTTTTCCAATTACAGAGCATTTTGCGACTCAGTGCCGCACAATGCCGCATAATGCTGAAGCTTAATTGGAACGTGAATTAGTTTTCAAATGCATCAGCAGAGTGCGCTAAGTCAGTTTTGACAAAAAAATGGTCTGAATAGAGTTAGCAACCTCATTAATGTATAAATAATGTGGTAAAAAATAATAATTGGTTGAAAACTTGTTACGCTTAATTTAATAATCAAATTATTTCATTAACATTTTTTTACTGAAATAAGAGAAAACCTTTAAAGAATATAAGGTTTTAACAAGCTAAATTAACAGTAAAATATTTAGTAAGAAGTTTACATCACTTACGTTTTGAGTAATATTTTTTAATGATTTCTAAAAAAATTATATACTTTTTCAAAACCATTGCAATTTTTTTCTAAAGTATAATCCTGTAAAGTAAATTTGTTTACAGATCCGAATTTTAAAATAAAATTGTATTCATATTTTAAATGTGGAATATAAAAAAAGTAACTATTTATACCTTCATCCATATTAATATTTATTTTGTTTAGCAGTTTGAAATAACTTTAATTATTTTCAAAATCTACGACGAAACGAAAGCCTTACAAATTTTTCAACAATAAATAATATTTACTAACGAAAATTTCGATAAATGCCAACTTAAAGAAAAATACTGGTCAATTTTCTGTCACTGCGTTGGTATTGTTTGCGAGAAGCTCGCGAGAGCATTCGTTTTGAGAGTGCTCAATTGTGCGAAGCGTTGCTGTAGTTGGAACACTCGACGTTGAGCATTATGCCGCAAAATGCGCTCTAGTGCTGTAATTGGAAAACGCACAATTGTTATTCTAATAATGAGTACAATCTTTCTTACAAGACACATACTTTATTATCTGTTATTTACTTTTTCTAGATGTCAGTTGTCACTTCTCTGACAAACCAAAACGCGGTAAACTGTAAAATTATACTAAGTACAATAATATAAATTTAATTTAAAATAAAAAAGGAGAAAGATTTGTAATACATGATAATACGAAAGTTCCTACTATATCTTCCACACATGGCGACATCTCATTTTTGACTTAAATAATAGTCATAATTCGCAGTCGTGAAAAGTTTAATAATGAAATTGCTTTTTGCGCATGCGCTTATTCCGTGTACGTCAGAACTCAGAGCGCCATGTGACAGTTTGTTTCTATACGCCAATTGTAAGCAATCGTTCCCTGTGTGATGTTCCGTGTGTAAGCCGTGTAAAGTTTTTTTTTTGCATTTGATGCACACAATAGCGATACTTCTGAATTGTAGCATATCGTCACGTTTGCTGCGCGTTAAATTCAGCGACATAAAGAATTTCTATAAATACACGCAGTAGTCAATTTCAGACATTAGCAATATTGTGAGTTAACAGTGTTTTGCCAACAAAGTGCAAAATATCACAATTTTCGACATAACCTGTTCTCTAGTTCTTGGAACCGTGCATGCAGTGAGACCTTGATATCTTGAAGTTGTTCAATTGAAGACAGTTGTTATAGGATCATGCTGGAGGAGGTACGTGCTTAGTTTTACGATCTGGGTAAATCGCGCGAATACGACCCAATAAAACTGCATCGATTGTGAGTTCATAGTTTATCAGTTGTCCAGTGCACTAGTGATGACGAAGTATAAAGTTAAGTGCTGAAAAACATTTCGTGTCCTCAGACGAGGCGTTAACGTGCGATGGACAACGGCGGAGGTAAACGAGTGAAACCATTGCATGATATGCTCTAATTAAATGACCAAATGACACTATTTTGCCTCTTTGCACGTAGTTTTAGCATTCGATGTTGTTTATTTACCACATCTCAATAATCATCTTCTGTATATAATAAAAATTCAGTGTGGTATGCAATGTAGTAGCTTGTTTCATCTCTCGGTGCAATCTATAAATATCTCAAAAGCAGTTGAAACAAAAGTAGAACATTCAGATATAAAATATAGCTATATGGGTTTTGGTTTCATAAACTTTTAACTACTAACTTCTTTATTTTATTTAAATAGTTAAATTGTGTTTATCCCTACATCTTAGCTCACTTATGAAATACATATATATAATAATGACAAAATAAATATTTTAAGTTTTATGTTGGTGCATCCTATCTTTAGAATGTTTAACACGCAGAGGTTTAAACTTTCAGCAATAAACACCCCTATAATTTAAACAACATATTTTAAAAATAACTTGTTAATTTTCTAGGGGCAATTTTACTGTAACTTATGAAAATTTGAAATCTTTCATAGTTTTGTCTTTTGGGGGAAAGTCTTGCCTAAGTCTATAAATGTATTTATGGCAATTTTATATTGCCATTCCTAAACAACACCTTTTAATCAAATTGCTTAGGGCTTCCATTTAATTTATTTTAATATTAATTAGGGTGAGGGTGTTATATCTAATCGTACATCTTATAAAGTGTAAGGGACTCACGCAACTATTACTTTTTAAAATACATAATTTTAATGTTCTTTTATTTTGGTGTGATTTTTTATTTGACCTATATTCAAGTGTGCTGGATCAGCCTAAATAGATTTTAATGCTTTGTACTGTAATAAAAATCATGCTGGTTGGATGCCATTACAGTTTTATTAATGACTTTACTAAGTACCAAACACTTTTATATAGATTCATGAAATACAAATCCAGTTATAACAACTATAAAGTGAAGCTCTTGTATGTCTATCTGTCAAATGGTGTTTATGTTGTGATAGAAAGAGACAAAACAGTGTTTTAGCAAAAACACTGTAATTAGACTTATTAGGTTTTTGTGTCTTATGGAGTTAATAGACTTCTGTAACTTGTTAGAGACAAACTTTTGCCAGTTACTGCATAAACTATAAAGTCACAAATTAATATAGTGATAAAAAAATCTATTTATGATAATGGACCCATTTATCAAGTTCTTCAGAGAAATGTCTACAGATTGTCTCTTTAATTTAATAAAACATTTATATGATTTAATGATAAAAATCATGCTGAGGGTATTTACTACAGATGAAAACCTTTGTTGAAACAACTTCTGAGGTAAATTACAATGCAGTAATGATACTATTATCCTTATTGTCACATATTACTTATTCTATTAAATTTTATCCCCACTCTTGAATCAACCACAAATGTTATATTTTATCTGAGAGTCAAACATAGTGGACATTTTGTGTATTTCATGGTGACTTTTTGTGAAGGATAAAAATTATGGTGGTATCAAGCATGTTGTGGTATTACTATCCAGGTAGGCGAAGAGAGATTCTGATATACTGCAGTATCACCTAGTTATTTTAGTTAAATTAATTTAATAGACTACATGAAGGCTATTTAATATTATACCTAGTTCCATTTAAAACAATAGATAATTGTTTGATAATTAATTAATATATGTCATTTAAATAGAAATCTTGTGATGAAAATGTGTCCTAACTATAAGGAAAAATATTTTTTAATATCCACTCTTGTTCTTGCTTATTCAAGTTTTTTAGTCAAATACTTTTGGAAATATGTTAATAATAAATTGATCTGGTTAATACGAACTTGTGATTATTATTTTTTACAATAAATAGGTAGCTTGAGTTTTTCTAATGTTGGGTATGATATCCATTATTCAAGGCAATTTATTAGGTCTTGGGTTTGTTCCCTTTAAGATTTCAACGCTGATTGCTGATGGAATTTTGTGCTAGAACCAGTGCCGCCACATTGTTTATAACCATTTCATTTGTCAAATATGCGAAATCCATATCAGAGTTTAATACAAAAAAATCTGCGTCTTATATTTAAAATAAACATTTAATATTTCTAGTAGCGTGTTACGACTACTCATTGATTATTGTCAAAAAGCGAAGTGTCCAACCACTCGTAATTATAGACGCAAAACCAGTTAAGTCATTGTCCTGCAAACTTGATCATTTAATAATGTAGAATACTTGTGTCTCTATAGTTTTTCTTATGTATATTGTAGTGCCATGTTGATGTGATTATTGGTACAATTGCGACATATTTCTTTACAACCATATTATAAATGTCATGATATAGGCATTTGAATTACTCCCAGAAAGGTGATTTCAGTATATATCTCTTTGGTATTTAGACCTTTTAAACAAAAATATCTAGATCGAATTAGATCTCGTGTTGGAGCTATGCCCACGGACTGATTGTCATTATGATTTTTTTTGTTCTTGTCCAGGTGAATACATGAAGCATAATAATATTAAAACTGTTGATCAAAACATTGTACAGATATTTTTTTTATTATACTATTTTTATTTTTCACATTTAAACTACTTTTAATCTTGCTGACAAATCAGTCGTGATTCGTTGCGATATTAAAGCCTAAAAAAATCTAGTTACATTTGAATTATATTGATAAAATACCATAAATACGTTATGGCTAAACTGTTTTCGTAAGGAGCCTATTTTAAATTAAAGCACTAACACAAATCATTCTCTTACAATACCATATATAGTGCTTCTTCTATAAGAATAATAATTTTCATAACACCAAGTTCTATTGTTAAGAGTTAAATTTGTAAATGCATATAACATTTTAGACGCGAACGCTCGTTAAACATATACTTAGAAGAACAGTGTTGACTTATCTCAGTCTAATACCTATGTGAATGGTGGTTATAGTGTGTTATTATGTTGAAAATCTCGTAGACAAAATACTGCGTAGTAAATACGAGTAGGAAGTACGACGATTAAATTATACAATATAGCAGATGCTATAGAAGTGTTTAGTTAGTATAATAAACCTAGAGCAAATTAATTATCGCTCGATATAGATAATCGTTTTTTGTTACGTCATTTATAAAACGGCTCAAACATTAAAGATGTATCCGTCTGGAGTACTTCTATAGTTATAAATAAAATATAATTTTAAAATACACTTCTTTATGAACATCTAGGCTATTTGATAGCTTCTTTAATATAAAAAACTATACAAAAATTCCTTTTCTAATCTTAAATGAAATCGAAAAATCTATTAGAAACTACCCCTTTCGACCCCCTGATAATATGAAATGAATTTTAGGCTAGGTAAGATGTAATATTTCAGCAAAAGGTGATGTAATATACATCTTCTGGGTACCAACAAATTTGTAATCAAGTCGAAGAGCTGTCAACCATAAATTTATATAGACAATATTTTTAAAAGCGTACCATGCTCTAAAAGTGTCCAATAGTGACGAAATTCTTGGCTTAAAAGTCTCGTATATTGTATTTTGGGTATATGCCATGATGACCAGTCAATTATTTTAATTATCTCATAAACTCTAATACAATAGTGATCTTACATTTTCCTGTATTAGAATGCCGTGCACGTGTCGATGTTTAGAAAGTAGATCAATAATTTCCGCCTGCCTTCTTAATATCCTGTTAGAACGAAGAATCAAGAAGCGTTTAAGTTTTATTTGCGTTTATATATTTTGCTTGAAATAAATATAAGTGCTTTAAATGTTAAAGGTAAGTTTTGCTTAGCATTCCACACGCGTTGTCTGATTTTTTATGTTTGTACTTAACGCCTTACTATATGGATTTACCAATTTTAATAGATAAAAAAGTATATCAGTTGAACTTTGCATTATCTATTTAATATTGTCATAACCTCTCTCAGATTTTGGTACATTTAAGGCTTGATGATTAAGACATAGTCTTAATTTTAATAGTTATCCAACCGCAAAAGGCAGCTTAGAGCTGGAATATAAATTTCAAGCATTAGTTTCATGTGTATATGCTTTTATTCCCTGGAGGAAAATTTACCTTACCTTGAAATTAGTTCTGAGGTGAAAGGCGATCTCGTCTGGCATTTTTAAAAGTAGATGTGTGAATATTTAACCACAATCCACTTATAATCTAGTAATTACATAATAATGATATGATTTAATTGATTCGACTTGTGTAAACTACTTATTAAAAGAATATAAGTTTATATAAGAAATGAATTTTATTCTATAATATCTAGTTGAAACTAGCATCACACATTTATATATAGCAACACAGACTGACAGACAGAATGCCGACAAATATTTAATTACAAACCGCTTTTTAGAATGAAAAAGCAAATCATGATATAACATTTCTGATTGTTTGTACAGGTGCGGAATAAAATCGTTGTAAACTTTATTCAATATTTTTTGCCTCTATACTTTGTGGATTATATTTTAAATGCTTTATTTTGCACACTATATTTACTTGTGATCCTATTAGCTGTTAACTGTACATAAGTAGTTATGTGCACTATGTACCTTGCTTCAATTTGTGTTGAATCTAACTGCTTGATGTGACGCGCTTGCTCAGTGCTAACAGACTGCGTGTTCTTTGCAGAGGGCGTTTTAGACATAATACACAATGAAGGAGACCCTCCATCCCACCTGAATATTAGTGATGTCAGTAAGTATGCTTTTTAATATTAGCAAATATACAGTAATATTTACTACCACGGAAAGTTGAACTAGGTGTTGTATGTTTCCTGTATTGTCGCTTGTGTCTTGGGACCCTTTGTCTCCTATGTTATTAGTGTGAAAAAGTAATCCAAAACGAAATTGTATTATTACTACACATTAACTTAAAATTTTTGTTCAATAAAATGGTGCGTCAGTTTATTTTTTTGGAAAATGTTGCTTTCCTGATTGTCTAAAGGTATAATTATGGTAATGAACAGATAGCGTAATGAATTAAAATTCCATTTTTTCCATCGACTTTAGTTAAATTTTTATTATTAATGTCATTTTAGATCACTGTTCCTTTACGTCTATGTGTGAACGAATTTGTGGCACTAAATACTGTCTCCGAAACTATCGATGTTTTTATATGATCTCAGAACGAATTCGCATAAACGACGTTAATTATCCTATATTTACCATATATTATACAACTGTCGAATTGGCATATTTGCTGTTAGGGAAGTTGTAGTTAATAAATTTTATCAGTAAAGTACGGAAGTGTAGCTTTTCTTATCTCATAAGTAAATATTGGTTTATAGAATCATTAACCGGCGCCACTGCTTAACATTTATGTTGTTTACCGGGGAAAACCCCGCTGGTTGGTAGCTTTCCGAAATGTGAAAGTGCATGCGCCCTTGGCACACAAATTCTTATTACGATCACTGTATCTCTGCGGAGGTAGAAAAGAAATTAAACTTTTTAATATAGTTTTGTGAATTAATAGTTTTATCATAGTGTAAATGAATTTCCTAGTAGGTTAGATCTAAAATTATTACCGAATATTAAGAAGTTTGTAGTATCTTAAATTATCTTAGAAAAAACTTGCTCAATTGTGTTGATGTATACATAGGTGATTCTCGGAAATTAATTTTCCATGTAAAGCCCATTGCCAAATTGTATTGACTGATATTGTTGAAATCACTTAGCCGAATTTATCGAGATCGCTAAGTATTAGTTGGATAAATACCTATTACATAACCAGTCATTCGTTAAAATATTTTTAATTAATGTCGCTACGATTAATTAAAATAAAATTATATTATTTCAGCTGTAATTAACATACAGACCAGTGGTTTATGGATAAGAATTAGAATAGACTTGTGTTGGTAATGACTTCCGTGTCTTTAAATTTGTTGGATTTCACTGTACAGGAGGTGGGCCTTTTTCATACAAAGTTGATCGTGACAGGTTGTAACGTTGATCAAACATGGTAAAAGTACCTAATAATGTACAATTTATTTCACAAAAATAGGCGGAAAATGGGCCGGTCTTTCTGCTAAATGTGTATTCCAGACAATGTAAGCGCAAATCTAAAAAATTAAAACACAATTTATTGGTACAATGATCTTAGATAATTACTAAAAGAATACCTTGCCTGCGAGGTCGGGATACATCTACCACGTAATAATTAATTTTAGTTTTACTCTATAATAGAACCTCTGTGTGTACATAATAAAGAATATAATAGAAATATAATTTTTATTGTTACGACCTGCATACTCTCCATTTCCTAGAGAAATATGCAATAAGCCTGTAGGAGCGTAATAACAAACGCTAAGGCTACTTCAGAACGATATTTTTAGAATTTCATCCTGTACGTCCAATACAGCTTTGATGCTGTTGATATAATAGCAAAGAAAATTGTCGTACCTTTTTGCATAATTTGGAAAAATAAGTACATATCTAATAATAGTAACAATTGTAGTTTCAGTAAAACATGTATTTTTAATCAGTTGATTTAACATAATATACAGACCGACCTCAATATTTTGTTAAACCATCGAATTAATGACAGGACACGCCCTTTTTAGGTGATTCGGAATTTAAATATTCATGCTTCAATCATGGCTTCCTTATTACACGTCATTTATTCACCACATTATCAACCTATTACCTTCTCTCTGTATTGAATAAATAGAAAAATGTTTTATATGTTGAGTAGGTACAGTTATATTAAAAACGACGTGAGGTTATATCGCTAAGTAAATATACATACTAAAACAGGAATTAGTCAAACGACGTAAACGATTATCACTCAAAAGATTTTTTACTGTTACGTCTATGAACTTATAAATTTGAAACTAATGCATTTTTAGTAGGTATTTAGTACTAGAGGATTAAAGTAGTTCAAGAATATTAAGCACGTATTTCAAATTCTACCCTCCTATTTATAAAAACTGTCTAATTGCACCGTCATAACTGAAATACTCATCTTTTCATCAGTGTAAAAACGATATGTCGGATACAAAAGTAACTAGACTAAGTTAGCTTATATGAGGGTAGATGTTAAATACATATCGTTTTAAACATTTGTCTATTATAAACAATCATAATCCAGTGGCGCCACAACCCTATGTCTTGCCCACAGATTGCATCAGTTTCTTAATTTGCATATCATAGACAAGTAAGAGCCTTCTGTCTGACACATGTAGAATTTTTGATTTGAGATGTTCTGGTTTTCTCACGATGTTTTACTTCACTGTTCAAGCTACACTAGCTTGCACTAGTCCATTGCACAGTGTTCATATATAAACCTCCTAAAACGATTGCTTCACTTTGTTGACGTGGCTTTTGTCAACAGTGAATGATGGAACAGAAATTTAGCTTAGTAATAAGGTAAATGCTGGACGTTTCATAACAAAACATATTTGACTCATGTATGCTTACTATTTCACACTTTACCCCCGACATTGGTAGGCGATCTCTCTTATATGGATCTGTACTCTATTAACACCCGGCTATAGACCAAAATACTACTCGACAAACATTCGATTTTACGACCCGTAAATTACAGTACGTATTTTTTTAGAATCTAAAAATAGTTAGCTAATTCTAAAGTTCATAATTCAAAAAAGGAACTGTATTTTTGTCGTGTTGAAAAGAGACAGACAGAGGCACAGCCACCATGTATTTCTATTTTTTTTTAAATTTTAATTGTTTTGCAGTTGAAGCGATTACGAAGGCGGATCCGGTTTACGCAGGCGTAGACGCGATGTCGCGGACGCCTGCGCCTGACCCGCTTGGAGCCTTGCGCTATGTGAGGATCGTTGAGCAGCCCGCCAGCAAAGCACTTAGGTAAAACATGAACCATTATTTAAACATTATTAAACTAGCGAAGTTCGTACCGCCTAACAATCAATGAATGTCGTGTTACAGATTAGCTAAACTTAATTTATGATTTTATGAAAGTACAGTGGACCCCCGGTAAACCAACAAACATTTTGCAGGGCAGTGTCGGACTATCACATTTGTTGTACAGATACAATGATAAGATTCTATGTTATATGTATTGTAGGTATGTACTCTGAAGTACAAATCATACTTCATTATATACCTATGTCAAATTTAAAAAAAAAAACAATAATAAATAATAGAGTGTCGGATTACAGGGGGTGCCGAATTACCACTACAATTACTGTATCCACTGTAATACAATAAATATATTAAATTCTATTGTCATAAAAAAATAAAAATAAGAAATTAATACAAAAAGAAATAAGCGTCTGAACGCATATTTGACAACTAATAAATGTCAATCCTTTTTCATTACTGATATTATTCTACATTTTTATAATCTAAAATATGCCATTAGCCGAATATTGTAGATAAATCTTGTCGACTCGAAAACTTTATTTAAATATGTACGTTCTTTATGAAAGAGCATTAAAAGTTTGACAGTTACGAAGCCTATGAACATTTTGAATTGGAATTGTTTTCGAATACAACAAATGAAAAATCCATGAAAATCGGTCCAGCCGTTCTCGAGTTGTAAGTGTTCGAACAAACTCGACTTTGTTTCATTATTTCTAAAATCATATACTTAAAATTGGCTTTTTTAATGATAAATTAAAGAACAACTCGCGGATATGTAGTAATAAGAATGATAAACCCATTTGCACAGTCGGATAATAAACTAGATCGTACGTCAATGTTAGTAATGCCGGTTAAACAAACCGTTAACGTTTGAACAGATTTTGGCGCTAAACGGATCTAAAGTGAAAGACCGGCAAAATATTTGGCAGCAATTTGGGGCACGGGTCTGGTGAATGATCGGTAACATTTATATGATTTCCATTAATTCGGATAAAATAGTGTAGGGCAAACAGTGAAGACCCGTTACGAATGGGGCATTTATAAATTTACACTTCGTATCCGAAAACGGGCGGCATTATCGCTAATAAGCGACCTGTTCCGGGCAATTCTAGTAAGGAAAAAATACTTAAAAGAAAAGTTTAAGAACTACATAACTAAATTAACAACAGACACAAAGGGATTTCTTCTAGAAGAGCGTTCTTAAAAGGCCGGCAATTCTTTCTGGCAATGTTGTGTCCATAGAAGGCGGCATCACTTAAGATCAGATGAGCCTAAAGTTTGCAAAAAAAAACTCGTGGAAGCAATAATATTTTTAATTAATAATATGATAATGCGTTTCGTAAGGCAATTTCCGCGCACTATCATTATGTGGAACCAGCTGCCCAGTGAAGTATTTCCGAACCAAATCGACTTAAAGTCGTTAAATAAAAGAGCGTACCAATTCTTAAAAGTCAGCCAGCGCACTTGCGAGCCTTCTGGCAGTGCGAGTGTCCATGGGCGGCGGTATCACTCCGGCCTCCTGTAAAATAAAAAAAAATTATTTCGATATTTTTGCCTGTAATTCAAAGAATCTGTCCAGTATTCCGTTTGTTCTATTTTAATTATGAGGAATAAATGTAATCGTAGATATGAAATAGCAGAAGTTATAACATTGTCAACGCTCTAAGCGTGTAAATATCCTTGTCAAATGGCCAGTATTATCTACTTAGTTGACATTGAACTATTTTCAAGGTCCGAACCGAAATTGGCTCAGCGCACTTATTGATTCGGATTATACTCAGAGAAATTTTGCTAACATCATTTTATAATTTACTAGCTTTCTCTTAAATGTGATTTTGCTTAGCCTATCTTTTTAGTACATACCAAAAAATTTTTATTTTTCATTCAAAATTATTTATTTTTTCAATTTTGCTATGCTACCCTAGAGACTGGTCGGTTGTCCAGAATGAAAACTTTATAGGTTTTTCTATGATTTTTCTCTATATAAACCTCAGAGTTCCAGTTATAATTTCTTAACTAACAAATAAAAAATAGGGGTTGATCGTAGAGGGTAGATTAAAATTAAGGGTTGTATGTATACTGTATCTTAAAAAAATAAAAACATTTTTTTTTGTCTATAATCACTTAGGGGCTTGAAAGATAGATAGTAGCCGATTCTTACACTTACTGAATATGCATAAAAAAATTTATAAGAAACGGTCGAGCCGTTTCGGAGTATGGGAACGAACGTGACACCAGAATTTTATATATTAAATAAGTCACTCGTATCTTAGAACATATAAACATCCATTAAGTCGATAGCGTAATGAGATTCAGAACCCATGGCGATGCTATAAAACCTAGCCTAGATTTTGCGCGGGGCGGAACTGACTTATAAATATCCCGCAAATGACGTCATCGTCTCGCGCCGTGACGTCGGCTAGAGATGCCCATTGACGCGAGTGTAAAATCTTTCAATACAAAAATATTTGTTCTTGTATTTCACACACTATTGATTTTCATTTGTATTTATTGTTCTTTATTGCAAATGATAGAATTAACGTTAATACGGTACTAGTAGCTTACATAATTATCAAGAATAGACTTCGGTGTTTAAAACATTTGTTGACAATATATTTGTATGAAAACTCTTAGCTAGTTAGGCGATTAAAATCTTGATTAATTTACGGTATCTACAGTTCTTGACAACTGAAAAATTTACTTGTCATTGCATCGTACTTCCTGGCTGTTTTTTTGTTATCAACGTTACTACTTGAAGATGACTATTGTTTTTAAACTAAGTATTTCGTATTTGACTGATAAAAGTCTTAATATTTCCTTTGGAAGAGTTAGACCTACCGCTTATGGAAGAGATCTGCTCTGTTTGTATCCTTAGCATTGGTCCTATATAGTTTCACAGACAGACACCTACAATAATAAGTGTAAATTGACACCAATAAAAAAAGGTCTTAAGTAGTTGTGACTAGTATACGTTTAAATGGTATTTCAGACATTTAGAAAAGAAGATTTAGCGAGAATGACCCAAGTGTTACTGCCTCTATACTAATCGACCTTGGAACAACAAAGGCTTCTAGTAAATACGCATAACAGAAGTCAAAGAGTAATTTGTGTAACTACTCGCAATCTTGCCATTGTTTTCCTCGTCGTGGTGTTAATTGATGAGATTTAATTAATTAATTTATACCTTATTTCAAACGCAATAAGGTCGTTTGCATGTCGTTTGTTGGAATGTATGAAGCTCGATGCGGGATTACAATTGCTGTTTAAATATTTATGCAATAGTTCTATCTTTAAAATCATTATTGGATGAAACGATTTAAATTTTGTACGAGTTACAAAGTCTAAATAATTCGAGATACTGCGTATATGGGTTCAGGGGTTTTTCGACTTAACGAGGTTCGAGTTATAGAGATTTCACTGTATTATAATTATCGCACTCTACACATTTCTCCTATATTTATTGCCTGGAAGATATCGCTTAGTAATAAGGCATATCTATTAATATTTTCTAAGTACATTTTTATTTAAATTACATTTTATTCCCCCCCTTACACTTCACAAATAGTGTGTATATAAAATGTGACTAATTAAATAAATAATAATGTTACAATTTCCGTAAAAGAGACCTCATTGCAAAAATTTATTCTTCGATTGGGCATACAAACAGCCTTCTCAGACTACAAAGATTGTTTTTAATGCGTTGTAATTCTTAAAGTGCCAACTTAGTAACCAGCTTACGTGCCTAGGTTTCTAGAGGTTAATTGATATCTGTTGAACCCTAGTTCTCGCTTCATTGAACCTAGACTATAGCTTCGGCTCTTTGTGTTTTGTCTAGACGGGTTTGTAAACAACTTTTTTGGAAGTTCCTATTTTTTTACCTTTTATTATTTAAAAATCTGTTTCTGATAGCATACGCCACTAAACAAAAAGGCGGTGAGTTTATATAAATTATACATCATAAAAAACAATTATACTAAATATGGAATACCTGATATACAAAGAGGTTCTAACATTTACGAAAGAAAAAAATATTAAATACATTTAACTAAATAATACCTAATTCGGTTGTTTTGTGTGATGGTGTGAAAGTGAGGGTATGTACGTGTACGTTGTTGTTTTCATGATGCAGGTTATTTAGCGGTATGGATATTCTTAATACTCGTTTTATGCATATTCCGCGATAGCTTAAACAATTCAAGGCGTAATCGTTGTCGTTGTATTGTATGTATGTTGTATAGTAGTGGTTTATTTTACCGGAGTACCCACAGTCAAAACTGTTTTCGACAACATCGTTAGAACAACATACCGGTTATATTGACCAAAATCAAAGGTCCCGGCTGAATTCTATGTTAACTTAATAACAACGTCATCGGCTGTTGCGACTATCGGTTTTTACGACCAAATATGAGTAGTCCCTTTGATGTCGTTATAACAGATTTTGACTGCATTTATAATTCAAGAACAGCTGGAGCAATTTTAGTGTTTTTAAATTTGTCTTCGTCCGGAATATGATAGGCGTTAAAATATGATATCAATAAAATAATTTATTATAAATCATTAGTACAGCCGTTCATTTGTTATAAGTACATATAATAAAACGCAACTGACACCTCACGTAACGTCTATGGTATGTGAACATGTCGATATATTTATTATCCCAATAAAAAAATTTACTGCCGCTCATTCATTGACTAGTAGTATTTGATATAAAGAAGTCTTTTCTTTCCTTATGTTTAAATTAAATAAATTTTCCTTATGTTTAATTAAATTGTAAATTAAATTATTATGTGGAAATTAACCGGCAAAATTATCGTACTTTTACCCAATTGCGGCCCAAAAGATTACTTGTCAATTACGCGATTGGGTTCCGTTTCTATTTCCTCATCCTATTTATTGTATTTTATTTACACGCGTGCGGCTAAACGTAGATTCTTTTTTCTACGACCTTTTTTTTCGAAAACCTTTGCGTTGCGTTTATTTAGAAAAAGAGATTTGAACACTGAACTTAGAGTTAAGTTGGATTTCAACAATTTCTTTCTATACGACAAACAATTTATGTGCAATAAAAATTCAATTTGTATAGTCCAATATGGCCCCGGTAGAATGCGACCCCGAGAGTCTCATGCGGTAAAGGGGTTACCGAGAAGAGTCTAAAGCCGGGTCCACATTTGTAGCATTTCGGTGTATGTATCTCCGTTGCGTGGCTTCGGCGCGTATCATGATCGTTAGTTTGGACGCAAAATGATACCCGTTTATGATACATGCCGTATCGATAGGCCCGATCCGCACTAAGCGCGTATCTTGATACACCTCGTATCCGATACGCGTATCACGATCGGTGGTATGGACGTATTTTGATACTGTATCACGATACTGTATCGCGATACGATACTTGATACACCCCGAACCATCCTGTGTCGGTGTTTTCGCGATCATCAAAGGGAATACACAACATCAATGGGTGACATGCGAGTGAAATTTTTGTATTTTCCGCTGGTATGCTGAAATTTTAAATCTCGCATCAATGGTATTCAACATATGGTTTGTTTCGGTTTCAACACTTAGGCGTCTACTTTGGATTTAACTTTTTTGAAATACTATTAATGATAATATAACAGGCGCTACCGCCAAACTGTGAGCAATTGCTGACATGACTAAACCGTTTGGGAACGAAGACATGACTGAACCGTAGAGAAGGGAAAGGTGACTGAAAGACAGGCATCAGGATACATCGGAAAAAAGTGAAGCGTCTATATTTGTAAAGTTAAAGCCGATACACTGACATGAAAGCATTTGATAAGTATGACGCGTTTTTTACAAGATAGCCTTAAAAATACGACATGACAAAATGAGGTCCATATTTATGAACAAATACTAGAAATACACTGATCGTATAGTAAATGTAAATGTGGACCAGCTTTAGGTATCTCTCACCCCGCTCTTGGAGTAGCAGAGGCCTGGTGTGAATTGAGTACCACATATCCCAGTAGCTATTGAATTACGGGGAATGCGTAAAAAGCTTTTCCGGTTATATTCTGAAGCAGTCAATAACCAGAATATCGTGGCCTTGACACACGCCAAGTAAAGATCAAGATTGGTATGGCCATATAAGTTCAGTGTTAAATTTCAAGGAAATTTTTAATTTAACATTCAATGTATGAAAACTTATTCTGATTTCTCTTTTAGTATTAAGAAAATTGTTATATTAATATATTATGTAGTATAGTTGTAAAAATTAACGATTTTATCGGTTGAACATAGCAATCTATTTACGAGGGAGCTATCCCGTTTTAACGAAATACAATAGAATTTGATGATGTAAATACAATTTGAGAGAAAGAGACAACAGTAGGTGCTTTAGTTAAATAAGTAATTTTTTAAAAGTATTAGTTTAGATTTATAATATGATTTTTTGTTTAAGGTTTCGATATGAATGCGAAGGTCGGTCAGCGGGTTCAATACCCGGCGTGAACAGCACGTCAGATAGGAAGACATACCCTACAATAGAAATATGTGGACACAGGGGACCGGCCATTGTCGTGGTGTCTTGCGTTACCAGAGATGAACCATTTAAGTAAGTTTTTAAATAAATAAGGAATATCGCAATTTATTTGAGCCTCGGTAAATGGAAATGTATACCTTAGTTTCTAAGATTCATCAAACACTACAGTGTATATGTAGGTATTTTAAATTACTCATAATGATTTGGCTTTCTTGCTTCGTAGTAGTCGAGAGTATGTGAAGGGAAACATTGTTAGAAAACCCAAGCCTTAGACCGAAAAGACGACGGCGTTGGTCAGACACAGAAGGCTGATTTACCTATTAGAAAAAAACAAATGATTATAAACAGATAAAGAAATGTGCGGTTAGAGCGCCACACTGTCTTGCTTTGACTGTAATTATAACCTTTTAATTCTTACTTTATTCAGATAAGACATAAAAATAAAATTTATTGTTATCGCAAAATAATATATGTAGTTAATATGTATAAATGTGTATACAATTAGCTACGTTAACTGACATTTCAACTGTTTATTTGCGCGTTAAAAATGCGATAAACTTGGAAGTTGGAATGAAAAATCGGGGATAAAAAAATACTGCTGATATTACTGATATTTGAGATTCAACATAAAGAATATTTCATAATTTATACAATTTGAGTTTATAAAAAAGCAAACATTATAAAATGTTGAAAAATCTAAATCTTAAATAGTTATGGAATAGACAAGTTTAGTACATAGCAATTGTCTATGAGTAGACTGTGCGAAAAATTGTTTTTTTTTTTTTAATTTCTAGACCTCACCCACACAATCTGGTGGGTCGCGACCGCTGTGATAAAGGCGTGTGCACGGTGCGAACGAATATAAGCGATGACAATCGTATATCGTTCAGCAATCTTGGTATACAGTGCGTGAAACGGAAAGATGTTGCCGACGCCCTCGCTGTTAGAGAGAAGCTCAGGGTGGATCCCTTTAAGAGTAAGTGTAAACATTATTTTAAGGGCATGCAAAAGCCGCAGAATATTATTATTTAACAGTTCAAAACAATTTAATTCAGTTTAATTAGAATAATTAAATAATAAGGAAGGAAATGGGCGGCCTTATCGCTTACGAGCGTTCTCTTCCAGAGACCACTGAAAGGATTTAAATAAGGCGAGCGCAAGAAGTGCAAAACTGCGTAAGATATACAATAACTTAGAATAGGACAAAACATATGCTTTTAGTTAAAGTTTTTAAATGACATTCCCGAGGTACTAGAGAAGGGACAAGTCCAAACTTCCCATAAACGACCAGCATGTATGAATGTCATGAAAGTGGATTAAGCCAGATATGTCACTACCGTAGCAAGTGGAGATCCGTGGTCACTGCCTACCCCTTCGGGAAAAAGGCGTGAATATAAAAATAAATTTAAAAATTTGTAACAGCACGTGTTCATTAAATTATTTGTAAATGTACATTTTTTAAACGTAGTTTTGTGAATTGATGAATACGTGAGCAAATATAAATACACAGTTTATCTAATCGAAATCAATTTATGACCGCAAACGCCACAGATGCTAAACAGATGTCTATTGTTAGATTTTATAGCACAGATTATATCGACTAACATTCGACACCTGAATAACGTAAAGTAAACATAAAGAACAATCTATTTGGAAAATCTATATTATAAATAAACTTCCCTTTCGTCTCTTTCTGTCAAATCGTGTATACGCTGTGATGAATAGAGACAGACAGTTTAAGCTAAATGAATTTTGTATCGTTAAGGGGTAAGAATGTGAGGTTTGGGGAAATAGCGAATTCATAGCACACTGTCGTTTCTTTTATTTTTAGAAACCAATTTAATATTAAAAATTGTGATTAAAAATTGCTAAAATAGCCATGGTACAAATAAACTTCAACTTTTTAAATATCAGGAACAGATTATTTTAAATCGTTTTTATATTGTAGATAATCAATAATTATCTAGTTTATATGCTGGCAATTATTTATGAAGAAAGAAATAATCAGTTTGAACTAATGGAAAATGCCAAATATTTAAAAACAATAAGTAAATAATGCAGGCGTAAAATTACTTCATTCATAACTCAAACTTTTATTCGTATTCATAAAATTTTATGTTACGTTAAATATTTTCCGTATTGACTCACGTCTTTTTATTACAAATAAAAAACAATTTAATACTTCCATAAAATATTTACACTTATGTAGCAAAAATATATTTAATCGAATCGAATTATGTAAATAACACTTTCTGGAAATCTTCCACAGTCCGCTTCATTTGCCACTTTCTTTTAGGAACTAGCGATTTCCCAGTAAAGGTCTTTCCTAGGATATATTTATTATTTAGAAACAGATACTTATTCATATAAAAGCAGTGTTGGCCTAGTGGCTTCGTCATACGACTTTCATCCCTGGGATCGTAGGTTCGATCTCCGGCTGTGCACCAATGGACTTGTCTGTGTTCGCATTTCACGTTCGCTCAAACGGTGAAGGAAAACATCGTGAGGAAACCGGCTTGCCTTAGACCCAAAAAGTCGACGGTGTATTTCAGGCACAGAAAAATGATCACCTACTTGCCTATTAGTATGATTACGGAACAGAACAGACTTATGACCTTATTCTTGCTTATTAGATTGACAAATGATCGTGAAACAGATACATAAATCTGAGGCCCAGACCTAAAAAGGTCATAAGTTCAAGGTGTAGCGCCACTAGTTTTTTTATTGCTCCCTCAAAGGCAGATTAAAATATGTGTTTATGTGCTACGGTAACTAAAAAATACATGAGTTTTTTTTTTTTTTTTAGACTAAAGTTCTCATACTGTTGTCACTTACAAAATATTTGTTTAAGAATAACGAAATGTTCAATGTATGAAAACTCTCGTTTCATAGATCGCGTCATTCAAATGCATGACTCATGCGCTATTTTACATGCTTACATTAGTTAATAGTTTGTGGCTGAACATTTCATATGCTGAATTATGTTCGGTGGTTAATAAATCATAATCTTTAATTAGAATTGCAGTCGGGAAGTCTAGAAACAACAGATTCCTCTAGGTCAAAATGTATGAGCCAAAATCAACTAATCGTGTATTAAAGTTAACAATTTTTTTTCCTACAATATAGTTCACAAAAGAGTTTACATGAATTACAATCTAGCCTATACAATAAATATGGCTAATAAGTAATACTATGTTGACTTAATTTTCTACGATACTAGTGAATCGCTTTAAGGTCATAGTGTTCTATAATGTTTTGACACTATGTTCGTGTGTCCGAGATACCTTTTAAAAGGTTTAGTTCTCTTTAGGCGTCTTATTCCTGTTGTGTCCAGATGTTGCATTGCTTCAGCATTCACATGGCTATTTGTTTAAGTGAACTAAAGTAATGTTGTTAATTAAATATACATATATCAATAAAGATTTCGTATGTTGCATTGATATATATGTATTCCGTATGTGTTGCCCCATATACTGAAATGTTGATAATAAGGGAGGTTCCAGTACCAAATTAGCGTTAAATAGGTTGAAAATGTGGGATTCATGCGGTAGTCCTTTTTTATATCCGAGGTGTAAATACATTTGCGCATCCCCTACCCACAAAGTAGAAAAGCTATGAAGGGGTTGACCCATACCAGAATCTGCTATTCAAAGACCGGTTGAGTACCCACTAAAACCACCTCGGGTAGACCTACACGGCCGCGTTAGAGATTCTCCGGGATCGCTCCCTCATTCAACGGCATAACTGTTACGCTCAAAACCACAGGTGCAGTATACACTAAATAGGAGGTAGAAGATGGGCATATCTTCTCCGATTGACTCATTTTATATCCTTAGGATTCGTATTAGAGCGCTCCCTATCTAGGAGCAAATGAGGGCTCCCGCTAAAGATGACATTGAGAAAGATACTCCCAGCTATGACTCGTAAATGTCAAAATACCAGACATTTTCGGGTGTCAGACTTAGCGCGTTCTCGTTTCTGAATGCTACGTACTTTTTATATTAATTAATTTGTAATTAATATACTATGTTTCGCATCTCAGTTCAGTCATTAAGTAAGTAAAAAGTTTGGCGTCTATACGTAGAAACGTAAATATTTTGTTTTATAGAAATTTCAGACCGAACTCTTCGAGTGTGTTATCAACTAATCTATGAAGGCATTACACACTTCGATATTATTGGCACGTCTCTGTAAATGTCAATCTTACCAAATATCGTAATATAGCCTCCTTCCTTCCTGCTCTTGATATAAAACCGGTTAGAGATTTTGATATTTTTTTCCTTGTACACACATTAATATCTGATAATCGCTACTTTTTGCGTTTATATAGGATAAATATCTGTTTGTTATTCGACGGAGTGAGGTCCATTCAATAGTATTATTCCGCATTGATCTATAAAATAGACATAGGTATCTCTCCCTTGTCCCACTGTGAGTTTTTCTGGACACGTCCATAACTGTTCTGTTATCGTATAATAATAAAATTTTACAATGTTATAAAGGTATTTGTTTGAATTTAAGAAAATATACAAGAAAAATTTAACATCAAACAATCGAAAATATATTTTTTTTTCATTTTCATTATGTTTATTAAGATAACCTGAACCAAAAGCACTGAAAATAATAAATGTTGATGTTCCATTTCCTACTATAAGTGATCTTATTAAGCCAAACCAAAATTGTAAATCAGAACAATTTTACAACGGCATATTGAGAGATTACGAAACGGATCGCGCTCCCAACAGCCAGGAATAGCGGCGACCGAAATACTTCTTACGCCTAAAACCCGGTCACACTATTGTTTCATAAGAATGTATAGCTTTGATATAGAAAGGGTAGGGTAAATCGCACCCTAGTGAGGAATGTAGCGAACTTATTTTAGCATCATTCGCCTCCGAGTTTAAATAATTTCATAGATGGAAAGATTATTATTCGAAATTAAGGTAAAACTTTTGTAGAAATTCACGGTTTTCCTTAACTTATAAGAATAAAGTTTTTGTGCGGTATTTACATCATTTTAATTTGCGTGGTAAATATTATTTACATGTACACAATTATAATAGTGTAGCAGAGTCGTTTTGTATTATCTGTATTAAAACTGCTGATTTCTTATTGGATTATGGATTTAAGGGTTAATTAATAAGTAGACATCTTAAAGATCTTAAAGGGTGGGTACGTAAAACTACAATTTCAAAAGCCTATTGAGTTTGTTCGATATTACGTCTAACACAATAAGCAGTGCTCAGGAGGAGATTGAATTGAATTTAACACAAATTCGTGAAAAAAATGTATGATTCATAAAAAATTTTGAGTGTTCATAACAAATTTATAACTTGATAACTGCACAAAGTTCCATCTTCATAATATAATTATAACGGAAACAAATTAATTAATTAATATTTTAACATTATCATTAACTTATTGGCTTGGTGTGGGACTAACCCACTTTTGTTTGTCACCTACTTTTAATCTTTTGCCGTATACTATTTACAATAACTTAAACGCAAATTATCTACAAGAGATGAGTCACTATTATATAAAGTATATACTTGTGTATTTGAATCTTAGTATAACTATTGTTTTTCATAAAGATTACAATTAAATTTTTTAGGTCAATTCTTATTATATTAGTGGGCTATTTCTATTAAAAGTAAAAAAAAACAGTGGCGCTAAAACCTCTGTCATGGCCTGGTCTGTTCGTGAAACTTTGTTCTTAATAGACAATATGTTCCATCACGGTCCGAGCGAATGTTAATTCCACTATAGAAAGTTAATACGCACGCTCAATCTACTAGGTCAAAACTGCTCTTCTTACGTATTTTAGTCTAGACTATTGACTTATCAATTCATAAAAAGATTTCATAGATTAGTCCAGACGCGTAAACCTGTAATGTTTACGGGAAAATGATCCATATCGAATAGACATTAGACCAGAAATCCTATGTTTACATTTTGTGTCATTTGGCAAAATATTCCGGCCTTGCATAAAAATAAAAACGTTAACACTACAGTTTGCGTGTTCTTACTGTGCATTTAACATAATTTGTTATATTATACTAATTATTTAGGTTTTAAATAATGACGGTTTTAGAATGTATGTATCAGTTTGTCAGAAGTTTTTATGGAAAATCTTCGGAGGTGTGCGTAGCTACCCTCTTGTTTCGCCGGTATATAATAGGTACTTATTTGAGGGTTTCACCGATGTTATTTATTGACCTTGCATTTAATTTCTTCCACCTATTTTGTTTAATGAAGCATAATATCTTAAATTGTTCTAGTATTAAACTTAAAAGAGACGGTACAAATTTGTACCGAAAACTAGCTGATCGCATTTCAGCAGAGTTTGAGTTGTATTTTATGTAAAATGTAAGAGCTTATTAACAACCATTTATTTTACAGAAAAAATCCTTTACCATATTTAAAAACTTTTTTACAGCTGGTTTCCATCATCGAAACCAACCACAGACGATAGATCTGAATGCTGTGCGGCTGTGCTTCCAAGTATTCTTGCCAGATGAAGCAACGGGCAAGATTCGACACTCGCTACAGCCGGTGGTATCTGACGTGATCTTTGACAAGAAGGCCATGAGTGACCTGGTCATCATGCGTCTTAGTCACTGTTCCGCGCCGCCACAAGGAGGCATGGAGATGTTCTTGCTTTGTGAGAAGGTAATTTGACAAATCCAAGACAAGCAGACCATAGTCTACGCTGGTGCAGCTTGGCTAACAGTTTTAGTTTCTTAGACATGCCCATTTTCTCATGATGCTCTTCTTTGGCCGTTTTTGTAAAGTCATTTAATTAATTCATTCAGGTTGTTCGTGAGGACATAGCAGTGGTGTTTTACCAAAAGGAAGGTGAAATGGTAGTATGGGAGGAAACTGCCAACATTCAACTTGTACACAAGCAGTACGCTATTGCCTTCCATGTTCCGCCTTACCATAAACCAAACAACCCACATCATGTACAGGTAACAATCGTTTATTTCAGCTAACTATAACAACATCAATGGCGCTGGAACCTTTAAATTTCTAGGCACTGATTTCTGTATCTGTTTCATGATCATTTGTTTTTTCTCATAGGCAAGTAGGTGATCAGCAATCTACTGTCATCTGCCACTGTCATTATGTCACAGATCTCAGAGATTAACTTCAAAGTCTAATCAGTTTAAAGTCGTTAATACTTGTGGTTTAATGATTGGCCAATATTACTAGATCTACAAATAACCCACTGTTTAATGGTCCAGAGTAATAGTAATTCCATAGTCATTTTATTATTAAAAGTGATTTATTCTAACGAAGAATTAACTACTAAATTAAATCTAATATTTAAGTAAGACCAAATAATTTAAGTTTATAAAATGAAAATAAATCTATAGCGACGCTTAAGGAGCTGTGCTTTTTCATGTGTTGTAGGGTCGTCGTCGAGAAAAAACTAGGTTTTACTATTTGTCTATTGTCAATATGAGCTTATAGATAATGTAACCTAACGACAGTCAAGTAGGTAACGTACGTCCGAAGTAATAACAACATTCAAAGCGTGTCTTTGCAGTTTAATCAATTTTGGCAACTTAATCGAATAAACAAACGCTTATAATTTGCCCAAAATATCTTGGTTTTGACATTGTCACTTCCAAGCTTTAGGGAGTTAAACATACAATCGTGATACATTGAGTTTATATGCATTCTATTACTGTATATCAAAAGCTGACCTTTGCGACTGAAAGTCTACATACACCTCCAATGGGGATGTATGCTAGGCAATACTGGCTGGTTTTTTTTAATATTAGTAAATTTATTTAACAAAATTTATTTAACGCATATAAACATATTTTTAACTTCGACTGATTGTAAATCTCGATAGCGATTGTAGAGAAATGCCGCTACGTAACCTTGACAAGTAACCCTTTTATATTATGATATCCAATGCCATATTAATTAAATGCTCTCAAGTAAAAAAAAACAGACGATAACAATTTGAAGTAAATTAACGTTTATAATCCTTGAATGAAATATATTAAAGTCTTTTAATGATATCACTGTTTGGCAACGTCTACAAAAGATGTCATTTAACAGTGATTTAAAAAAAAATACAGCTAATCTTTGACTCATAGTTTCAGCGGCCAAATGCGATGTTAACTGTGATTGATATAGACTCCTATTAAATACGTTTCTTGCCAGCGTTTCGCAGAAATCATTTAATTTCAAAGCCATTTCTTTTAATAATTAATTTGGATTTTAAATTCTGTTTATCTGAGCATGACAGAATGATCTTACTTACATTATCTCGAATTTGAACGGAAAATGTTTTCTGTAAATGACCCCTAAAGATTTTGATTTACACTTAATATCAAATATGAATTTAAAATAACATTCAAGTTGTATAAAATTTCGATCTTGGAGTATTATAGGTTTTTTATGTTTCACGCTTGGAGTTTATATTTGGTTTAGTTTGATGGAAATTAGAATTGGAATAAATTGTATAGAATGTGCAAGTTGGAGAATATAATAATGTAACCCCTAAATAACTGTACCTTTTAAAAATCCCCCAGGACATCCTAAATCTGGGGGACAAACCTCTAAGTTGTCATCACTGAGTGAAACTACTTTATTATTGATCAAAGAGAGGGACACTGATATTACATTGAACAATAGTATAAAATATACAAAAACATAAATATTAAAAAATGTGTTTTACGTTTTACACATGTGCAAAGACATATGTTAATTAGTACATAAATGAATGTATGAATTTATTTTTATTTTAATATATATAATAAAACAAATAATATATTATGTTACATGCTCAGGTTACCCCTGGTATCAGTTGGCACTGCTCGCTATTAAATTACGATAAAACTAAAACGTTTAACCATTAAAAGTTCTTTTTTTAATCTAAGAAATTATAGTTTCTTTTACTACTTTCAGGTATATATCCAGCTGAAGCGGATATCGGACAACGCCCGAAGTAACCCCGTGCCTTTCGAATATATAGCTGATTTCCAAGGTACCCTGTCTGCCGCTCGCAAGCCTCTCCCAGACCTCACCGCTCTTGCCGCCCTTCTCAAGCCGGACGGCAATAATAACACTAACACACCCACAAACGACACAGACATACTCGAAGCAGACACACACACGCTCGTCACCTCTTCCTCTGACAACTCAGATGAGATCGAACTCGTCGATAGCGTCGAAAGCAATGACGCTGTTGACGGTGATGTTATTGAATGCGAGATAATTGACGAACCTCACACTAACGGAGTTCTTGATAATGAAAAGAGTCTAAACGACCTCCTCGAACAGGTCGCTGAATTAGATGAGATATATTCCGAAAACAGAACGCGACTAGAGAACATTACTATTATTAATGATACGGAAGATGTTGACGATTTTAACGACGCCGGAACGTACACAAGCCTACAGTTAGCGTTTAAAAATCCAGTTTCTATCACTGAACCCGAACCGTATGAGGATGTCCAAGTTCAAACGTACCGCGGTCCGATTATAGAATTTACTCCCCTCAAAGGTGGCGACGATGATGAAAGAGCTCCACCGCTACCACCCAAACGGGTCCGTAAAAATTCAGACGCGTTCAGAACTAGTCAAACGTCCGTCAATAGCATATTGAAACCGGGTAGAAAGCTGCCGGTCACCCGAAATCGCGACATCTTAGCACCGCGTAGTGAATTAACCCTTGCAAAAAGCGAGCCCGCGTTGCCGCCCGCGCCTAAAAAACGTTCGTTCTTCTCGCGCTTGTTCCGACGAAAGGAGAAATCTCCCGCCCCGAGCATTAAATCTGAAGGGCAGAAAGATGTTAATACTAAACCCATAGGCCGATCCGTCAGTAGCGTATCCGGTATTCGTCCGTCGAAATTTAAATCGGCAATTTCGCACACATCCCTCAAAGATAACGCGTCTGCGGCCGGCTTGAGTTACGCCGATAGCGTGACGCACATATCACTACACGAAGATATGGACGAAAAGTCGTCCCAAAGATCCTTAAAACGGCCTGCCAGTCTGGCTCCCCTTCCTCCCACTGATGGCGGTACAATTCTTGTCGCAGAAAGCGTTTTAGCTTTAGATGCGTCTGCGTTTAAAAAGTTGCAGGACGACCTCGATCTAACTGAGGCTGAGCACTACGCTCTTTATATGGCAGTGGCGCCGCACGCCACAGCGTCTGAATTCGATGAAACTAGTTGCTATTACTCCCCTGTAGATGGCAGCAAATTTCATAACCAATAGGCCGTTGGACCGCCTTCGTGGTGACCGCCTCCATGATTGTTTTGGGTTTGAAGAATCCAGAAGTTCTCTCTTCTTCCCCCATTATTGGGTTATGGGAATTCAAATAGTTCTGTCATATGCTGTAAGCATCCATCGTACCTTTTATGCTTAGTCTTATGTTCTTACGTTAGCATAGTTATTCAAATAATTCTAATAATATATAATAATAACATATGAATTATTATAATTATAACAATATATAATTATAATAATTCATATTTTCGGTTACGTAAACAATATCGCGGGATAAGAAAAACATAGTAAAGAATTGAAATTAACAAGTTTAAATAGATGAATGCGCCCGTTAAGCCAAATTTTTGTATACCTTTACACTGCGTGTGCGATGTGTGCGTAGAATGTGAAAATTTGTTGGTTTTATTATAAACCGACACTATTTTCTACACTATAGGACAAAGTCCCATTATTTATTATTCGGAGTTGTTAAAGAATTTAACTGTACTAGTCGTCGTCCGATACCTTAATAAATCATTTTAGGTTTTTCTAGTCTTGTTTTTAATCATTTAATTGTTGTTATTTTTATTAATTTTTATGTTCATTCTAGATTCGAGTTACTTAAGGCATAAGCGACAGAAAATGATAAATTTGCATCAATTTGATGAACGTAAGTTTAAATTGTCATTTCCAAAGGAAATATTTTATATTTATGGGATGTGGGGTGGTATAATGGTGCTTGGTTATGTTAATTTTAGAGAATTATCGTATTTATTGCAATTAACATTTTTTTATAGTATTTATATAAGATTAGGAATTTGGTTAGAAATAAAGATGTAAACTAACAACCGTCCTTAGGAAATGTCTATTTTCAATGCTAATGTGCATATGTGTGCTATTATTTGTCAAGTATTAGGAAATTTTAGGTTTTATCTGTTTTTATAGTTTAATGTGTGGAATTATTTGAATTCAGAAGAAGTTGTTATAATTTTAAGCCGCAGATTTAAACAAAACGTAACATGCTGAGCTTGTCCGTTTGTCCCAAATATGAATAAATTGTTCATGTTAGAAATATTTTATATATTTAAGATAATGTATTGTCCCACAAGCAAGCGCTGGGTTAAAATTGTGAGAAATTAATACTTCGTGCTTCATTATTGCTGCCACTAAAGCTATTATGGTATAAAATTTGTTCTTGTAACCTAGAAAGGTGTTCTCTGTAAAAATAATTTGACACGTGACAGATATTTAAAATTCGAACTTAAACCTATCTGAAAGTAATACGTACTTAGTTCGAAATTTAAATAGCAATACATGACATGACAAGGCAACCCGTGAATATAGAAACAATTTACAAGATTGGCTTGTCACTACATTCACGGCAGTAATGAAGTTTGACGCAATTCAGAAATTTGTTAAATTCGTCGCAGTACGAATATTTCTATGAATTTTAAAGTTACGTCTAAGATTTAGATGACTTTACATAAAGTACTAATGATACTATTGGTTAGTCGCAAATTATTTCTAGATTTTTTTTGTTGGTTTCCATTTTCCGGTAAGTATCCCACACGACCTAGTATTGAATCTGAAGAATTTAACTAAACTATTTTCGTATTTGTATAATTAATTGTCTGTATTATAATTTGCGACTATCTAATTGAATGTGATTTTGTAAGTTTTATACAAAAATAAGAAAGTGAAGCTTGGTATGTCAATATAATAAAAAGTATACAATGTAATAATTTATTTCTGTATTTCCAAAGCGATGAAATCAGAATTATCAGGTATGAATCAGTTTATAGGCATGGTTGTTTTGTTTGTTCACACATATACATAATAGCAATATTTATATGATTTTTTTTGCATGTTTGTGTGTATTACGAATGTTTGCGATACCCACATTTAAATATTTTATCTGGTAGATGCTTAGTTTATATGATGAATTGACAATAAAATATGGATGTGAACTTGGAAGAGCCTTTTCGAATTTTGTTCTGTTATCTATGAATTGTTTAATCTTACGTCAAGTTAGCGATCATCTGTCACAGTCCATTCTTATTGTCTATTCTGTGGTGTTGATTTATATGAATTAAAAGGTACAAACGCAATTTTTTTTAAATTTAATCTTCATTGAACTGAACTGTGATTGAATTCTTATGAGTATTTTAGTGTGTAGTATGGTGTTTGATTTTTGCTACAGCCATCACATAGAGAATGAACTGACTAAGCTTTGCTAAAATCTGTCTATACGATGTGTTTTGAATTTTATTTTTGAAGCTTTCTTTTTCGGAAACTTGCTCAGTCCATTGCCCATTTGTGCTGGTACTTTTTAACTTACGATATAGTTCTTAGTATATAGATTGATGTAAAGTTTGAATTGCGTTGCGCTGTCGCTTATTGGGAGTTACGCGTTTGACATAACATAATATCTTCTAAAACATGTTTTTAATCATTTTTATTTTGCAGGAACCTTTGTGGATCAGCCGATCAAATCAGAACCTAGAGGTGAGCTTAAAAAACCAGCTGACGTTTATTTTGTTATCATTTAAGTTTCTTAAATTGTACCTTAAAAAAATCTGGACATTTGATTTCTCAAAACTTTGAATCTGCGCTTAACACTACGAAATGTGTCCCTTACGGGTATAATCCCTACTGTATTTTTTAAACGTTGGTAACTAATTTTTTGAACTGTTATTTAAATATACGAGAAGTTATTATGATCAGTTGAAAAAATAGTGGGCAGTTATCTTTTTTTTCTGGTTAGTAAATTTGTGCGATAGTCAATCATAGACAGTAATATAAAACAATTGGCCAGTTATTTCGTCATACAATGTCAAGGTTATGTCAGGTTTAGGATGGCACACTCGTAACTGCCCATTTAGCTATTTCACTACTTATATTTATCCATTTTATAATTTTATACGACTCATTTTTGTTTACTTTACTCCTAAGTTTTAACTGCTGAACTTATTACTAAATATTCATTTTGTTATTGACAACTTACCAAAACTATTAACTATCGTATTACTATACGTATACAACTGCCGCGTTAAAATCCTGTTTAAACCTAATTTATTACTTAGAATGGAATGAAGTATTCCAGTGACTGTTTCATTGATCGACCCTAATAAATGGTGAATCGAATCAATATATTTTAATCTTAATTTAATTGTAAACTATATTTATCGCATGAGTTTACTTACGAAATATTAGGTATAGACTTAGTCATTGTTTAGAATTGTTGTAATGCAGTTAAATTTCTATAAAATATTCATATATTTTTACAGACAAAACTTCTCCACATCCTATGAACAGTCCGCAATATGCTGTCCAAGAAAACTACCAGGTAATACTTTGTCATGGGTTTTAACTTTAAAAATATCTTTAGAATGGATTTTCATATCTATAATAACGTTTAAACAATAAAAACTATTGATTTACTTTTAAAGTTATACTTCTTTAGTTAGGGAAAAATTATAAGAGTAAATTACTACGATGCGCGCGTTTTTATTTTTTTCTACAAACGTAGAATATAATTTTTAAAAAGATGTTTATCTTGTTACGCCAAAGAAGTATAACTTCGAAAGCGTGTAAAAGTACACACACGTTTTTCATTGTACCTTATAAATAGTATAAAAATATTTTAATAAGTCGAAATTTCAGCAGCAATGGAACATACAGAACCTGAACGTCCTGGAACCAACAAACATGTTGAACGCCCAACAGGGATATCAGGAGATGCAATGGGGGCAAAATTACGTACAAATGTCGCCCATAATGTCCCCAAGCGAGGCATCACTTTCCCCCAACATGATGTCCCCGATGCACGGACAAGCTATGTCCCCTGTGGGACGGGTTTCACCTATGTCCCATGCGTCAATGGGACAGGTATTGACGCCTATGAGCAAAATTTCCCCCATGCACGGAGCTATTTCGCCGAATTTGGTGAATATGCCTTCGATGGGTCATATCTCGCCAAACCCTGGACATATTACACATAACATGGTCCAACAACAACAGGTAATTTATAGGAATTCTTTTTTTAGTAATAAAGACTAGATCATGGGTAGAAAATTAAACATTCCAACAATTCACTTATATTTCACTGATTTTACATAAACTACATCACTTTAAAGTTTTTCTTAATGGAATCTCTCTGAATGGGATTTTTGCGCACAGCGCAAGGGTCACACACGACCTGAATAATGTTTTAGAATATTGTTATCTCAGGTAGTTGAGAGACTCGGGCCAGGGCGTGTTTCTTTTCATGTAATAGGAGGCAAACAGGCAGGAGGCTGATATTAAGTGATACCGCCGCCCATGGACACTTACATTGCAAGAAGGCTCGCAAGTGCGTTGCCGGCCTTTCAAGAATTGGTACGCTCATTTCTTGACTCGTTTTATATTCTATTCCCTACTCCGACTCCCTAATCCCGCATTGACCGGATTTCGACGTAAATTCGTAAACAGCGCAAATACAGCACGTGCACGCTTTTGTCAATATTCTAAAAAATGTTATTTCAATTATGTATAGAGTTTATTTATATGAAATAAATATTAAAAGCTAACTGAAACTAGGCCCTTATCCAAAAATCTATGTGTTTTTTACAAGGCGCGTAAAAGTGGTGCTGGGTTCGAACGTTTACTATGATGGCATATACAAAAAACAGATACAAAATTATAATTTTATTTTATTTAATATAAATAAGCAAATAAATAAGCAAATTTTGGTACAACTATCATTTAGCCACCCAATTTTCAGGTTTCCAAGAACCTAGACCCTCAATTATAGTATATTTTAATTGTTTCATTGATTTCCAGCAGTTACCTCAACAAGATCTGATGGAGAGCGTAAACGACACGCCATCTCTCAGCGGCCTCTTGGAAGACCGCGGTGATTTAAGCCAACTTAATTCTGGCGATCTTTCCGGGTTGGTCTCCATGCTGAATCGAGGCCAGGACCTTAGTGACAGTCTCAACAGACTCTCCACTAATGAACTCTACCGAGCGTGATAGGATTTATTAGTGGTATTGTGCGTTGACTAGTGACTAAGGCCGGACATTTATCGCCGGAACTATTTTGTGAATCTTCGTGAAAACTGTGTCTAGAATTATTTGGACTTGGGTGTTCGTGTTATGGAAAAACAAAACATCTCAAAAAGTTGTTGAAGATGTTTAATTTTTGTATTGAGAAACGCAATGGTAAGATTATATCACAATAATAATTTTAATTGTAACAAAGGTTTAAGTGTAATGCTGTCGTAGAATTCGTGTTTTTAAATGTATCAATTCTAGTTTATTTTAAGACATATTTTTATAAATCTTCGCTTCGAATTGTTAAATATCGGGTGCAAAGCATTGGTGCTCCATACGACAAGAACTGTATCTAGTGATTTTGAAAAAAATAAATTTCATACATTATTACATCAAAAAGAAAAAAAATTATCTGTATAATACACACGTATGATGATGATTTATGAAATGATGATTTTATGAAATGGTTGACCATATCGTTGAATAGTCCAATGTTAAACGAAATCATATTGTTTAGCAAATTAGAGATTTACGATTATCATTACTTAACTAAAAGGCTGGCGACGCACTATCAACGCCTTCTGGCAGACTGAATGTCCATGGACGAGGTGTTATGTTACATCAGGTAAGTTTACCCGTTTGCCCCGTGTTCATTGGACACCCAATGCGGAGACACCCGGTATTTAAAATATCATGACAGCTTTTGTATTAGCAAATATAAGTGATTGTTTATAAATATCAAGTCAATAAGGGAAACAATTGAATGAAGTGCAAATAATCAGTTTGACATTTAAAAATCCAGAGTAGCACAACTAAGACAGACTGTATATTTTGTTTTTTTTTTACATTTATCATATAGATATAATAACGTCTGTCATATATTATCAAGCTAAAACCTAAACCTACGGTTTCCTAGAAAAGCGGTGCCGTTAACTTACTAACTTCATCTGAGCTTGTCTGTACTCTTTGGATTTGACATTGTACAAAGCTTCATGATTTTTAACAAAAGCAATTAATTGTTCATCATTTTCGTTCGTCCAAGTCATTGTATTAATTAAACATGCGCACTGCTACATGCGAAAAACGTTGAACTATTGTTTATCACCGCTATGACGGCCGTCATGCAAATGACAGCACCGCTATTTGACGTTACGGTGACACTCAACGTTCTCTAGAAATCCTACTCCGATGTTATTTATAGACAACGTATGGGTGACGTCATCCAACGTTACATTACGGCCGTTAGATAACGGCTCCGCTTTTCTAGGAAACCGTAGCTTTAGGAGTTATTCAATAATAGTACACTTCCAGCCATCCCTATGACTGTTAAGGGGGATATACATAAATATTGTCTACATTACAAATTTCTATGCATTCAATGTTGTATCAAAATTTTAATGAATTATTATCAATTCCAATACCATCTCTAAAGGATTAGAAATGGCTATTGGCTTGAAAGTTATATATTCGGAAATAATTTTACGTTATATCGACGTGTATAATAAGCAATTATGAAATTCCAATGTTTTGTTATGAAGCGATAGGTATATCTACCATCACATACAATAGGGTTATTTTAAAATTATGACCTATTTAAGATTTTGAATGCAGGATTTTTTAATCTGACTAATAAAAAATATAAAAAAAACTTGATATTATGTTAGTTATTTTTAGGGTTTTTTTTTGTTACTCTTACAATTTAGAAATTTATATGAGATTTTAAGTAATTTTGACTGTTTTTATGTGAAGAATGTTTTCATAAACTAGTTTAAGAAATAGACGGTTATTACTATTTTATCTGTTAAATAAAAGATCTCTAGCAAATAATAAGATTCACTTTAAGTTAAGGAGTCGCTCAAGTATTACGTAAGCACTATAGGGGTTTGGGGGGGGTCTTTGATTTTCTTATTTGGTGATCACGTCAACAGTAATTATTTACTTTCACTTTACACATTTGACAACGAAATGCATTTTTGAGGATTCCTACAAAAAAATCATACGTTAATGTACTATTATTTTTGAGAGCTTTGCTTACTTTTGCTGACAAGAGGAGGAGGGGGTATTTATTGCAGTAAATCTGCTTACGTGAATACTTGAACGGCCCCTAAGGATCATGTAACAATAATGTAAGGTGGTGTAACTTCCATCGAAGCAAAGTGATTAGTAGTTTTTTTACATATTACCCTTAAGTGCAATAACTAAACTGTCGCATAAAATGTGAGCTGTTACGTATATTGAAAGAAATAAATATGTGAATATGAGGAATCTTTTATTACTTAAAGCCGAGACAGCTTTTTTGTTAAAGTTTTTTAGCTTTTTGATGTTTAGGAGGAGTTTATTTAGGAGTTTCATTTGCACATGCTATCTAAAATTATTTACCAAACTTTCTTGTTTTCTTTTTTTAACATTGATAGTAACTGTATTTCTATGAAATTAAATACTATACGTATTTAGCCTTTTACTATTGATACTTAAAATGACTAGCATTGCATAGAAAACTAGAACTATATTTATTATAAAACACAACTTTATTCGGAACAATCAAATCCTGCGAAAGAATCGAAATATTCTATCAAATAAAACAAAGTTTAGGCTATTATACCTGTTAACTATTCGGAAAAAATATAGTTAGTTTACGTTTAGTTAGTTTACGCGTGCGATGGTCATTTTTCAGCAAGTATTTAGGTCTCCCATTAAAAAGATATTATATAGTTGGGAACAAATTATCCAAAAGCAGTCCAAGTGCGGTAAAATAAAGAGGGACTATAGAACATTTCCACCAGTAATTTGGAATGTTCCTTATAAAATCGGTAGATTATAATATTAAACCGGTAGATAATGCTATAAAAGAGGCCGATTACGTGGGTAACACTGAAAATGTTTGGAATTGGCCAGTTAGAAACATTGCTAATAGTAAGGAAACCTTTTTTGAATTTCAATTTTAGAACTCTTTGGTAACCTAATGTAGTATATTGGCGGCAAATCTAAAACTTGTTACACGTGGAAATTAACCTAACGCGAGTAAATTTTCGGTCAATTATTTATTATGACTTTCGTTGTGGGCTTACTCTACAACAAAGCTATGATAGGCTGCGATTTGTATTTCTTAATGAAGCCCCATCCCATGCAACTATTTACAATTGGTTTAAGGAGTTTAAGCGTGGACGTAGCAATCTCAATGATGATCCGCGTGAGGGACGTCCTTTATCAGCGACTACTGAAGATAACATCAGTGCTGTGCGACGCGTGTTAGAGGAAGATAGGAGAATGACCTATCAGCAGATGCCCATATCTGCATCGCCTAGGCATTAGTATGAGTCAAGTTCAAAAAATATTACACGAACATCTGGGCGTCAGGAAGCTTTGTACCAGATGCATTCTCCGTACTTTAATCGATAAACAGAAACACGTTCGCATGGACTGGAGTCGCCAAATGTTAGATAAGTTCAACGGCGGTAACTCAAATGCTGTATTTGACATCGTCAGACGTCACAGGTGATTAAAGCTGGATATATTACGAACCTAAAACTAAAGATAAAATTCGAAATACGCTTTACGAGCCCTGAAGTTGCGGTGAAAATTCCATAGAAGAGACCTAAGAAAGAATGGGCCCACTGCTTTTCTCAGTGGTTCCATCGAATGTGACGATGGAACGGGATTACTTCGAAAAACAATTAAAGTATCGGCAACTTTCTACATTCACAAGCCGTTTTTCATTTTCCAAACATTTTCAGTGTTACCTAGGTATGCTATTGAACCTTTAGATTATGCGGCATAATAGGCACCTGCTATATGTACTTAATATTGTGTATAAAAGCTATCCGTTGACGATATAGGTTATCCTCGTTCTCTGTTTGTCTGTGCTTATGTCATTTTGATGTACGTCAAGCTAGAATGTGATACGTCTAGTTTACGTTTTCTCGAAGCTCACTCGAGCTAATTTGTATTTTGTTACATTTTAAATTTCTACGAAAAGTATGTTATTAAATGTTTTATTTAACATAAAAGTAGAAAATCGATAAGATATTATTTTGTGTTTATTTAAAATTGCAAGATGGAGGCTCCTTCAATGGATACAGTTTATCAGGCCATAAGCGCCTTATATGATAACCCTAATGTTAATGAAAAAGAAAAGGCTTCGTTATGGCTCGGAGATGTACAAAAATCGGTATGTTACGTGTTTTATAGTTTAAAGTTTTGCAAGAAATTTCGAATATATGACATGCATTTATTTCAGATACATTCATGGAAAGTAGCCGACGAACTGTTGCACCAGAAAAAAAATTTTCAAGCTTGTTATTTCGCAGCGCAAACAATGAGATCAAAGGTTCAACACAATTTATCTGAACTGCCCGATGATGCTGTAATTTCTCTCCGGGACTCTCTCATATTGCACTTAGAATCGGTATCTCCAGATGTCAACTCAGCAATTCTTACTCAACTATCTTTAGCCTTAGCAGATCTAGCTTTACAGATGCCCACTTGGCAGAACTGTGTTAGTGACCTTATAAAAATATTTTCTAATAAAAATAATTTTGCTCTGCTTGAAATATTGACAGTGCTACCTCAAGAAATAGACTCATCAAGTCTAAAATTAGGAGACAATCGTCGTGAGCAGATAAAATTAGATCTAAGAGGAAACTCTCCCATTGTAGTCATTTTTCTTAAGGATTGTATAAATAGTTCACAGACTTCTAACATAGCATTGAAAATAATAAGGTGCATGACATCATGGACCCAAGTGAAAGCAATAAATCTTCAGGAATTAGCTCAGAACCCTGTAGTTGGTTTATGTGTGCAAGTTTTAAGGGATTATAATACAAACAATTCATTACATGAGGCAGCTACAGACTGTATGTGCGCAATACTAGACTGTTTAGAGCAAAACAACAATGGAGACGAGGTTGAAAGAATGTTATTTGACAGTTTGTCAGCTTTAGAAGAAAGCTATCACTTAGCAGTAGCTCATGAAGAAGAGGAAAAAGCTGCAAACTTAGCTAGACTATTTACAGAACTGGGAGAAACATTTTTAGAGAGAATAATAATTAGTACAGCAAATGGACAAGGCCATTTTGCAATGCGGTCTCTGGAGCTTGCTTTAGTATGTGTTGGACATCATGATTATGAAGTAAGTATGTCACATATAACACTTGTAAATTTTTGTCTTAAATAGCTTTTATACTGCTTAGCTGTTATATATAAGCTGCAAAAAACAGTGAAAATAGAACTTATTTTATTTCCTATTAATTTTTTAATAAATGACAAATACATAATTTATTACCATTACAACAATAAGATCACTGAAATATTTAAAATTACAGATAGCAGAAATCACATTCAATCTGTGGTATAGATTATCAGAAGAAGTGTACCAACGGGATTACCAACAGTTAACGGATGCTTTTAAGCCTCATATCGAAAGATTAATAGAAGCTTTAGCACGACACTGTCAGTGTGAACCTGATGACCAGAGCTTGCCTGAGGAAGGGGATGAATTCTATGTTAGTCAATATGTTAAATGTTCTCTAGAAAATTTTATGATTTATCTAGACAATCAAGTCTTGTATCCTCTCTGTGAGGCTTGACACAAACACATTTGTCTTTTACTGGCAATTTTTTCTAATATCACAAGTGGACAATCATTAAACGCAAACATAAATAAACAATACACATTTTTTTAGGATTTCCGAGTGAAAGTATATGAGCTTATAAAGGATGTGGTTTTCATAGTCGGATCTAGTTCTGTTTTCCGAAAGATGTTCTCAGTGCTTCAAGCAAACTTGCCATGGGAGCAGACAGAAGCTGCACTATTTATTATGCAAGCAGTAGCTAAAAATATTCTTCCGTGAGTACACTAGAGACTGTTAATTATTCAAAGTTATTTGGTCAACAATGATTGACTAATCTTTTCTAGCAGTTTATTGAATGTAGAAAACATATTTTACATATTTAGATCCCTAAAATAGACCCTAATAATCATGTTTTCAGCAGAGAAGAATATGACTTTGTCCCTAAAGTCATCGAAGCAATTTTGTCTATGCCTGAGGACAGCCACTTAGCTGTGATGAATACTTGTATTCAGCTTCTTGGGGAGTTGTGTGACTGGATCGAGAAGCACCCGCAATGCCTTGAGCCATGTCTCCGGTTTTTAGTCAGATCTCTGGTGCAACCTAAATTGGCTAACGCTGCTGCTGTTGCTCTACAGGTAATTTATTATTATTATGTTGAATTGAATCTTGAATGTTAGGAAAGGTAAAACGAAAGCCTAATAAAAGATAACTAACTAACATTTTTATCTTCTAGACATTCATCTCTCTCATAATTTGTTATTACTATGTGATGTGAAGTGACAAAAGTTAGTTATTAGACTAACAAAATTTAGTTTTTTAATGTTAATAATGCTATGAGAATTGTTTCTTCATATTCCATTTACTATAATAAACCTACTTTATGACAACTTATATGTATTTATATGCAATACACCTATGCATGTTCGAGAAGCACCCAATTCCATTAGTAATAATACTTCCAAATTAAAATTCGGTTTGTATGTATTAAATTATTCACATTTTGTGCAATCTCGGATTTTCTCGTAGAACATCTGCAAAGCGTGTCGGAGTGAGGCGTCGTGTCACGCAGCATTAGTCGTGGAAGCAGCTCGAGCAGCAGATCAACTCGCTCTTCCCATTCACACGGCTTCTACACTCATGAGAGCCCTCGCTGCTGCCATCTCCCGGTTACCACATGATCAGGTAAATAGTTCTATTAAGGACCATTACTAATGTGTCAACAATTTTTTTATGGATGTTCACAAAAATTATTGGTGATGAATCTTCAACAAAATTAGGTAAAGTATCAGAACTCGCGCGAGCAACATTAGAGATTTTATTATTGGCATTCAATTTTATTGCTTTAAATTATTTCAACAAAATATAATTTGTACCCTTTAATTTCAGTTGAATCTGATATCATACTTTGTTGAAAAATTAAGCTTTGTAGATAACGTGATAAATTATATATGAAATTACAGAGTAGCTAAAATAGCACTATACCCCATGTTTTATAAACTATTATTTTGTATCAGCTATGTTCAGCGATGCGCGAGTCAGTAGGAGTGCAGTTGGCAGGGCTGTCAGCCCTATTGGAGAGTAACACAGAACTGCGCAAGGGGTCCCCTACTGATCCCGTTCTGTGGCTCGACCGGGTGGCAGCCCTTTTCCGCGATGTGGACGTGGCACCCCCTTCTGACCCCACAAAGGGCCACCCTTGTATGCCGGCCTTTAAGGACGCCTGGCCTGTGCTTCATAGAACAATGCAGAAGTTAGTTTATTTCTTGATTCTTTTAGAATTAATAGAAAATTATGTATTTTTTCTCCATTCACAATTTTAATAAAATCATTCCAGTAGCACACTAAACAAAGGCTTAAAATTACAAATTTCAATAATTTAATTGATTATTAATAATCTTACTTATTTAATTAAAAGGCTGCACCACACTACACACCACATAAATCCAAATTGATTCAATTTAATTCAGCTAAAAATTTTCAACTATGTCCAAAAATTACTGTAAACGGTGAAAAAAATGAAAGAACTTTAAACAAAAGTTTTATTCATGTTTATCTACACTGCATGCAAAGGAGTTATAATGAAAAAAATAATATTGATACTAAAACAATAATTAGTATTTTTGGAGATAAGCCTTATTTATTAATTTATTGTATTAAAATTTATTTATAAAAGTTGGCATAAGCAAAAAAACTAACTTACAATGTCATATGCTATATAAATACAGATATGGGATAGCAAAATGTTACGATAAAAGCAATAACAATTTCAGATACGTACGCGAAGGGCGTGTAATGGAACGTGTATGCCGTTGCGTACGTTTCTGCGTAAGAGGCACGGGACGTGACGCAGTAGAACTGCTTCCCGCTCTTGCTACTTCTCTTCCCCCCCTTTACGCAATCTACCAGCACTCCTGTCTTCTCTACCTTACTGGAGTACTGGCAGATGCATTAGGAGGACCATTGAGTGCCCCGCCTTTAGCCCATCTCCTTCATGCCCTTTTGCCCCCAGCGTTAGAACTCTTAGGTAAACCTGACGGACTCAAGGACAACCCGGATACAGTTGATGACTTGTATCGGCTTTGTGTGAGGTAAGGAATATTATTTTAATAATAATAGTAATAAAGCCCGTTTTATTTCCAATAATGACAAAAACAAATTATCACAGCTTAGATTATTTTACATTTTTAAACATATTTTTTTTCTTTTGCTTGTTATTATATATTCTAGCTTCCTTCAGTACCGTCGATCGGAACCCCTTCACGGGTAAAGGCCTCCTCCAGCTTTTTCCAACTGTCTCTGTCTATGGCTTTCTTTCTCCATTCGTTTCCTGCTACCGCTTCTATTTCTTCTATCCACCTTTTTTTTGGGCGACCTCTTCTCCTTCTTCCTCTTGGTCCTATCCATACAGTTGTCTTTAAGGTCCACCTATTATCGGTGTATCTTGGAATATTATTTTAACATGCTTTAATTATGCAACTATATGATTATACCGCAAATGTTTATCGATTAACAGCATTACTTTTTGAATCAGCGTTTACATGATGAATTACGGTGCTGTATTTAAGCTTTTTTTTACATTATGTTCTATGACCTATGTTAATAAAATCGTGCTCGGCGTTTGATCCAACTTTTAATCGCATACTAGTATTCTGCTTACGGCTCGTCTTGCACGTAAGAAATTAGTATGTACAGCGTGTACTCTGTTATAAAAAATCTTTATGAGTTTAAAACTTATTGGTATAATTGTTAAAATGCATGACACTGCTTTAACTTGAAAATGTATTTTAATAATTAATATCAGAAACACACATCAAATCACCATGAACAAAATCGTTGGCCACAGCTAGTTTAGAGATATAAAGTACTGTAAAATGAACAAATTAAATTATTTTTGGGTAGTTTAGTTAATTCTACTTTTGCTTTTCAATAATAAGCCAGAACGACTTCACCGAGAGCGGGTTTTGTAACCGCAGTTGTATGATATTAATAATAAATTTTATGTATCTTCAGTTTTTACCTCATGAAATACGTTTTAAAGTGTGCAATATATTTGCTACTTATCTTCGAAATAATAATAAGAAATAACAAAAAAATCTTTTTTATTATTATTATTAATTGTATTTTAATCGAGCATCACTCGGAGGAAGTGCGATTCCAATATCGGGTGGTTGACTACACCCTCAATATGTCAGATTCTCTCCTTAACATACAAAGTACTACTGTCTTCTGTTGCTCTAGGTACCTCCAGCGGATTCCTCTCCAATTCGTGGAGTCGGGATGCTGCACGGCAGTTGTTTCTTGTGGGGTGAAAGCTGCGCGTCTCGATCATCGCGACGCAAGCTGTTCTCTCATGAGCTTCCTCTACGATCTGCTGAGGCTTGCGCACGAGTCGGATCCCGCTACGCCTCTCGGCTGTGAGTATCATTTTTACAATACATGCAGGTTAAGTCTAGTAGACAATTCTTAATGCTGCTGATAATATAAGGTTCAAAAGTTTTAATTTTATTAGTTTTACTATGACAAATAGTTATTTATCTTTATACAACTAGGTATTCTCTACCTGAATGAGGGATTTCACTGCCTGAAATTTACGCGATATATTTTTCACCGTTTCTAGAATTATGGGATTAGAATACTGTGGGGAAATTTTACTTGTTTATAGAACATAGCCTATATTATATCTGACGGTTTAATAACTGGTAATTAATGATTTTTGTTTGACAGCACAAATCAATGCAATAGTGTCAGAATATGGTGAGGCGCTGACGTACGCATTATTGGAAGCTTCTGCATTGTATTTACACGCGTACATGCTTAGTGAGGTAAGAAATATTTTATTAAAATTACGCTTCAGTGCTTTATATACTGTAACGAATTTGAAAATATACGTTAAAAAACATTTATTACTACAACGTGAGTATAATATACAATACAAGAAGATCTAATGCTCTAACAGGTGGGTAAAGTTCTACTAGAACTCGTGGATTGGCAACGGCGTCATGGAGTAGACTGGGTCGCGGCCGCACTACCGAGGTTACCGAGGGGTCGCGCTCACGCCACGGAACAACAGTGCTGGCAGTTCCATCAATACGCTGTCAAGTGAGTTTAATATGAAAAACTGTGTTTTTTTAAAAAGCTTGACAAGTTGTTGTTTTCTCTGAAATATTCTTAACTGGCAAATGTGGTTACATGTAACCATTCAGAATGAATATTGTACAAAAGTTTTAATTAGTCTAATCGCATTCACTTACACACTTCATACAAAAGATATTACACCCTCAATGGTCAAGAACAAATCAGTAAAATTGCAGTTTTACTAAAGTACTATTTTATTTCTTTCTACTAAATTGTTTTTACAGTGCGATGAAGAGATAAATGATTATAATTATAATGGTACAGTTTGACTGGTTTATTTTTTAATAAGGGTTGTGTATTTCAAAATAGGGTATTTTGAATTTAGAAATACACAACTTAGAAGTGGGAAAATAAAATTAAGAACATAATATAATAATTATTTAATAATACATTTCTGTGTCAATTTTTTTTTCATATTAAAACCATTAGTGTTAAATTTGGAACTGATCTGATCACAATTTTTGGACAATATTATGTACATGTACAATTTTACGATTAAATATTTCATGAGTTTTTTGTTTCAGAGCGGAAAAGTGTAAAGAAGCAACTCGACTTCTTCGTGACTTCGCCAGGCTTTATCGATAACTCAAGACTGATCCCAATATCTGATCCATGTTCAGTGGAAGTAAACACTATAAGAATGTTTTGTAGCTTTACAAAACAGTATATGAAAATATATCATGTTATTATAGTTCGAACAACTAATCATTAAAAAACATTACATCATTTGATTGAAAGATTTCTCCAGAATCTTGAACATTTAGGTAAACATTGCTCTTCACTGACTCAGAATTGTGGATAACAAAAATGCATATTACCATATGTGAAATTACAAGGTTTATTTGAAAATCTGTTGTACATTGAAATCAGAAAGCAAGTCATACTTTATGTAAATTTATTGTTTCTCCTTGATTTCATTTTGACATACAGAACAGGTAGGTAAGTAAAGATATGTTTAATTGATAGAATATATTTTGTTACAAACGTACATGCTCTTTTTCATTGTGATAAACACCATAATATTTTTAATGTAAATATTTATTAAATTTAATTTTTATCACGATTCGTTATTTATTCAATTTAATCTTTTTTCAAATATTAATCAGATCTATGGTGGAGTTATTTTAGTCTTTACGTACCTGCAAGCGAAATACTTCCTTAAGTACAAATTCAAACAGTACCCTCTATTAATAAATAACGTTTACAGTTTGATTGAGTTTTATAGGTCTACTTAATTGCATAACTTTTAGTCCTATCCAAAGATTAGTTGTATATTGCCCTCGATTGTACCAACACTAATATTTTAGATCAAACTCTAGTTCTTGTGATTACTGAAGATATTTTCTCTTAGAAGTAATTCAAAATATTAAACCTTGAAATACCTGTTAACCGAAATTTATTATTTTCTTAGGTACCATATACACTTTATTCATGCGTGGATATATCAAAAAGATTTTTTTATTTTAGGGTAATCTCATTATGATTAAGTTACCGTGAAATTTATGGACAAACTTACTAAATTAAACAAACATGCTTGGATACCCTAAATATATCAGACATCACACTTCATATCCAAGCTTGTTTAATATATTGTTTTCACTATAACATGTGATCATTTTCAATGTTGGTTAAAAACGTTTAGATTTTAACATGACTTTTTATTCTTAGGACTGGAGAGTGTCACAAAACTGACCCTTCGCGGTGCTTTAGGGCTCGGAGCTGATTTCACGGCCACCGCTTCTTTTATATCCGTCACTTTAGCTTGTTTTAAGAAATCCACATTTAAGGTGCGTTGCCTTGAGCCCTGCGTTTTATTTTTAGGTGAAGTTTTAACTGCCTCTTCAGTTTTAGGTTTTTTTGCTACATCTGAGTTATTTTCAGGAGCGTCCGATTTTTCCCTTACATTTAAAATATCCGACATTTTATTATCCATTTCCTTGTTTGGAGATATTTCCTTAGTTCCTGTTACAGAACTCTCGGATTCTTCATAAAAAAGTTTAATATCCGAACTATCTTCCAGCACAATGATTTCAGTTGCCGATTTACTATCCGGTTTATTGACCTCACTGTTGGAGTTATCTGACCAAGAAGACATCGCCGTTTCCACTAAGAGATCCACTTTGACGGGAGTTTTTTGTTTTATCGTTTCAACTTTTTGTTTTTTTGGCGACTTTTCTGTGGGCGTTTTGAATTTTATAAAAGAATCTAGTTTTGGCAGATCATTTTTACTCTTCACTGGTTTTTCTTCTTTTAGCTGCTCTGGCATAATTTCCGGAGCTGGTTCATCTATTTCCATCGCTTCTGTAATCAAAAAAATATAGATTTTTAATTATGTGTACAAATACTTTTGTAAATTTGTTTGGTTGATAACTCTAAGGCAAATAAGGAATCAGTTGAACCAACCTGAAATGTTTCTTCAGGAATCAACTTATAGAATATGTACTCTTACCTAATAGTTAGCCCTACTCGATAGTAATTTGTATAAATGTACGCGCTGTTTCTGCTCATTTATTATATTATTAGTAAACACAAAAGATTAGAACGTGTAGGTACTTTAGACTTTTAAAATCTACTGAGGTTAGGTTAGTAACAAGTCCATTCCGCACGAAGTCTCGAAATAAAAGTGAGTCAACGCCGGTGTTGCCACGCTTTATATAGGTTTCTGCTACAAGATGGCGTTAGTCCGCTAACAATATATATTTATATAAAAGATGAGACTTTTTAGCTTCTTATAAACAAATGCATGCATATTATCAACTTATCCCAAAATTTACCTATAGGTGCATCATGAGGAATCACTTCTCCGAGTTCCCCTTTCGAAAAAGTGACGACGGAACAAAATCCATCTGTGCTGGAGGCCACCAACGCTTGACCCTCATTTGACCAGCTTAAGTCTGTCAATCTGCAAAATATAACAAATAATTTGGTAGGAGTTTTGTAGCTGATCAACTGAAATCAGTGCCTATACTAACCTTGTATAGTGTATATTCGATATAAGCGCGATAGGGCTCTTTTGCTGCGTGTCATATATTAGTATGGAGCGCTTAGTCGCCACGGCAAGTACAAGTCTATGTGGAGTAGGAAACGCCGGGGTGGGACCACTAGTGCGAAGAGCATATCGCCGGCTGCTCCATCTCACTGCTAGAGCAGGGTCCGCACATGGTAGGATACAGGCTGGACTGAAATTTATATCACTTACAGTCTTACTCAGTCATACATTATCTCAAATGATATTACAATATCCATATATATTACTTATATATGGATATTGTGCTACATTGATATGCAAGACCTAAAAATCCCCTAATCCAATAAGAAATTATGTTTTAGTTTTAGGTGTAATTTCTGCTGCCTAAAATATATTTAAATGTATTTGCCTTAAAAACATATTTATTTTGGAAATTTTAATGACACAATAGTGTCATTAAAATTTCCAAATATTCCATTTCTTGGTTAATGTTAAACATAGTTGAGGCTCTCAATTGATAAATCAACTTTAATTTTTTTATATGATTGGACAATTCACACCAATTGACCTAGTCCCATGCTAAGCTGGTGAAGCTTATGTTATGGGTACTAGGCAACGGATATACATACATATTATAGAAAGATAGACATATAAATACATATTAAAACACCCAAGACCTAAGCACAACACCAAATGCTCATCACATCGATTTTTGTCTCAGCCGGGGATCGAACCCGGGACCCATGGATTCGCATGACCAATAAGCCGTCTATAATAAACATACAAACAACTTACACTTTAAGTGAATAACGCGTATAAATATAAACTGCATTCATTGGCTTTACATCTACTTTGCCCTGCTCTGCTTCTATTCTTCCCCCAGGCACTGCAATAGAAATAGAAAAAAAGAAGCTGAGAATTTTTTTAAACATGGAATTTTTATTATTTCATATGTATGCTAGTCCAATTTTGCCATCTGTTAGATCATTTTCAAATTGCTTTAGAACTGAAACTTGACCTGGAAATTATTTTCTTATAGAGAAATATTAGATATAAATTTAAAAGCTAAAATCTCAAACTTTGCAAGTGAAGCTTAACATGATATATAGTACTACAGTCAAACCTGGGTAAGTGAGAAAACTCTATAAGTGAGAGTAATAGCCAGGACCCGTCATTTTAAGCTCCCAAAACCTCTATAAGAGAGAGTCGTTTTTCCCTCATGCACCTCCGTGAGACTGCTACTTATCTTTACCTCTATAAGCGACTGTCGGGCTTTATTTATTTATATTATGTACTTTAAATGCGTTGGAGACGGTCCGCATCAGTACTTTGAAAACGCGGCGAGGCGGTTGTTGATCAATATATATATATATATATATATGCACATAATTTTATCATATTACATATTTACTACATTCGTACTTGCTCTTCCTTACCTCTATAAGAGAGAAACCCTACCCATGTACCTGCATTGGCGAAAAACTCGGGTTAGTGAGAAACCTTGATAAGCGAGAATGAGATTGTTCTCCTTTGAACTCTCACTTATCCAGGTTTGACTGTATATTAGTATGGTTTCTTTATACAAAATCTTAGCAGAATATATAATATTAACTGACCAGCAATAAAGAGACCATCAGGGCTAAAATGTAACCGTCTATAGTATGTCTGCAGCGTGTCATCATGATACAAGCGAACCCTAGTGTCATATAGTGTATGCTCCTTTGAAAAGGGCAGAACGGCTTTACTGCTCCGAGAGTGAACCTTTTTGGTTGATATATCAATTGTTCTAAATTCTCTGTAATTGAAATAGAAGTCAATTTAATAAGTAGCTCAGTAAACAACTCATTAAGTTTGTGTATCACACAATAGAGAGAAATTTAATGTAAGACAGTATCTTTTCTGTGAATAAATCAACAAAAAACATAAAAGTGTCCTACCTATCTGAACAGGCTGTAGCAATTAGCTGCCCCAGAGGATCCCAAGCAACACCCTGCACAAAGCCCTTATGGTCAGACACTATGTGTGTGTAACGACCACGGGAAACATCCCACAAAATTAATTTGTTATCTATAGAACCTGATGCTAAAGATAGAGAATCACTGCTCCAGCTTAAGTCTAAGACATCTTCCATGTGCCCTCGCAGAGTCTGTAATGTGATAATAAACTTGTAGAGTATGCAATTATGGACTAGAATGAAAGGAATATAATATATATATATAAATTTATACTTCATATAGCAGAGTTAGATTCTTAACAGTTTAGAATGAGAATATTAGCTTTCGTAAAGGTAATAAAGTTTTTTACTCACTTTATGTATAACCCATGTTTCTTTATACTGTTCTTCGCCTTCCAATGGTGGAGCAAGGTCCTCCGTTTTTTGTTTCCAAACAAAAATGATAGACTCATCATCACCAGATGCTAGGAGTTTCCCACTTGGTGACCACCGGACAACATTGACCGCTTTTTGATGTCGGGTTAAATCGGCTGCCACTTCTAAATTCACAGAGCCTGTATCGCTTATTGAAATATACCATATCTAAAAAGATTTAATGCAAATAATTATCTCGTCCTTACTGTATCCAATAGATATACAATTACGAGATTTTTTTTTGACTAAACTTACGACAACATGAGTATCAGTGCCACCAGTTGCTAATCGCAATGGATCGTTCGGTTCATTTTTAGGCTGAAAATCAACGCTCAACACAGGATCCCTATTATGCCAAGATATTTCAGGAATTGCGAATTTCATTTTACTGTAAGATATTTTTTTATAAATATTTAAATTCTTATCATTGAAATAAATTTTCTTTGGTAAAGTGGTAGAAACAAACTGTATTCGGTAATAAGTAATAACTTTTCACTTTAGTGGCGCGAAAATGAATTGAAAACAAGTAGACGTTGTTAATGTGTACACTGTACAGTACTGTCAATTGTCAAACAAACAATTGTAATAATTTGTAACGCATCTTTTCCGGCACTCTACTCTCGCGAGTCGCGACATTGTCCCAAACACTTGAAAGACTGCCATTAATTCATAATTTTTGAATGTTCTGATCCGCCCAACTACCACCCTATAGTCATCACCCTTTGGTTCTAAAATAATGGGGTCCATTATAAACAGCCAGCTCCTCCGGTTCCGGTAAGTACCTAGTAGCACCAGCTGATTAGTGACCGTCAGTACGGCTTTCGTTGAAGTCGCTCAGCTGGTAATATTTTATCTTACCTCACACACTAGTGTAAAATAGAAAGTGTGGCGGAGAGTTTATTGCCAGTTCTTCTCTTCCGTTCTACGCCCTTGATTTGAGAACTGGCAGTGAATGTAAAATTAGAAGCATTTAATATGTCTCTCTTTCTTGACGATCATAAGTGTACATTGAGTTACCTATTTGAAGGGCAGAGTCCAAAGGGGAAGCACTGGCCGTCAGTTTGTACTTTACGAAAGCCTTCGCTCAGGTTTGGTTTCTCTCAAAACTCCTACTAATTGACTCCCTGTGAAATCATTAGGTTTTTGGCCGATTAAAACATCGTGGTCGAAGATGCTGGTACGGACTTAAATCCAAAAATGCTAAAGTTCCCCAAGACTGTACTATTCCGTCACTGTTTCTCCTGCATATCGATGATATGTATAGGTCTACCAGGATCTGATGGCAAAAAGGGAAAAAAGAAATTGACGCTAGCAATACTGGGGAAATTGGAGTAAAACGTTTTGATACTTTTTTTTTTATAGCGGCTGATTCTGTGTTCAAAATATATAAAAATTAATCCAATGATAATTTTTGAAAATGTGGCGAATGTGGGGTTTGAAATTTAGATGAAAACTCCAATTACTCGGTTCATGAAATTATTAATTAATTAAGAACTTGAAAATGGTTCCAAATACTGCACTTCCATAGTCTTCAAGAGTATTTATAATAAACCTTTCCTCCTGCATCTCAATTAACCGATCTTGTTCTATGAACTGATTTTCAATTTTTATTACATGTTCACAAGATTTTCGCTATTCATCAATCCCTATTTGAGAGAAAGAAACAGTGTAAAACTTATTTATCTTGTTTCTGATCAATTCTAAATCATATTCTATAGCAGTGTATAGGTCTACCAGAATCTGATGGCAAAAAAGTTTAAAAATTAGCGATTTTCATATGGCAATAAAAGAAAAATTTCATCTGTCAACTGAAATTTCGAGGAATTGTTTTTGGTTTGGCTTCAAATTTCCTTTAAAAAGTGATGAAAATGTCGAAGAAACCTCTTCGATCGCAAGCAAGACATATTTTTTTCAATGTTTAACAAAGAATACTTGGTCAACAAGATGCAGAACATACACAATCATCGATATTGAGCCATGTGCAAGCGTTGACTGGTTAGTAGGAATGACACGTCTTGATACTTTGGTTTTTGGGATTTTTCGTGTGAATTATATTATGTACTTATACTAAAGTTTGGTTTATTTCAGGGGTTTCTTATTCTACAAATAAACTTGGATAGTTTTGATTTAGAATTGATCAAAAACCTGATAAATGAGTTTTACACTGTTTCTTTCTCTCAAATAGGGATCGATGATTGGCGAAAATCTTGTGAACATGTAATAAAAATTGAAAATCAGTTCATAGAACAAGATCGGTTAATTGAGATGCAGGAGGAAAGGTTTATGATAAAAACTGCGTTGAAGACTTTTTTATGGATGTGCAGTATTTGGAACCATTTTCAAGTTCTTAATTAATTAATAAACTCATGAACAGAGTAATTGGAGTTTTCATCTAAATTTCAAACCCACATTCGCCACATTTTCAAAAATTATCCTTGTTCATTGGATAAATTTTTATATTTGCATGTATCACACACAGAATCAGCCGCTATAAGGAAAAAAAGTATCAAAACGTTTTACTCCAATTTCCCCAGTATTGCTAGCGTCAATTTCTTTTTTCCCTTTTTGCCATCAGATCCTGGTAGACCTATAGCAACGTTTATTGCTATGCAGCGTGCGGGTGTCTGCACTGGGCTTGACACCTTTTCTACCGGCCGTGCTAATATTTTTCGGATTGATGTCGAGCAGTGCCACAGCCACATGCCTGTGGCTGAAATGAAGACCCTTTTTACACGGTGTCTCGGACTGGGGTCTACTAAATTTAGTCAAATTTATCACAAGTTCGCGGATGATGTTGGGGAATTCCCTGAAGAATTGTTCGGACTAATACACGCGGGTGAATTGCTTCAACGCATATCGAGGCAGAATGCGAAATGCCAACCTTTCCATCTCGACGCCTGGTGTTCCACAACACAGCGCTTTCTAAGGCAGTTTCTGCCGCCCACCAGTAGAGATATTTCCAAACCAAAACTACTTAGGGTCCGCCTGCTCGTTTGTCTCCTGACCAAAAAAAAATTAGTATAAAATGTATTATAATAGACAACCCAAACAATGATTTCTTGTTATTGTATGGAGGAGAAAACGCAAAGCTAATTGCAGATGTCGCTATCACCGCTTGACCCATATCAATACGTTGACAGTTTTCAGCAATTTTTACGTATATTTAGTAAATCTGAAAAGGTGTTTACAAGTGAAAACTGCTGAATGATGTATTCGACATGGACTGTTCCATAATTATAAAGTAGAATTGAAGACCCGGGGCGATTATTTAAAAGGAAGAAAGGCAGATCTTGTCACGCAGTAATCACATTGGATATTTTTCAAAATTCATTGAATTTTTTTTATGAGGATAGGGATGAAGAATTTTATCAATCATATGTTATATTAAGTATTGAAAATTTTTTATGTAGAATATTTTAAAAAGGCCCTACTTAATAAATATGCTTATAATAATGACTAAGAAACAATAAAACCCACTAATTACTTTGGACTTTTATTTTACAATTCCTTCTTTAAAATTACATAGCATAACACAATTGAATCCACGGTCAACCATTATTGCATCTTTTTCATCAATAACAGCTTAAAGGGAACTTCTTTCAGTTATTTGACGGTCACCGGTAGAGCCTGCATATCCATCTGAACAAAACGATACGAGATGAACTGAACAAACGCTTCCAGATGTTTATATATCTATTTAGTTAGCCAACGTTAGTAACTGAATGCAGTTGCTAAATTTGTTAACCTTTTATAAAACATTTGTTTGTGCTTTATATAGCCTAATCTTTACATTCATTTACAAACAAATTATTTATTAAAGCTTAAAGCTGATTACGATTATTGTACGACTCTGTGGTATGAAATCTGCCTATCGATCATAGAGTACATTATAAAACATAGAATATACATAACGCTATCAATTTTAAATTGTCTAACTGACAAATGACAATCACAATATAGAACTAAATTTTATAAATCTTTCTTTCATTGTGACGTTTTGTTGGATAGAAGACGAAATAATAAAATGGTGTGTAGTTTTAAATAAATCCACTAAAATCGCGTCTAGTTTTGAGTGAAATAGAACTATTTTGATTGTGCTAAGTTTATTTGTGTTTTAATTGTTGGGTGTCGTGTGTATTTTATTTACCGATTTGTTTATTTCAGGTTAACGTACCAAAACAACGCAGGACTTATTGCAAGAAATGCAAGGTTCACAAAGTACACAAAGTGTCACAGTACAAAAAATCCAAGGAAAGGCATGCTGCTCAGGGTAGAAGACGTTATGACCGCAAACAACAAGGTTACGGTGGACAGTCAAAGCCCATCTTCAAAAAGAAGGTAAATTCCTAACCTCAACCTCCAGTCAAGATTAGCCTTTGTAATTTTTAGAAAATATGTTTTTCTATATATCCATACTATTTTATAAACAAACAGTTTTGTAATATAGGTGTACAATTTAAAGCCATATATGTATTTATGTTTTACTTTTAACTTTTTCCCAATAGAGTAATTGGTTGCTATAATCAAAAAAACCAATCATGTTTCAAAGTTTAGCTTAAATGAATTGCTAAAAGCTGTTTAAAAATTTGCATTGTTTATTTATATTTGTGGGTGTATTATCTGTTGCTAACTATTCCTAATTTCAATCATAATCTGAGTTTTTAATTTTACCTTATTCCAGGCTAAAACTACTAAGAAAATTGTGCTCCGTCTTGAGTGTGCAGATTGCAAAGTGAGGTCCCAAGTGGCTCTAAAGAGATGTAAGCACTTTGAGCTTGGAGGAGACAAAAAGAGGAAGGGACAGATGATTCAGTTCTAGATTGGTTAATAAATAAGTCACAGCAGTTTTTAGTTTTATTTTATATATTTAATAATGTCTATCAACTAAAATCAAGATCTATGTCAATAGTCAATACATGTAACACTCTTTCAATAATTTCAAATATGGTCTGTTGAATTGACCACCTAGAAGCCTAATCTACTATTTTGTGAAATAGTTTAGCGGGGAAAATGTAGTCTCATGCTCTATGAATAAAAAAACATAATTAACTTTAATATCCCAATACAAGGATTAATAATAATTCTCTAATTAAAGTATATTTTCTTCAATTTAGATCGAGCAATAAAAAGCTGAAATTTTCCCTACTCTACTTATAGCAAGTGATTAAAAATTAATTAAGTACATACATCAAAGGTATATTTAAAGTCGATAACAAAGGTATTATGGAGTTGATAGTAATAAAACTTTTAGTTAAATAATTTATTAATGCAACTGTGGTATTTAAACATTAGTTTATTACATTTTACATTAATTTAAACTTTCAAAATGATGTCTAATTCATTAGGATCCAAACCTTCTAATGACACCTTCAACTTGACTGCTTGTAAAGGCACTCCAACATGTACCATTTTTACAAATCTCATATATTCCGGTTTTATGGTTTGTGTTGGGTTTTCTTCTACATCTGTTGTTTTTTCTTCTGCATCTGTTGTAGCTTCAGGTTGAGTAGTATTTTCTGATTCAGTTTCAAATTGTTGATTTATTAATGTGGGTTCTGGACCGCTAATTTCTGGTAATGATGACAACTGCAATTTATATTAAATGATTATGACAGCAACAAATTTATTCATATTCAACCAAATTTTTCTTAATTAAAAAAATGACTACTTTTATAATTATATAGTCTCTAGTGGTAATTGATCATATAAACAATTTAATTACCCTTGTTTCCAAGAGAACCAAAGATGCATTGATTTTCTCTAATTTATTTTCATAACACATTAATTTCTGTTCACACTGCTTTGCAAAGTTGTTTAGAAATTGAACTGTAGTTAATATGAAATGATTTACGAAAGCCAGTGTTCTTTTTTGTTGTAATGCAGCCATCTAGAAAGTTAAAGATAAGTTAATCAGGATATTTTTTTATTTGGATATAAGTTAACATCAAATTCCTTAAATTCCTTACGCTATCATAATTAATATTCCCTGATACAGGACTCGTCAAATTATCATGCATGATGTGAATTGTGATCCACAGTAGAGTTAGTAATATGATAAGATTCTAATAGTTTGTGTCGTTATAAATTAGGTATAGCTATTCAAATCGTAAGTAATATAATTTTTAGATATCAGGTTGTATCTTTTGATGTCAGGTTCAGGTCAACGGAAATTGATTAAAGTTGGAGATAAACTTAAATTTTTACTCAAAGTACTTTTAAGTAATGTTGTATTTTAGTATTTATAATATGCTGTTAAATTAATTATAATTAGTGTTATTTCTAGTGCACTAAATAAACAGATTTTCTATATTCTTAATTCTATCAAAGTATAGTTGTCAATGTCAATTATCAATGTTTTCACAGATAAAATAATATCAAAATTTAGAGACATAAAGTAAAGTAAGAAATATATTTTCATTTTGCATGTGTAGATGAGAAGTTGCTGAAAATATAATTAATAATAGTACCTCCACTTTCACGTCGTACGGTCGATTATCTACTCTGGAGTCTGGTCTGGGTATTACTTTTCCAAGGTTGATTCGTTCTCAACCATCTTGGATTTCGAAGACCTCTAGAGTCTAGATCATATCATGATGGCTTTGGAATAGTTTGCGCGCTATTAGATAAATTGAACATCCTATTATTAGTAATACGACGATCTAACAAATAAAAAAGTACGCAGTAAAAATAATTATTATATACAATGAATTTAAAAAATATTTGGTTCATCATTTTGGTCAATCATGGTTCGTGTATTTACTTACCTTTCGACACAGATTTTCCGCGGAAAAAGCCTGCTTAAATATTCTGAAATCCACACATAATAATAGTTTGGTTCATAATATTGATTGAATACTTTTTAATTGTGTTAAAATAAACAATCATCAAAAAGGTGCAGTGACTTTTATGCTAATCATATTATGTTCACTGCTATGAGAAAAACGACCTCGAGTTGCCGCCGTCAACCAACCGATGGCGTTGCCGTAGCTTCGCCACGATATCTAAGAGGCCTATAGCCAAAAACGTGTTTTCATCCCTTTTTCCAAGATGGCGGCCGAGGGACAAAGGTGCCGACCCCATAAAACTGGGTTTAAGCTTGACCCCCCCTACATGTCCCATAAATAAAATTGCATCCTCTAACAAATGTTTAGCCCATGTAATATTTCATTGGACTATTATGGTAAAGACTAAAGATATCGACGCTGGAAACGTGTGGAAACGTGTGTGCTGGAAATACGTAGTAGGTAAACGACACATTATGAAAAAACATTTTATTGTGTCATGTAAATTTACTATAAAATGCGATTATTGTCAATATAGGCCATTCTTTTTCTATTTTGAAGCAAAAGCTGTTAATAACAAAATATTCCAACATTGTTTTTCAACATTTGAGGCAATTATTTTAACAACCTTAAATGTGTAACTTACAACATTACCTACTACTTTTCATCACTAGTATGAGGGCATTTTTGCAGGTCATACATTGTGTTTATTCATTTTATTTATTTACAGCATTACTTGGGTGATCCTTATTAAAATTGTGGTATTTGCCACACTTTATGCGGTATCTAGTTTTGAGGGTTCTGATCTTTAAAGGCATAACATAGCTTCAGAAGAAAAACCACTGTATGGAAATTGTATTCGTTTTTACAACAAACTCCCAAGCGAAATTAAAGCATTATCACTGAATAAATTCAAAACTCTCGTTAAACGTAAATTAATCAATAAAGGTTTTTATCAATTTGACGATTATTTAAATGATACTAATCATTAGGATTGATTTGCTCCAGTTCAAATATTTATGGCTGCTCTATAGGAAAACAATTTGTAACTCAAAACTTGGCAGTTAAAAAATTAATTATTAGTTTAAAACTTTTAAAGATTAACTGTATTTCTTTTCTATACCTCTCACAGCAATCTATTTTGCATTTACTGTTTAACAAATTTATAGTAACCATAACATTTTCACGTTACGAAAAATAATGCTGTTGACAAAATATTAATTGATAGCTGATATTATATCGTAATGCCGTTTTTGTACGTTACCTAAAGTAATAAATGTTACTACATTTTCGCTTTCTATAAAACATGCATTTAACATCGTATCATCAACATCATTGTTCAAATACTACATATTAACAGGTAGTAAAAATATTTTTCAAATGCTATTATCTAGGAAAATCATTTTAGAAAACCTAGTTTTACAACTTCTACATTATGTAGCTTAGCAAGATTCATGAAGCAAAAAAGAATTATTATAAATTTAAATTTGCTGCTTTACGCTTTTAACCGTTGAAATAATTATGATAATTACGAGTATATTATGTCATACCAAGAATATACGTACGTCATGCTTTTATTCCCAGTTTTATTTATATATATATATATTGCTAGATATTCTTATGGGATATTTAAGACATTCTCATTTAGAATTTACGCGTACTCGAGCGTATACGACAAACAATTTTACAATTTGTTATAAATAAATCATAATTTTATAAAAGTAGGACAGTAGAATTTATTAACTATTCTATTTAAGTTGATCATCATTTTATTTGGTAAGAAAATTCTAAACAAGATCAGAAATGTCTTTTTCTCGTTTAAAACATATATATAGGAAAATTTCTTATGATTTTACAAACAAACTTAATTTATAGTATTTCTCATTGTTGTTACTAGACGCAAAGAAAACTTTGGTAAACTAATTTACCAACTGCAAGGTACACCAGCGGTAGTGTACCTATTACCTTGTACTAATGAAGTTTATTTAACCAGCGACAGTAAATTTTACGATTTTTCAAAATTAAGTCATGAAGTATTTTCAATATTTATGACTTAATTTTGGGAATTAAAATTTCGGGAATCAAGGAAGTGACACAACATTACTATTTAAAAATGAATTTATTGCTTTTCGAAGTATTCTCCGCGAAATTTGACACATTTTTCATACGATGGAACCAATAATTGAAGCAACCATTCCATTCGGAAGTTGGGGTCTCCAAAATGGCCGTTTTGTAGGCGTCCACAGCTTCTTCAGGTGATGAAAATCTCTGACCACGCAATTTATTCTTTATTTTAGGGAAAGTATAGAAATCATTAGGGTTTAGGTCGAGGCTGTACGGCGGATGGTCTAGTAATTCTATGTTTTCTTGCTCTAAAAACTCTTTTGTTCTGTGCGCGGTGTGAGAACTCGCATTGTCGTGATGGAGGATGATGCGGCGGTTGCAGTTCTCTTTACGGAGTTCAGAAACGACCTGTGGCAAACAAATGCTAGCATACCATTCTGCATTAACCGTTCTTTGTCCCTCAAGAGGAATAGTCGCAACATGGCCGGTTTTGGAGACAAACGTGGCCACCATTTTTTTTGCAACACTCCGTGAACGAACAATTTTCGTTGGCTTTAACTCATTTTCGAACACCCATACTCGGTGACTGGTTTTTTGTTTCAGGTTCGTATGCGTATATCCAGGATTCGTCACCTGATACGATGTTGTATACAGCATTTGAGGATCCTGCGTGGAATCTTTCGAGAGTTCTGACGCACCAAGTAACGCGAGTCGCTTTTTGCTCTTCACAGAGCGAATGCGGTATCCATCGGGAAAAAAAATCTTTTTTACACCTAATTGTATATTATGTAAGATTATTTGTATTTGACTCATGCCAATGTCTAAAGTTGCCTGAATTTCGCGGTATGTCACATGTCGATCTTCCTCAATCAGCTTACGCACAGCATCAACATTTTCTTGGGTGACTGCAGTTTTTGGACGACCTTGACGGGGATCATCACTGAGCTTGAAACGTCCACGTTGAAATTCAGCAAACCAGCGATAAATTGTGGTTTTGGATGGGGCTTCATCACCAAATGCAGAAATCATCCGGTCAACACACTGTTTTTGTGATAAACCACTTCGAAAGTCATAATAAATCATTGAATTTTCTCGAGTCAATTCCATTTTCTCAACAACTAAACAAGTTTGACAAAACTTTATGAAAAGACCGAGAATCTTTAAAAAAAAAATGGTATTCGATTTAAAAAAAAGGAGTTTTCAATTAAAAAGATTTAAATATGACAGGAACTGTGGTATTATTCCATTCCCGATACTTTAAGTGCAGCCTATGTATTCTGCCACACACAATGGCGCGCAAAATTGTCTCAATGAATTTTACATTATTATGGCGCGTCTAAACGGGCCATGTTTTGCTGCAATTGATGGCTGCACTGTTGGCCACTAATTGCCCGGCCATTACAAAAATATTTTAATGCAGCTGATGGCCAAACAATCTATGGCTGGGCAATGTGTTGCAATAGTATGGCCCATGATGCAGACTCCTAAACGGGCTACACAAACCGGCAACAATGGCTGACGAAATCACACTTGTCGCAGCAGCTTATATTGTTTTAAAAAAGAAACAGAAAAAGAAGAGATTGTGGATTCAACCTTACTTAAATAGGCGTGAAGCTGTAGACAATTTGAGTCTAGAAATATGCCTTGATAATAAATTATTCAAGAACTTTACTAAAATGTCAAAAGCAGTCATTTTTAAGCAGTAACCTAACGTCAAAATGCAGCTGATCGCAAAACACAGAATATAGCAACAGGCACACTTCACTCATAGCAAACTTCATGTCGCGTAGAAAAGGATACACTGTGCCATAACAAAGAGAGTGACTGAAACAACAATAGAACTGGCTCTGCGATATTGCAGTTGAATTCGATAGCTAGATTCGGCCACCTGGGACATGCCATATGTGGCTATACAAAACATGTTTGCTGGCTGGGACAATACTACAATATTGCAATTGCTGCTATTGTGCGTTTTCAATAAGATAGAGCGCATTATGCGGATATGTCGTTGATGTTCCAACTACAGCAAGGGGGGGGGGGGGGGGGGGGGACAAAAAAAGAGGGAGCTCTCGCGTGCTTCTCTAATACCAACGCGTGACAGAAAATTGACCAGTGTTTTTCTTTAATTGGCGTTTGTCGAAATTTATTAGTAAATATTATTTATTGTTGAA